AGACGACAGCAACCTGACGGTAGCCTTCTCTAACAACGAAGAGCAGGTGGTCCGCTGGCGGAGAGCGGATGGATCTCTCTCCTTCGAGCTGTCACAGGCGCTCGCTGACCTGGTCAACTTCACCTTCTCCTTCGTCATTACCAACGGGCAGAAACGACAAGAAGCGCCGAATGTGTTCGCCGAGATCAGCGGCCCTGTCGTGGTCTTGCAGACAGCGATCGGGAAGGCTGAGGGCAACCGTGCTCCTCTTCTCATCGCCGGGTTTGTGAGCAGCCGAGTGTCCAGCCGATCGTTCGTGCAGGACGAGCTGAACTCGATCACTCTCACCTTCTCGTTGAACGTCGACGTGAGCGTGACAGACAGCATTGCTGACGGGAGCAGAGAGCTTCTTGCGCTCCTTCTGTACGTCGAAGGCCTTGAAGACATGTGAGTAAAGCAAGAGACATCTTCCCTTGGTTGAAACTAGAATATGATGACTCTTCCTCCTTCTTCTGTGATACATCTGCAAAGCTCTGATCCTTGATACACAGGTTGAGTCTCGGAAATTTTGTGATCCTGAACAAGACTCAGGGGGATCTGAGGTACACGGTATTCAACGAGGCAGGCCTCCTGTCGTTTAGGCTGGACAAGCCCTCGATGATAGCAGCTGGGAGCCAGTACAACGTCTCAGCTGAGTTCCGCAACCCGAGTCGTCCGATCCAGCCCTCGAACCTCACGGTCTCCGCTGGCATATGTAGCTCGATGACCAGCAACTGCTCGGTGGAGCACGTGCTGTCAAGAGTCAAGTTTCGCATCGCGCCTGCCTCACCTGGACCGATCTTTGTGGCAGGATTTCTGCATGGCAACATCAGCCAGTCGTCCTTCTTTCCCAGCTCCATCAACGTCTCTGTCGCCAACACCCTGACTGTATGGCTCTCATGCAACGTCGCCATCCGCCGAGGGTTCAGACTGACTGTCTCTGGTCTGAATCGCACCAGAGGAGTCGATAGGCAGGTGCCGTTGATAGCTCAGGCTCAGGATGGCACAACCCTCAACAACTTCGACAGCCTGGCGAACCTGTCAGTGACCCTCGGTCAACTTGTGCTGACAGCGAAGAACCCGATTGCGGCCCTCTCTTCGATCTACTTGCAGTTCAACGTCACCAACCCAACAACTGGGCAAGAAGCTGTATCAGCCTCCTTATCCTCCAGTGACATTCCTATCCCTCCCACCCTCCTCTCTCCCGCAGGCGGCCTGAGCTCTCCCCTCTTCATCGCAGGATTCCGTCAGGCATCGATCGGGCAGACGACACCTGGAGCCGGCAGTCTCAACTACCTCACCCTCAACATCTCCTTCTACAATCCTATCTTGAAGGGCCTGGTCCTGGTTGTCCGAGGCCTCGACGGAGTCTCGTTACCCTCCAACGTGACGGTCTATGGGGATTTCTCTCCCAACGACGTGGCTGCAGTCTCGTGCGAGGCCTCTTCCTTGTGCGTGACTTTCGCCACAGAGCTCCCGTCCTCCCAGCTGTTCAGGTTCTCATTCGAGGTCACAAATCCCCTTCAAGGTCAGGAGTCTCCGGCCATGCACGTTGAAACCAAGGGCAGTGTGCGCATCTGGCCCTTCGAGCTGGACAAGGAGGATGGGAATCGTGCGCCTCTGCTCGTCGCAGGTTTCACTTTGCTGTCTATCGGACAGTCGAATCCGGGCAATCTGATCGCTAACACTCTGACTGTGACCCTGGCGTCCCGAGTTACGATCGCGCAGGACGATGCGTTGACCATCTCCGGTCTCACAGGGACTGTCACTGAGTCTTCGCTCCTGCAGTTGAGTGGCAACCTGTCAAGTTTCGTGGTTGGGCAGAAAGGGAACTGGAGCGCTGAGGATGGAAAGCTGACGATGTTGTTCGGGGAACCAGTTCCGCCAGAGGTCTACGTCTTCTCCTTTACCCTCAAGAACGGCGAGGTCGCTCAATCCTCCCCTCAAGTATCCATCGAGATCAATGGAGTAACGAGGCACGCTGGAGTACCTATGAACAAGGCTCAGGGCAATGCAGATCCGCTGCTGATTGGAGGAATGAATGTGTCAATGTCGCAGACCGTGTCCTCCCGAGGGAATTTGAATGCGCTAAGAGTCTCGCTCTCTTGCTCGGTGCTGCTTCCAGCCGAATCGGTTCTCATCATCTCGTCTTTCATGTCAGCGAAGCTTGCGGACCCAGCGGGGATCGTCGTCAACCGAACCAGCGTGCTGGCGAGCAGCGGAGGGCTGGTGGATGTGGTTTGGAACGACTCGAGCATCCGCTTCTCCTTCTCTGAGGCTCTGCAAGCAAATGTGCGACAAAACTTCACCTTCCACATCATCAACCCTGAAGCCTCTCAGTCTTCGCCAACTTTCACAGCTCGCATAGAGGGGGACGTCCCTATTGCAAGCTCGGAAGTCGCGAGGGGAACAGGAAGGGAAGCTCCGCTCTTCGTGTCCTCGTATCTCTCCTACGCTACGATGACTCAGAGCTCTCCGTCGGTCAACAGCCTCAACACCCTGACCTTCATGTTCGCGACTCCAGACGGATTTGACGGCAGCAAGGGCATCCGGATCACCTTGTCGGGTCTTGTCAACACGCAGACATCTGACTCCGAACAACTCGAGCTTGTCCCCTCGTGCGGTCTCAACTCCTCGGGGACTTGGATCCAGTCCCTTGGCCAGCTCGTCGTCTCGGTGATCAGCACCATTCCAGCTGACACCAACTGCTCTCTGTCATTCAACGTCACCAACCCAGCGACCGGGCAGAGTTCTCCTCCTCTCTTGTTCTCCGCTCCTCTTGCTGGCATCGCCCCGCAGCAGATCGTTGCTGCGGCAGGAAACGGTGCTCCCCTGCTTGTTGCTCGCTTCACCTCAGTTAGGATGGTCCAGTCCAATGCTTTCCCCGGAGCAAGAAACCAGCTCATCGTGGAGTTCACAGCTAACGTCGATTTCCCCTCCTCCAGCCTCTTCTGGGTTGCTGGGCTGGATGCACAGAAGATCGATTGGACCAAGTCGTTCACCGTCTGCTCCTCCCTCCCTCTCTGCGTGAGCTCTCAGCAGGTTCCCAACTCGTCCTGCCCATTCCTTGAGGTTGCCAACAACTCGACGCCGGGAGGAGGAAGCAGCGGGAGCAACGAGTGCAGCCAAGGGAGTTGCTGTACCATGTCCATCAACGCTTCCTCGTCGACTCTCTGCAAGGATTCTTCTTCCTCCTGTTATTCCTTTCAGGCATCGCCGTGGCATGACTCGACGAGTGCGCCCGACGCATGCGAGAGGTTCTTGTTCAGCGTCTCAGACTTTCTTCCAGCAAACGTAGCACATCAGGTGACGATTGAGTTCTCGAACTCGATGGTCTCCGGCACCAACAGGTTTGCCTTATCGTTGGGAGCAGCAGGATCAATCTGCATCAATGACGGATTGCCAGTGCTTGGGACGGGCAGCGCTCAGCCCTTCTTCATCGCGGGGTGGAACTACAAGTTCATCGAGCAGAGCACAGTCGCGACAGCCGCGTCAAACAAGATCCGTCTTGTCATTCAGATGGGAGCTGATGTGCTGGCTATGGACAACCGATCGATTCTCCTCACAGGCCTGCTGGGAAGTGCCACCCCCACTGGCTCCATCCAGGTGGTCTCGGACAGCGTCTTCGAGGCGAGAGGGATGTGGAACCAGTCCTCCGGATCTCTTCTGCTCAAGTTGTCCAACACCTTGCAGAAGGACGTCAACTACAGCATCTCCTTCGTCGTCCTCAACCCTTCCTACATGCAGGAGTCACCTGGCCCCATCCTCATCCAAGTCGTCACTGGAAGCGGGCAGGTCTTCATCCCGCCGTCCATCATGGACAAAGGGGCTCGCAACCAGGCGCCTCTCAAGGTCGCTGGCTTCACTACCGCAAGCATAACACAGTCCTCCTCCGTTTGCGGGGCGAGCAACCGACTAAGCATCGTCCTCCAGCCCAACGTTGACCTGCAGGATCAAATCTTCGTCTTCTCCCTCTCCGGCTTGCAGAGCATGTGGCCAGGGTACCCCACCAGCATCGCGCTGGAGCAGGTGGAACCTGTCTTCCTCGGCTCGGCTCTCTGGTCCACGGGCGGTCGAGTTCTTCTCATCCTGCAGCAGAGCTTGCTGGCAGAGCAGACGACAAACATCTCCCTGGTGTTGGTCAACCCTTCGACGACGAGGAGCCCGACTCGCATGTCGGTCAAGGTCACGGCGCAGGACGTATCGCGGAACATCTTCGTTCCCTTCATCTCCAGCTTCCCCATCGCCTCTCCGCCGGACGAATGTTCCTCTGCTCCTCTGCACGTCACCCCCAACTTCAACGTCAGCGTCTTTGCTCGTGGCAACGCGTCGGTATCAGTGACTGTCGCCTCCTACCTGCAGGCCTCCCGGTACAGCCTGCTGCGCATACAGGGCCTGCCCGCGATGGACAACGAGACTCTCGCGCAGGGACTGAACGTGTCATGGTCGTCTTGCACCGGGGAGCGCAAGATCGTCAGCTGGGCCTCGTCCGACTTCAGCTGGAGTCAGAACATTCTCGATCTCCCGTCGCTCCTCCTCGAGATTGGCGTCACTTACCTTTTCGAGATACCGACGTTGCCCACCGCTTCGCCGCCTTCCATGCAGAACGTCTCGGTCCAGTCTGTCCCAGCTGGTGTTGATGGGTGTGGCATCGCACTGACCATCTCGCCTTGAATGTGAGGAGGGCAAGGAAGGTTCAGATCAAGTGGCTGACTTCTTTCGCATTTTTGTTGTAAGATAGTGTTAAAGTTCGTGAAACTCGTCCGAGTCCTCACTCGCTCTGCACTGAAATTGTCCGACTGATCTGACTGAACTGAACCGCCTTCAAGTGGTAGTGCCCCGCTGTATGTAACCGTTACAACGGAATCTCGAAGTTCTCCGACGATCCGCAGAGGAAGTTCCCCAGGTTCAATTCCACTGAATCGACTGATTTGTATTGGATTCCAACAGATTTAATCGGTTTGAATCCGATGCTTGCGGCTTCCAGAACCACGTGCCATGCTGCGTTTCCTCGCTCCCCGTGTTGTCGCCGCCGCCCGCCGAGTGCAAGGTCAGCAGCTTCTCCTTCTACTCCTGCTTCTGCTTCATCTCTAGCTCTTCCTGTCCCTTTCTGCTTTCCTCTCCTCTCTCCCTCCATCGTCCTTCTTCCCCACCCTTGCGACCTGGAAGCTCTACGCCTGCTGCCACAAACTCGCAGTTGTCGTCTAACTCTGTGTCGACCAGGACCGAAGGTTGCAAGAGCCATGTGCTCCAAGTCGCTTGAGGGCACCAAGACTCTTCAAAACCTCAAGGACGCCTTCGCCGGCGAGTGCATGGCCAAAGCTCGTTACGAGTATTTCGCTCAGAGGGCTGACGTCGAGGGGTACACGGAGATAGCTGCTGCATTCAGACAAGTAGCTCAGTCGGAAGAGGGACAAGCTCTCGGCCATCTGGAGTTCTTGCAGGAGATCGGTGACCCTGTCTCTAACCAGCCGTTTGGCTCCACCATCGACAATCTCAACGCCGCCATCATTGGCGAGAACCACGATGGCAACACAATGTACCCTGAGTTCGCCAAGGTCGCGAGGCAGGAGGGCTTCGAAGACGTCGCCAACTGGTTTGAGACGCTTGCAGAAGCTGAACGCATCCAGCTCCGCAGGTTCCAACGGGCGGTGGAGAACATTGGCGACGCTTAAACCTGGGCAGAGCTCTCTGAAAGGCTCGAAACGCTCAGGCCGTAGACTAGATTTTCTGCATTCAACTTTGTAATCTGTTTGTGATACAAGCAAACTGAAGCTCTCAGCTACTGCTCCCACATGTCCTCCAAATTCGCGTCGTTCTACATCCCAGTCAGGATCACCAACATGACGAAGGTGTCTGTGTACCTGAATCTCCTTCCTCATCAACAGCATCTCTTCCAGCTTCTTGCTCGTGTCTTTCATCCGCTCGTTCTGCTCCTTGAGCTCCTCGGGGACTTTGCAGGTGTCAACCGGTCCTGGCTGTCTCCTCCGCTCGTGGTATGCGTCGACGAGCTGCTTGTGGTAGTCCCTACCACCAGGTGAACAGCTTCCTTGCTACATGAGATCAACCAACCTGTACCAGTCCCCGAGCACCTTGCATTGTTCTGATACATCCACACTGCGGACACAGGAATGTCAAAACATATTTGTTGCTGCTTCAGCAGCGACGCCTAATCGATTCCCCAAGGCAACAGAGAAGAAACAAGTCTACAACTTCATGCTCACTTCATGACTGATTCTGTCGTCCCGCCGCTCGAAGTATATATAGGGGTGCCGACAATTTCATGGTCTATCTCATCCTGCACCCTTCCCAAGTCGAAGTTGGTCACGTATTTGTGGTACTTGGGAAACAGGTCGTATATGCTGTCCCTCATAATCGAGCGGATTCGAAGAACGATCTGAGATGTCATCAGGAATTCGTTGCACGAGAACTTCGATTGCATACGTTCTCAGCATATGCGAGGCAGTCCCATACATCTCTGGGGTCGTGTTCTACTTCCTGTCACCGAGGTCAACAAGGTGCATACCCATCAATGAGCCGATACAGAGGAGGACGAGGAGGAGCTGACTTCTGTTGTCGGAAGTCCCGTCACATCATCGAACACTACAGCTATGATCTGCACCACCATTGCTTCTGATCATTTCAAGACATTTCTATCGGATCGGAGCGAACGAACCTGCACTTCGTCTCGTTTCTTGTGATCATACAGTACACATTCGGCATGCAGGCAGGCGTACTCATGGCTCTGCTTCCCCGGGTATTGAAACCTTGGGATGCTCATTCTCTGGTTCAAAACTGAACATAAAGTGACAGACCTGCTCTGGAGCTTCATTCCAGATAGATTCATTGCCTGATGCGACGGCTGTCAGCCCTTCCCCGGTTTCGATCCTCCTCTTATTTTCACCTGCCAGCTCTCGAGGCGATCCTTATCAACGTGCCCATAGAGCGTTCTCCATGGCCTGCCGCGTCATCAACAAGAAAAAATGGCGTCCATCCATGAGGAATGACTTACTTGCCAATAATGTCTTCTACAGGAGGCTTGAAATGTTCCATGAAACACTCGCTGGCGTATATGATCTCGGAATCAATGCTCTGCACAAGACAACTTCAGCTGGCAATGAAATCATCGGCTTTACGCACCTCATTCTTCAAGCGCAGCAACAAGAAGGAATGGTTATAGCTCGAAGGCTCGGACCTGATGATCTCGTCGAATCTTTCGATCAACATTCCGAAGATACCACACTGAGGAAATGCGGGAGAATAATACACAGGATCTGAGAAGTTCTCTTCTGGAAAGCTATCTTTGAAGAGCTCACTCTCATATTCAGACGACGAGACGCCAAAGTGAGAGTCAATCTCCACTTTTTCTTCGTCAGAATTCGTGAAAGATTTCAGCAGGTCATCGTTGTTCAAATAATCATCCCAGTCGGGGTTCTCGGGAACACCCATGTCATTGGCCCTGTTTTTGTAGTATTCGTCAAAGTCTTTGTTGTCCAGGGTCTGCATTTCTGGTCCGGCTCGTCCCAAAAATTCGTCGATTTGCTCTTCGTCGAGACCTCCTCTTAAACACAAATTCTCATCTGCACAGCGTTAAAGCATTCACGGTTGGAAATCAATGAACTGAACCTTCAAGTCCATATTCCCTCAGCCTCATGTCAAGAACCGACCTGATCGACGTCATTCCTCTCACGGGGCAGAGAAAAAAAACACTATCACTTGAAGTCATGGTTCATCCTTAAAGTAGGAGTGTAGTTCTGAAGGCATCACAATCAGTAATCAGTAGGAGGTAACGGGGCTATCAGAAGTTTCTTTACATCCTCTGGTTCCAGATCCTCGATGGTCTCATTGACGTACACAATCTGAAATCTGCTTCAGCTTCCTCACAGACAACTCTGATCAGATACTTCATGCTCACGGATACAAGCTTCTTTGCAATTCTTGTCCAGGTCTAAAATCTACACCAAGGTGCTCTCAGAAAGGAAAGTCGATGGCGTCTTATCAGCACCTCGCCACCTTCTCTGAGATACAACCACTGATCAGGAATGTCAGAGCAGTCGACATGAAACAATTCCATTCTTGACCTTCAGCCCCTCGGAATGCTGTTTGCACAGGGGTAGGAGAAATGTTCGCAGTGGTTCTTCTTCACTTATATTCAGCCCAAACTCTGCAAGTCAAACTAGATCAAGTATGTTCGGTGAACTTGAGAGCTTTACTTCGTCCTCTTGGGTCCACTATCTTGAAGTATGTCCTTCGCTGATCTGATGAGCATCGCGAAACATTCCGATAAAATGCCATCTTCAACTTCACATCAGAGGCGAGTAGTCCTCGCATCATGATTCTTACATGACGGAAGCCGGTGTGATATGTCTTAACAAACCCTACAAGGAAACATCACGAGACACCAGACGGGATTCAAGGACATTACTGATTTCTGTTTGCCGTTCTGAATGCGACGAGCCAGTGAAGGGAGGAGGAAGAGGCGAGGAAGGAGAATGAGGAGGAAGAGACGCAGGAGCAGTAGGGCGAGAAGAAGCGAGAGGAGAAGCCTGTGGCGGTTCCGATGCCAGGGGTAGCGCCATCCACGCTCCCACTGCAAGGACAACCATGGCCTTGCATCGCATTGTTGTCGGGATATCCTGTGGAAAGTGTTTGAAAACGCAATCTCAAAGGCAGAAAATATTTAAATTAGTTTCTCCGGATTTATCACCAGCCTTATCTCGAAAGACCCTCTCTCTGAAGTGACTTCATCAGCAACCTGGAGCTGGAACAAGGAGAGTACTGACTTGAACAGCAACTCCATGTCATGGAGATGCTGATGGAGATGCTGATGGAGATGGTACTGGTGGCAATGCTGATTGAGATGTCTCGACCACTATCTCTTACCTGCGCCTCCCCTACGAGCTCACAAGTTTCAGATACTAACTCAGGAAAGTTTGATTTGAGTTTACTTGAAAACGATCACTTATATTGACAAGGGTGAGAATACAAAGGGCTGGAGGAGAGTGGAGTTTGGTCAAGGATGGAAGTGAATGCACGAGGGGTAGAAGATGGGGAAGGAGAGGGGCGGGAGGAGAATGCAGAGAGGAGCGTCATCCGACTGAAACAACGTCAGAGGGCTGAAATCGTTTCCTGCTATCACGTCAGTCAGTCAAGTCAAAACCGGGAGGAGCAGGAATACCCAGTCGAGAGCCCAGCTGCTGGCCAGCAGGACGAGGCTGCTCGAATCTCCAGATAGGTCGGCACCGCCTGGCGGTCCAGAAATAAGGTGGAGCTGAACTTCGCGCCCAGCGTCAGTCGCACGGACCCTGTCACGTGCACCTCAGCTCCGCCCTTGGAGGCAGCAGCTTTGATGAAGGCGCGGAAGAGCGCGAGGTCGAGGAGCTTCAGGAGGTCGACGCAGAGCTCTGGGGTGAGGGTGGTCTTCGATCGCGGTATCAGGAGGGGGTTCAGCGTCATGTCAGCCTCGAAGCGCCCGATGTCTCCGCCTTCCGCCTCGAGCGACAGTGAGATCTGCGAGACGCGAGCGTCTACGCTGAACGGGTTCCTGACGTCCACCCTGACGTGCACCTCCTTGTCTCTGAAGACGGGCACAGGATCCAGCATGATCGCTCTCGCTACCGTCTGCAGGCGGACAGGCAGGCCGTTGAGCTCCGTCCTCAGCCTCATCGCCCTCAGCACAGCCTGCACCAGGGGAGCACTGGCGTGACTCTCAACGACGCTAATGTTGACTGGCCTCCCCCCCACCAGAGCTGAGATGAAGTCTGCGGCACAGGGATACTGCTGGGGGTCAGGCGGATTCCTGTAGAGCCCGTTGACGATCAAGTGGCTCCAGCCAGAGCTGACGTGCAGAGCCTTCATCTCGACCAGCATCATCGGCGCAGGGACGAGACAACCTGTGGGGCTGATGCCGAGCGTCACGTCTCCTACGTCAGCCGACACTGCCGTGGGGTTGTTCACATTGACGTGCAGCGAGAAGGGAAGCTGATCCGACGAGTTGCCATCGACAAAGTCCAAATCTGAAACGTGGATCAGCCTGCCCAGCTCTGACCCAGACACGTGCAGAGGAAGCTCCAGCAGCAGCGGGAGAGAGTCGACAAGAATCTCTCCGAAATCGAACCTCAAAGTCGAAGAAACATTCCCTGAAAGACGCACTGACGCGCCCCCTGCCTCCTGGGCCTCCACTAGCACCTGAGCCACCAGGTCCTCGTCGAGCACAACGAGGCTCTGATCGACGAGGGAGAGAAAAAGTCGGGAGGTGGGAGCATCGTAAACGACGTCGGTTAGCGGCACCGTGAGTCTGGCAAGAGGGGAGGAATCAGCGGTACGAGAGAGGATGAGATCCGCGGACAGAGACGTGACGTCGAGAGCTGCTTCAAAGGGAAGCGTCACCTGGACCCACAGCGAGCAGCTGAACAGAATGTCCCCTCCGTCAGACAAAGAGACATCTGCTGAGGAGACGTTGAACGATTCAACGCTGATATTGGGAGCAGGCGACTGGAAAGGAATGTTGAATGAAAGCTTCTCCACCACCTGCTGCAGCCATTCCGAGTCGAAACTTTGAGCCGACAGCCCCACAAGCTGCAGGTCGACCCTCTCCCCTCGGAGGAAGGAGCCCACAACTTGTCCAAGTTCGTCTTTTTCCTGTTGGGCAACTCGTCAGGACCAGAACTTGGAGGGGCAGCGAAGGGACATGGCTGTACCTCTTTCGAGGAAGGAAGCAAATGACCACTGACTCTCATCACATTCTTCCCGGGCCCGATGCTCATCGACTGCGAGAACACTTGCCCGAGGCGTAACCCCCGCCGCTCGAGCGCCAGCGCGATGGCACCCAGGGACGCAGAAGCGTTAGAAGGGTTGCGGAAGGAACCCTCGGCAGAGAAGAGCAGCGATCCTCCCACAGAGCTGAACACCTGGATCGAGTCGACCTCCACGTCCCTCAGCCCCCCGCAGCCTTTCAGCACGAGGTCCTGGGTCAGGTACACCCCCGTCAGCGTCAGGTTGCCCATCGCCGTCGTAATGTTCACGTTGCATGTGCACCGGATCTCAACCTCCAGCTCTGTGGAGTTGAAAAAGTCCAGCAGCAGCTGACTGAAGGGGACAGGGGAAACGGTCGCGAGGGAAGCGAAAGAGAGCGAATACCGGTATCTTGACAGACGCAAGATCTTGTCTGGGATGACTTGAAGATTTGCTGCCATGCTCTGCTGGTAGAAAGCTGACACCGAAAGCAGGCTGATGCCTGTCAGAGCGAACGGAGAGTCTTGTCCGAAGATGTCAACCAGCTCCAGCTGAATCTCAGCATCGAGCTCCACTATGCTTGACTCAACAGGGCGAAGAGCAAGGCGAGGAAAGAAGATTGAGGATCCTGACACAAGAGGCATTCGTTTTCCACTGACTGTCACGTCAAGTTCTGTGCCAATCAAGCCTCCTGCGATGAAGTGATTCGACACGCTTGTGAGGTTGGCGGTGAGAAGGACAGGTCGACCATTGACGAGTGAAGAGAACAGCTCGGATGAAGAGACAACGTCTTCGGGCTGCAAAGATGACAAGGTTACATGACACATCAAGTCAACAAACGAGTCATCGGCAGGATCTTCACCTTCAGGATGCCGGAGACTGACAGTTTGTTCGTTCCTGGCACTAAGTTCTTCACTGTATCACTCGAAAAGCTTCCGATCCTTTTGTTCTTGTATGAAATGTCAAGCGTTACGATTCCAAAGTCTGCAATCTAGAAATGGAGATTATTTTACGCTGATTGAACGAGATATATCTACCTGAAAGATGGAAGGATTATTCACCATCAACTCGGACCTTATCATCATTTGTTCCATGTCTGACGATTTCATGTCGAAATCGACAATCGATATCTGACCTTTTGACAACCTGTCCATGGATTTGGCTGAGATCTCCTTCTCAACTTTGATGTCCGAGAACCCTAGGGACAACGACATGCCGAGGAAGTGCACTGCAAAACTTTGTGAGATGATACTGCAAGAGGTATTGTAGCATCACATTCTAGACTCAGAGAGATCTGTCCTTGAATGGCCATTCGCGTTTCTTGCAGGAAGAAAATGTTTCTCACGAACTCATCGAGACATTCGGAATGGTCTGAATTCGACAATTTGATCTTCCCGTTTCTCAGCAGAACATCCGATTCTCTCCTGTTCACTCCGTCAAACAAGAGAATACAGCATGATGAAAGCTTCATGTGGAACCCACTCGATACTGAATCCCGGAAGCAGCAACTCCCCAAGCATGCATGAAACCTCACTCTTCACCCCATGTACTGGATCATCTTGAGACGGCAAGACCGCCGAGAAGTTAGATTCGCCAATATTGATAGATCCTGGCCACAACCTAAAAGTCAAAAGGATCATTTGGGAAATGCACATTGTACACAAATCACCAGGAGGCCCATATGCCAACACTCAGTCGGCTGTCGACTTCAACAACAGGAGCCGAATCGATCCAGCCGATCACACCTTGTTCGATCTGATTGCTATTTACAATCGTCACATTCAACTCCCTCAGATCTAAAATCGAGCTCGACATCAGGCTCTGAACTGTCAGCGGGGCTGCGATGATTCCAATGATGATCATGATGAATGTCACGCCACAGCAAGAGATCAATCTTGGCGCAATCTTGCCGTCACAGAGCAACGGCACACACGTTCCGTGGACTGTTTCATCATCTGCAGCATCTATTCACTCCCATAAGGGAGAAGGGACGGCAAGTCAGGCATTCACCTCGCACTTTGGACAGGAACCACCCTCTACTCCTCTCCGTGCTCGGAGGGACGTCTCTGTCTTCTGCAGCATCAAGCTAAGACCATTTGCGTCACATCCTCATGCTCACCTTGACGTCTGATCTCGTTCCATGAGGACCTGCTCACCTCCCACGTCAGCGCGTATGGGTGGGGAAAGCAGCAAGTACCCGGGCAGCAGTCGACTGGAGGGAGAGTCGCTATCATCGGCATTGCCTTCTTCCAAGCAGTCAGTGGATAACGCTGAACCATCCATATACACTACCATTCGCATCACCTCCACTCCATATGACCGTACTGAGCACATACAGGAAGGGTCACAGGACGATGGGTCCCCTGGGGGATTACCTCGTCTTTTTCCTTGGAGGATCTACCTCAAACTTGTCAGCATTCACAGTCAAGTTCTCATCCTTGTTGTACCTCTACGCTTCTCTCTCTTCAAATACCCCGTCACAGCTTCAAACAGGCTATGAAAGGGAACGTTAGCAACCTCATTGCAACTGGCGCTCAGGCTGTCAGACCTGGTAGCCCGATCTTTCTGCGTTCTCCGCCCACCTTCATGAGTTATCACCCACATTCACGCAGAACAAGAGCAATCGAACCTCCTCCTCTCTCCTCCTCGTCGTACCAGTTGCTCATTCTCCGCCGTCACGCTGCCCCCTTCCCTCCCCAGTCCCCGTTCTGCATGTTTCCTGATTTTGGAGTGGTGTTCCAACAACGACCAAATTTTCATCCCCCTCATGTTCAAGCTCATCTCCCTCCTACTCAGTTCATCGCCCTCATCCCCTTTCTTCTGTTTGACCAGCACAACAGCAGTACAACCAATTTGACCGACCATATGTTTCCCGCCCTCCTTTGTAGGGTGTGTTTCACTACCCCCTATATGGGCTGATTTAAATGTTCAAATATCAGGTAGGGTCATACCACCCACCCTGCATCATTCCTTTCTTTTTTTGTGGGGGCGGGAAAATGTGAAGACGGTCCTTGCTGAGAAACCAGGGGTGGTCGATTTTGATACAGGGTTATCGATATAAAAGGGTAGGGTACTTATGATATGAAAGAGGGGTAATAATTCCTAGGGTAGGTGGGTGTCTAGGTCAAGCAGATAAAGGTCATAGGGGGGATGTGGGTTTGTGGAATCCTACCAGGGGTAATGATGGGTGGGTACTAGATCAAGTACCGGTATATAAACAATTGTTTCGTGTCTCTGTACAGGGGTGATTAGCAAATGACCGGTGATTTTTACTACAAAGTTCAATTTCTGGATGGGGTGTCAAGGAACAGAATTAATTTCAAAAGGTAGGGTCATGTGAGATGGGTGGGTGTTGATGGAAATTCAAGGGGTGGTGCTAGCAGGGTCATAATCAAGGGTGAGATTGCTGCAGCCGCATGGCGGGAAGCCTAGGAAAGCGCGCGCAAAGCGAGCAAGAGGCACGGGGGAATGAGAAAGCGTGACTGGCGGTCATCCAGCGAAGTACATGAAGAGCGAAGAGGATAAGACCATGCCATCGGGAATCAGCGTTCAACGAAACAACGGGAAGAAGCTTTGCAAGGACGGAACATGCATCCTGTGCAGGAAAATGCATGTTGCCGCAGCGATTTGAACTTTCAGGACGTTTACTGGAAGTCAGATCATCGATTACAGGGATAGGTATTTGTTGCAGTACGCTTGGAAATCGTTTCCCTCTCCATATCATGGCGCAACAGTTACATCGTCGTCTTTGTTGCAATTTCTGTGATTGACAATCATTCTATTTGAACTTTTGCAAGCTTGTTTTCGTTCATGATTAGAGTCAGAATAGTCCGTTGAAGGTGTACCGGTGTAAAGGAATCTCTCGCTACGCTCAGAAATCCAACCATTGGTTCTTCTGCTGATTCCTCTGCGCAAGCACACCTGATGACCAGCACCCTGTCCATTGCACCGCATAGCAGGGTTTCTACGCAAAGCCTGGAGTCAACTTTGACAGCCTCTTGCGAAGATGATGGCTCCTTGAGTTCTCGATGTGAAATGGGGCGGCAGACTCGACTGAGCCGTGAAGGGGGTACGGATGAACTGAGGGGTATCCCATCTACCTCTCGGGAAAGCCAAGGACATGAAAAATGCTGCGACGCAAATCAACATGAAGTGTCTCATAGAAGCTGTGGTTGCAATGCAAGCCCGAATCGTGTTCACAACATGCCTACGGATTTTTCTGATCAACAACAGGTTGACCACTGAAACATTTCACCTTGAATAAACTGACCAGTGACAACAGAAAACACGCAAGAATTCAAAGAAACCGACTGGCAAGAGGCAGAATCAAGACATGGATGAATATGAAACAGATGAAGAAATAATGTGAGTTCAACATGGCCTTCTTATGTGTTTTGACATGAACCATTACTTCATGACTGATTGTATAGCATTACTCCTCTGATTCATTCAATCTCAGGTGGAATAAGGTTGTGAAGCGACATCGATATTATGAATCTATTGAGAAACGGGAAACGAATGAATTCATGGAGCGAATCTATAAGACCAAAGTCAACGACATCTTTTTCAGTAGGAAAAAGAAAAACGAAAATATTTTTGGGGTGGATATCAATTCGCCATTACTCCCCAAGGGATTGCATCTGCAAGGTAGCACCATATTGGAAAAGGCAGCAAACCTGCACCAGAAGCTTACAGGTGGTCTGGAAACGGAGGAAGACAAAACGACGCATGAGAGCTGGAGCAACTCGCATTCTGGTATGTTAGCTGAAAGCAATCGATTGAAGAACATCAGCAGAGAATTTTCGAAGGAAGGACGAATCGATATAAAGACGTATCGCAATGTCAATCGCGATACAGCATTCGATGAAGGAATCACTTCTTCATTCTTCGCGAAATACAGCTCAGGAGAATACATCAAGTCAAAAGACGACCTCGAAGCTTCGCCATATTCCGCCAGAGATTGCAAGAAAAACGAGAGGACCACAGCCACACGGTATCCAATGCATTTCAATGAATCAGGAATTTCAAATATTGTGTTCACGCGGAAATTGAATGGGACTTGTGACAATCAAGATTCCGAACTGGATTCAGATGAACGCAGGCTATTCCAAGCCTTGTTTGCATCTTACGGTGAAGAAGCCTTTACCATTTCAAGATTGATGTGCAATAAGAGCATCAAAGCAATCGAGAGGATGATCCGAGATTCCAGAAAGGACATTCCATGCCAAATATGCAAGAATCCAGAGCAAGGGGACGAAATGATTTTGTGTGACAGATGTGATAAAGGATATCATATTTTCTGCTTGTGAGCCCTTTGTTGGAAATCGTCGCTTGTTTCTCATATTTGTTTGCTTTAGGGATCCTCCACTTGTAAGAATACCTGATGGAGATTGGTTTTGCTACCAGTGCAAAGAAAGCATCGATGGTGTAAATCGCTATTTGCGACCAGGACATGAACATCGCCTGGATTGTGAGGGCCTTGGAAATGAGCTCTCTGGTCTTGAATGTACTTGAAACTTTTGCTGGTCCTATATATGATTTGTATTGATTTGCAGGCGAGGCTGAAAAAGAGCTCGTCGAAGCTTTGAAGATCAGAAGCCTTCAAGAATTCGACAAGCTTGCGGACTCTGCAGAAGGGGGGAAACGAATCATATCTTTGGACGACATTCATTATCCTCAATTTGAATCTATATTTGGGGTCTACTTGTTAACTTGCCCAGTTCCTGTCCATAGAGAGCAAGCTGTCGCATATCTTGTACCGCTCCGGCGGCACCTTCGCATTGTTGTCGCCTCTACTATATCCGCGTTCATGAGTCTTCAAATTGAACATATCAAAAAGGAAAGGTACAAATACATGAATGGAAGCCAATCAGAACATATGGACGTGAAGCTTAGCACAGCTCCATATGCAGCAAATGATGGATACTGGGGACGGTGAGACCTTGTCAACTACTCTTTGTTCACATGCTCGAATAAGTACACATTTGATGTTGGTGTCGATGGGCCTCGATGATTGAATGATTTCCATTCGAATGCCAAAATATCTTCTTTTGCTTCTATTTGAGACTTGATGCTGATAAGAATTTTTTTCAGAAATCGTGCATGGATTTTACAAGTCAATCCACAATTTATGGATGTCAGAAGATGTTTGGAACAAGAAAGAGAAATTCAATATTTTGCCAAGCAGTAAGTTGTGCCACCGGACTTTTATAATAGTCAATTGACTTTCTGTATAACAGATACAAGAAAAATTTAAGACCCGGAGACAAGATTTATTTTTGGCAATGCGACAGAGTAATCGATCGCTTGACATTACCTAAAATGATCTCTGATTTGCATTCACCCTCAGGTAAAACAATGTCAAAATCGCTGGAGACTGCAAGGAGGGGGTCTATTCGCTGTCGGACATGTGACTTGTGCTCCTGTTGACACATCACTGCATGACAAGTACAGATCATACTGCAAGCCTGTGGCTCTGATGCTGAACCCTTGGAAACACCATCCAAGCATACTGATTCAACTCGATTGCTTACTTGAACAACCGATTGTTCCAGAGAAATTCGAAACTGGCATGAATTGTGCAGAACTTCACATTTTCACCAATCCGTTTGATTCTATATATCGGATCACTGCCAAGCAGATGACCGCAATAGACTCTCTGATAGATGGATGGATGGCACCCAGTGAATCTCGCAGGCGAGGCAGAAGTTCCCAACAAGACCTTCCGAAAGCCTTTGTCGATCCAGCTGCTTCAGATTCAGATTCCCTCGCAGGATCGGATTACGAATGTGTAGAGACGGATGTAGGCCGGAAGGATCCCACTTGGAAGGAAAAGTGCAGTCGATTGTTGAAGGGTATGAAGAGAAATCGTAACTCTGGTCCTTTTCTACGCCCAGTAGACTTGGTGCAACTTCCGGATTATGAGTCAGTGCTGAGAGCAGCAGGCTGCTCTCCGATTTGCATCCAAGACATCGAGAACAAATTAATGAACAACGATTATCATGATCACCGAGGCTTCGTGAAGGATTTCAGAAGAATGTTTTTGAATGCTCATGTATATAATCCAGAGAGAGATCCAGTTCACAAAATGGCGCAAGAACTTTCAGAGGAGTTCGAAACAAAATGGACCAAGTTTCGCAAGTCTTTGAAGGATCGGAAGCAAGATGTAAAGTTGATGCAAAGTGCAGGCAAAGGATCCGTTTCAAACAACTTGCCTGGAGATCGCTCAGGAGACATTCTGGATGATATGAGTGCTCGATCTTCAAATGGTACCTCATGTAATGGAGAAAATGGTCTCATGGATGGCTGTTTATCTACCGCAAACTCAGCAGGAGCGAATGGTTCAGGGAACATGAATATGGACGAAGAAGCTGACGCACAGAATGCCGTCCGCACGTGCAGAAAATGCCTGAGTTCTTCGAACGTTGAGAAGCTCTTGGTGTGCAATATGAGCGGTTCTGCATTTCACTTGGACTGCCTTGTTGAACTTCCGGAGTCCTTGACTGATGGCCCATGGGTAGCACCGATGCATCTCCTAGCCAAGCCTCATGGAGACCAAGAGAATGATGGCGGCAGCTTGCAATGTTGCTGTGTCTGCTTGCAGGAAAACGGAGAAGATTCTGTTGAATGCCTGTCCTGTTCGTACAAGTTTCATGCCCGTTGTTCTCGAAGGAGTGAATGTGTCCACGATGAAGAGGCAAGAATTTGTCCGGATTGCAGAAATTACCTGTCGCCTGCGTCTGTTCGGGGCAATATCCTGTACAGTTTGATTCGAAGAGAGGTCTTGCTGGAGTGCAGGAGATTAATCCACTTGTAATCTGGGATATAAGTCGCAATTGTTGTCTGACTTTGATGTTGACAGGCATTGCGAACTTTGTGCAAGGGACAGGCAACGCGATCTGGACACGTATGCAAACGTAGCGTGACTTCTCACGTAGCTGACGTCATTGCAGAGAAATTCATCAATTTCGTCTCAAAAAGTCCACGGCCAGATTGTCAAAAAGGATTCTAGATTACAATGCGAACCTCCTGCGGGAGGCAAATCGTCTCCTTGTTTCCATGCATGTCGCTTGTACGAAACGATGATTCGTTTCTTGTCGTTTCTTCGAAATGTTTAGCAGATTGTTTAATAAATCAAGTAGATCCTTGACTCTCCTGGCATGTTGTGCTTCGATGATTAACTTACAGGTGCATGAGGATGCATTCACAATAGCCTGGCAGGATCTGAACGAAGGAGCTTGTTTTCAGGGAACCAGACGTCGTGATCTTGAGCCAGGTTCGATGGAAGGAGGTGGTTGAAGCACTCTTGAAAGCTGGCGCAAGACATTTCACTCGAGGGAAGTGAGCATGTGAACCTCTCGCACCTCTCGGAGCAGAAGACATCTCCTTCGCTTTCCCAGGGAGGAATCACGATCTACGCTCGCAACTAGTCAGCATCTCCCTTTGTCTCGAAGGGGAAGGCCTTCACCTGTACCAATTCACCTCCAAACTTCATCCTTGTGGCGTAGGAATGGAGATACGTCCTCTACAACAAAGGTAAGACTTGCTCTTGCGGCGCTGTAGTCTCACGTCTACTCCTTTGGCTGCATTTCCGGCATAGATCGCATCGCCGAGGATCGGAGAAGAAAGGCATTTCATCGCCACCCTGATCTGGTGTGTCTTGCCTGGAACCAAGGGAAGGAAATCAGCAGGTAGCGAGCAGGAACGCGACTGACCTGTCGAGGGTTTGAGCAGGAACAGGCGCAGCATTGGGGGCTTCCCGTCCTCACTCGGAGGGTCTGTGAGCTCGAAGGCTGTCTGTATGAAACTAGTCACAGCGGGGTTGTCCTGGGTGCGGAGCAGCTTCCATGCTGATCGTCTGGTCCGAGCCATGTCGCCCTTGACCGTCCCTGCGCATCTATTGAGAGACCTGATGCAAGGAGGAGAGGAGGAGGAGGAGAAGGAGAAGGAGAAGGAGAAGGAGAAGGAGGAGACCTTGTTTCTTAGAGGGCTTTCCAGCGGATACAGCGACGTAGTACTTGTCGACGTTCCTCTCTCTGAACTTGGTCATCAACTCACTAGCTGCTCCCCGCGTCTTGGCGAAGAGCAGACATCCCGACGTGACCTTGTCGATTCGATGAACGGGATGCAGAGATCCACGATAGTCGAATCGCTCCTCTGCTTGCAGACTGCGGATATACTGCAAGATCCCTGCATTGCCCTGTTCGTCGACGTGGAATCCGATGCCTGGAGGCTTGTTGACAGCTATCAACCCGTCGTTCTCGAAGACTATCTTGGGTATTCCGAACTGCGTGAGGAAATCGAAAGTTCAGATTGCATGTACGCATTAGAGAAGAAGAACTTGAGCATCATTTGCAATGAAAGCACCTGATGTTGCATCCGAGGATTCACGGCAGGTCGACTGCCATGAGCGCAGGGTCTGAGAGTGATCTTGGAGCAGGTCGACATAAAGCACGAGACACATGATACAGAAGCAAGCTGAGCAACCAATAACACGGGCAGATTATCAAGAGGGACTCGAGTACGGAGAGCTCGAGGGAGGAGGCACTTGGAGGCGGTGAACAAGAATACGTGAAGGAAGGCAAGGAGCGACGAGAGGAAGGCGAGCAGCGGTTGACTGATGAGACGAGAGAAGGAGACTATCAGAGGAGCGCGAGAAGTAGAGGAGGAGAGGAGAGGAGGAGCGCGAGAAGTAGAGGAGGAGAGGAGAGGAGGAGCATGCGACCGTGTGCGCGCGGCTGCATTGCGACCACTGGTGCTCATCGGGATCGATGACCACACGTAAGGGAGAATAGAGCCCTGAAATAATTTCAGTGAAATTTCAAATATGTCTTGAAGATTTCAAACTTACAGGAAACTGGTGACACCGTGTGAAATTCAGTGCCTCGGCCATGCTGCGAGCGGTGGTGGCAGCAGTGACGGTGGCGGCGGCAGCAGAGGTGAGAGACGGGAGGTGGAACACGCTTGCTTCGCATGCAGAATGTTACCTGATGGTGGTGCGTGATGCGTTGAGCCTTTCCTTGTCCTCTGCATCAGCGTGTCATCCTCTTGACATGTAGTTGTGCCTTGAGATGCCTTTGCGTGTGTTTCCGCTCATTGCTCCCGTTAGGCTTTCAGCCTCGGCCCCTCTCCTTTCAGCGTCAGAAGCAACGAGCCGAAGATGGCATGCCAACGCGCTCCTCTGAGCCTGCAGATGCTTCTTGGAGTCCCCAAGCAGGTGCTGGTCACTGGAGCATCGGGAAGGACCGGGTTCTTGACCTTCACGGTGAGGAGGAAAAGTTGGATGTGCGTCTCCTTTGATGTTATGCTCAGAAACTGCGAGAGCTCGAGAAGGAGTTCTACGTGCGAGGGCTCGTGCGATCGCAGAAGGGAGCCAAGAAGTTGGAGACAACCGGGGCATCCCTCGGAGACAGCGAGAAGATCAAAGAGCAGAACGCTAAGATGAGAGCCATGGGTCTTCCTGCTGATGACGACGTGGGTCTGTCTGGATGTCGGTATGCTATCTGACACGAACGTTTGGTTGATCCAGGAGCCAGAGGTGTTTGTGGGCGACATCATGGATAGGGATTCCATCCAAGAAGCCTTCGACGACCTGGACGCCCTCGTCATCTTGACCAGCGGGGTCCCCAAGTTGCGCAAGAGGGAGATTGTCAAGACGGTCCTGTCGAAGCTCATCGGACGCCAGCGCATGCCCAAGTTCTACTACGATCAGATGCCTGAGGAGGTGGACTGGTTGGGTTGCAAGTGCCAGATAGACTTGGCGAAGGAGAAAGGTATCGACCACGTCGTCCTGGTGAGCTCCATGGGAGTGAGTCCGCAGAAGAATACCCCCGACAACACGTTGAACAAGATCGGAGGAGGAAACATCCTGGTCTGGAAGGCTAAGGCTGAAGACTACCTCAAGGAAAGCGGCTTGACGTACACCATCATTCACCCTGGTGGTCTCACCAACAAGCCAGGAGGCGAGCGAGAGCTCGTGCTCGGAACTGATGACTCTCTCCTTGACAACTACGAGCAGCTTGGTGCGAGTCAGAGTGTTGGAAGTGCGAGATGTTCTGACATGGAGGCAAGGTGCGACGCGAACCATTCCTCGGGAGGATGTGGCGAACCTGGTGATTGAGGTGATGTGGTCGGTTGGATCAGCGGGTTGCTGAGAGTTGAGACAGGTCTTGAGGCATAAGGAGCTTGTTGCCAACAAGTCGTTCGACGTTGTCACCAAGGTTGCAAGTTTCTTGCTGAGGTTCATGCGTCCTTGACATGTATGGCAGGATGTTGGTGCTGGTGCGCCAACCAAAGACTGGGAATCGCTCTTCAAAACTCTACCCTAGAAAGATGAATTTGGGATTGAAAAGATAAAGAGTTGCATGACTGCATGTGCTGAGTATGAGAGCATATCGGCGACATGCGTTTTTGTCACGAAGAAATTCATCTGGATCTGTGGGAATACCTCACTTTTCATTCTGTGCTGCCCTGACACTGCCCTCAAGGCTCTCAGCAGAGCATGGCGTAATTGATCTTCTCTTTCCTGAGCAGAAGCATCACTTGGCAACGTCGCACTAAAATCGTTTGCTAACCTCTTTGCTTCGCTGTCAGGAGAGAACGGCGGGTCCTTTCTCGAAGTAAGGGCATCTGGAGCCAGTAGCAGTGAGCTTCAACTGGCAGACTGAAGTTTTACAGCACCTGCATAGGGCGATGTCGAAGAATGTCTAGGGGTCACGTGAGATTGCGGTGACAGTCCGAAGTTGGGCGCTGACCTGCCAACAAGTCACATGCCCGCAAGGTCGCTCAAAGTCACTCACTCTTCAACATGCAGCCCGAAAGCCGGCTTGTCGAGCTGTTTCCGAGCAGAGTCGCAGCTATCGTTAAATCTGGGAATGGAGGGGCTCACAGAGGGGGAGACTGAGGACTTGAGGGGATGAGAGAGTCTGCCGTCATTGGAGAGATCGTTTCCGCTCAGGTTCCGCAGTGCCTCCTCCTTCTGAGAGCATTCCATCTGCAAGCGCATGATGCTTGACTCGAGCGTCTGCATCCTCGAGGTCAACCGGGAGACTTCGGAGGAGAGGTACTGCCTCTCCTTCTTAGAAAAGCTCAGCTCGTCCCGCAGATGTTCGCTTTCTCGCTCCAGTGCTGAGTACTGCTCTAGGATGTCCTGATGAGCCCTCTGCAAGGGAGAGCTTTGATAAGACAAACCCCCAGTTGCCTGCAGCACCAAGGAGCTCAACTCCTGCAGCTTCTTGGCGGTCTTGTTTCGAGTCTGAGGGCTGAGATTCTTCTCCACATCCTGCAGTTGTCCGCTCCTCAAGCTCTCGGTGATCTGATCGATGATGGTTCGCACGTAGCTCAGCTCTGCACAGGCCTCGCATTTCACCAGGTGGGCGGAGACTCCAACCCTCGACTCCTCGTCCACCTGCTCATGTCTGCCCCGATCCCGGGGTTGCGCTCGTCGTTGACGATGTTTGGTCTGATGCTCCTGCGCCTCCTCCTTGTTCTCGCTCTCGCGTGAGACGCCATGGCCCACGAACTGCTCGGGGTTTGCATCCTGCAAGTCTGTGCGCTGCATGGGGGCCTCATCCTGATCAGCGTCGCGGTCAGTTGTGAAAGCTCAGAAACACTCGCAACCTTGTCGCCATGTTCAGCAGGAAAGAGCTCAAGACACGTTGCGCCTTGTCGCACTGTCAGTTCTAGCAAGGAAAACACCGCAGCATCTCACAGTCAAACATACTTTCCCTTTCACTTTCATCTGGATCTCTTGGAGACATGTGAACATTTTCTTTGGGGAATTCTTGAAACAAGTTCGTATCCTTACGGAGGAATTCAGTCAGAATCTGATCATCCAACTTACACTATCACCTTATATTCCACTATTTCATCGTTCATGACCGGTGGCTCTTTCTCCTTGAGCCCCAACAAGCGATATTTCTCGTAGGTCTCAGGGAGCTGTGCGGTACATCAGGAGCTGTGGGTTGCTACATGCAAGCGGTGAGTCTATCAACCTCTTTGAAGTCTTCTGAGTCCAAGCTGACATGATTGTCTTCGGACTTGTCCATTATCATGCAGCTGGAATGCTGTGGAACGCCAAAAATGTCATCCTGATGTCTTCATATCACTAGTAGGGCATCTCTCACCGTCCCATCCATGTAACAACAGAATCTCAGGTCATCATCTGGGAGGTCTTGTATTTCTCCGATCACAAAACTGTCCCTCCTGGTCAGATGAAGTCAATCTTCTCCAAGTCTCGATGGATTGTTGTACAGGAACTTGACGGTGTGATCCATGTGATCGAATTCAACAGAGATCTTATCGCCCAAGGACAAAGGATCCAAAGTTTCATCTTCGAATTCTTTTCCATCACACAGAAATCCCTTCAATCAATTTTCAGGCAATCATCTCACGTCAGATTGATGCACCTTGTTCAATACAAACCATGCCGAGCCGGATGGTAGTCGACGCAAAGAGTCATCAAGAGGTACTGAAGCTTTCTGTTCGACTAGTTCAAGAAGATAATACTAGTAATTCTAGGAATACCGCAACGCCCACAGCAAAGTATTTGCAGTCTCCTTCAAAAACAACTTCCATACTTTGGACTTTTGGTACAGAGCCAAAAGATCCGGACAAAGCAACAGAAAAATCTAGTGGAAGATCAAAAAATATGTTTGATGTTAAGCGTTGGCCTACCTGGGATGTTCGAAACCTTTTCTACTTTCAGACCCTCTCTCTGTATCTTCATTCCATCCCCGCACAAGGCCCATCGAACAGAATAACTGGAAACCATGACCAGTTGCTGTCAACAAATCCTAGAATGCTAGAGCTCCTGCCGTCAGTGCATGATAACAATCAGCCTGTAAAGGAAATTCAAACATGAAAAGGATTCTTTGAGGTATCATTTGCGTATGCTGCTGACCTTCTATGTATTCTTGACGTTTATCTTATATCACTTTGATCTCACACTCCCCGTTACTACCTTCTACTCGCTCTGCACTGCAAAACAATTCAGATGACGGATGTTATGTTTGTTTGGAGAAAATTACAAAGACACGAGGAAAGAGAGAAAAAAGGAGGGAGGGAAGGAGCGGACGGATGTGAAGGGGGCGGGCGGGCGGGCGGGGGACGGGCGGGAGGGAACAGAAGTTCAACATAGGGGTGGCTGCAAGAGAGTAGGTAAAACGTGGGGAGGGAAAGGTAGGTAGGTGAGAGAGGGAGCAGGATGGGAGCACGAGGGAGCGAGCAGGAGGGGAGCAGGAGGGGAGCAGGAGGGGAGCAGGAGGGGAGGGAGCAGGAGGGGAGGGAGCAGGAGGGGAGCAGGAGGGAGCAGGAGGGGAGCAGGAGGGGAGCAGGAGGGGAGCAGGAGGGAGGAAGGAGGGAGGAAGGAGGGGGAGGGAGTAGGAGGAGGGAAGAGCCTTGAAGAGCAACCCTGTGCCAAAAACTTGAGATGTGATCAGAAACTTTTGAGCAATATTTTCAAGAACATTTTCAAATTACATCAGTAAAATTCAAATATTAGCCATAGTCTTTTTAAAATCTAATTTCATTCTCATCTTGCCGGTAGTATCGGAGCGATGGCTCGGGAGGCGTTGGATACAGCGCTAGAGTTGTTGGTGATGGCGGAGGAGGCGAGCTTGAGGAGCAGGAGAACAGTCGGATCATCATCCTTCGCATCTGATGCCTCCAGCAACCCTCCTCCTTCCAACGCCAACTTGTCTTCATTCCTTGCCTCGTCCTCCTCTTCCTCTATCTTCACAAAACCCATCCTTTCGTCGAAGAGAATGATGAGCAACGCACGGAGAAGGTCTTCAGTGCATTCGCATGCTCCCTCTTGGCTGAAATGGATGAGGAATGGAGCTCAAATGTTGGACACAACCATGGAAAAGCTCAAAGACGATTCCCAAACCATCGAAAGAAAGATCATGGATGCCTCAAAGCGGCTAAACCAAGGGATACAAGGTTTTGCCATGGGGAAGTATGATTTGACACAGGAAGAGATTGTTGGGATTCTTGACATTCTGAGGATTGTTGTCATTCCAAACATTGAAGGGAGGATGAAGACAATAAAGAGAATCATATCAGAAATCAAAACTTCGGGGGTTCAGGAATACAAGGAATATTTCGATAGCCCGTCGAGGGATTTATTCTTCTACGAGAATGAACTTGAAAAAAGAAGCATCCAGCTAGAAGCTTCGTCAAAGGATATCGTAATCCTGAGCAGGAAACTCATTGAAGGAAAGAAAAACCATGCTGACGACACACAACGGGCAAAGAAGTTGACAACGTCATTGTATCATTCAGCATCTCGTTCGAAGCTTGATTCTCCATCTAACAAGACGAAAGCGAATGCATTCGACGCGGAAAAGGTACTGTCATTACTGCAAAGTAAGAAACCATCAGACAAGCTGGTTGGAATACAAGCAATCAATCATCAATTGCTCGTCAATTGGGATAGTGCTCGGATCGAACTTTTCCTCCAAGAACTGTTTTCATGCCTTTCAAACGTCAATAGTATGGTTCGGAAAAGTTCGCTTGATCTAATACCTGATTTGTTTCATAACATACCGGTGATTATAAGGGCATACGAAGAAGATCAAACCTTATCTCAAGAAGAAAAGACCATTATCGAGCAGAATATCTTGGATCAAAAAATACTTAGCAAATGTTTGCAAAGTGTAGACCATCACGGACTAGAGATGAAACAAACTCTCATAAGCCTGCTGGGAAACATCGTTTGGTCGAAAGACTTGGAATCTTTGAGTCGAATGCATTCTTTCCTCGAGGATCCTTCTCCTTATGTGCGCAAAACAACAATCATATCCTTGGCAAAAATTGTTTTTCCAGAGGGGTGCACAGAAACATTTCATCGAACAGCTCAATTGCAGTACGACAAGGAATGGCTCGTCCGCGTTGAGTTGTGCACTTCACTTCCAAAGATGGCAGGGTTGGTTGCTGATGATAGTTGCAAAGCTGCTGTCAAACGGTCCATGGAGGACGATGAAGATGAAGAAGGCTTTGGAATGAGCCATTCGTACAATGTGTTTGAAATGGATTTGGATGTTGCAAAAAGCTCTCCTTCCGTGAAAAGTGAGCGAACTATGAAGGTGAGGATGTATCACCCTGATAAGATTGACAAAGACAAGATGAAGAAGAGCCTGCTCGATATCATTGTAAGAATGTTAGATGATGACTCGTGGAATGTTCGCCGAGCAGCAGTGAAAGTTTTTGCAACATTTGCTCATAAGGGGAAAAAGACCACAGAGACTCTCTTCCCTCTTTGTGAAGATCCCAAACTCCAAGTCTGTAAAACAACTTTCGAGTGCATTCCCAGAACAATTTCTCAAAAGACTTCAGAGTACAACGAAACAGTGCTTGCATTGCTAACAATCTTAGTGTCAAACATGAAGGACTCCCGGTCCAAAGGTTCTGCTCCTCTCTTTTTGAGTTGTTAGTGAACTTCTTGCTGCTGCAGACCTGAAGGACCTGATAGTCGAGAAGCGCAAGGCTGAAATCAGTGACTTTGCTCTGACCTGCATCCTACAAGTTGCAAAGAAGGACAACGCTCTGGTCATCAACGGTGACAGATTGTTCATGGCACCGAGGTGTCTTCTAATTTCAAAACTGCAGAGTTCGTCCGAATCCTTGAAACGAATCACAACCCAGTAATGATTATCTCTGTTCTAGAAGTTTGGCCCAAGTTGATTTCTCCTTCGGATAATCTGAACGGTAAAGCTGTCCTGACGATATCGACTGTGCTGACCTTGCGAAGCCATGAGACCCGTCTTGAATCTGCTCTGCTCCAATGAAGAGGTCGTCAGAAAACAAGTCGCTACCATTTGTCCCATGCTGTTGTCAAATCCACCCAGCAGGTCGTTAGTTTTGAGATTATGAATGATCGGATTTCGACGTTTCTAACAGGAATTTGCAGTGACATCGTTTCATTTCTTGTTGTTTTCCTTTCACATGAAAACATTTCTGTCAGAAAAGCAGCGATTGCGGTTCTTCAAGTATGTGATACCCCAATGGATTCCTATCATGATGCGATTCCAGGACATATCTGGTCTCAATGGCGAAGAATTAAAGAGCCGGCGTGCTCAACTACAGAAGATAGCCTTCGGATCCAAAGAGACGATTGAAGTGTTGTCGGGAGAAGGGAGGCTGATATCAGACGGATTGAATGAGGTCATGCAGGAGCTTGATATGTCTTGAATGCAGCCTGTGAGTTCAGTTGCAGGAAGAAGAGAGGATGTTGAGCAGGCACGGCAACGACTTCGTAGCCAAAGGACTGGTCTGCGAGATGATCAAGGTACTCGAATGTCTTGGTGGGAGGTCGAGTGAAGGAAGGCAGGGCACAAGTGGGTTAGAATCGAGTCACTGGAAGCGAAGGATTCTCCTTCTCAATCAGTACGGTATGCTCCCTCTGATGGGCCCGTGCGCTTGTGAGGGTCTTGAATCAGGCGAAGTCTGGCTCGCGTCCATGAATCATTTGCTCGATCCGATTCAAATCATCGCCAGGAACTCCGACATCGTCGTTACCAAGTTGCAGTTCGGGTCGCTCTTCCAATCGGCTCTCCGTATCGATGTAGCTGGTGCGATCCTCTTCACGTGTGCGCTCGTGACATGCGGCGTGCCTGAGGTCAGATGGAAATCAGACTGAGACGTACAACTTGGGTTTCATCACGAGAGAAGAGTTTGTCGGCAAGCTGAAGTTTTCTGCGATGTTGTGAAATCTGACTCCCGCTTTCTAGCTTGGCTCTGTGATTTCATAGAGATCGAGAAGAAAAACTCTCGTAGCAATGTGCGAAAAAGAAAGGATGAACATCGTCGTGTTGATTACAACATGGTAATTGATTTTTAAGAAACAGGGAACAAGGTTGACTGAATTTGTAACAGACAAAATATGAAGAAAATTACTATGGCAAGACAGAGATGGCACTGGATCAATTCATAACTGAGTTGATGACTCCAAAGCTTGTAATGACAAGTCCGGACTTGACGAAACTCTGATTCGATTCTTATCAGACCTCAATAGGCGACAGGCAGAGCTCAGATAGAATGAGAATTCTAGTCGAGAGATTGAACAATCTCGTCACTGATAAGGAGGTGAATGCTGATGAATCGGTTGATCTGATCGCGCATGCTAAGAAGGGAATCTTTAGCTGTTCTTTCGGTTTGCAGATGACTCTCAGCGACTAAACGACAGAAATCTTCGAAACCAGAACACGATCACGAACTTTGAGAGTGCAAAGATGAGCATCACCGAGCTGATTCGAATGTTGAAACATTTCGATGTATGAATTTGAGCTAACGAAGCAGATCACCTGATCATTGAGCAGTTGTTTGGAACTTACTTCAGTCCCAAACAAGTGAGCGAAGCATGGAAGATCGCAAACTCTGGCGAAGGACCCAGCGAGGATCACGACAACCTACAGGTGAAGTTGTTGATGTGGTGCTGGCGAGTTGAGACGAGTCAAGATGGACTGGGAAGAGTTTCAAGTCTGTATCAAGACGCTAGGAAAGCAGGTTATTCGTCTTTCTCTCTCAGAGTTTTCTTGCTGAAGTTCTCGATCAGGCGGGTATTGATGTGCAATCCGAAGAAGACGAAAGATTCAAAGTGCCTCCTCGCCTGTGCACCTCAAAATCTGACCTGTCTGCTTGATAGAACCTTCAGAAGTATCAGATCACAGAGGTCAAGAACTTGCTCTTGCAGCACTGGAATGATTTTCAGCTCTTTGCTCGATATTGCGCTGGTTATCATGGAAGCGAGGGGGATTGACGATTGACAACGTGACAGGAACTCAAAAGGGAGCGGCAAAGAATCTAGTGCAAGCTATTGGCAAAAGTAGATAGTGGAAGGCCGAAGCTTTGGGTACTGACATGCTGAAAGAACGGATGAAATCAATGGACTTCAAGGAATTCATCGAGTTGTGTGAGCATATCAAACTCTTTCCGCGTGTAATGTCAAAGGTAAGACAGCATGAAAGGAGGGTATACAATGACAGGATTCAGGCTAAACTCGCAAAGCACTTTGAAACTGCCAACTCATTTGTTGAGCTCCGAGATGAAGTGAGAGTTCTTCAAACTGAGTTGAAATGGTTTTGATTTCTCTTCAGGACCGGCACGAGTTCTCATTTGAAGAATACAAGTACGTCATGATTCAAATTGCAAGGGAGCTGGGTGTGAAGATAATCGTATGTGAGCATTCGATCTGAGCAATGGATTCACAACTACTGCAGGTCAACGGTCGAGATTTGACAGCGAAACTCTTTATAGCTGAGATAACGGACAAGACATGATGATATCTGTTGAATCGAATAATGTGTCATACTGTATCAATAATCTGTTTGGGGGCGCTTGGAAGGTTATGTAAAAATAGTCGAAGGTCTTGTGGAATCGGTTCCTGCATCCAGTCACTGAGAGTCATAAAGCTCGACATGGTCAAGTGATAAAAGAAAGCACCTCTACGATAACCTCCTGGTTCTTGACAGGGTGCAGTAGCGAAAGCCTCCAAGCATGCAAGCACAGCCTCGGTAGTCCATACCTGCACCTTTTATCAGCCCCTGGCAAGACGCTCTCAGCGCGCTGACTGTTCCCGGAAGGCTGTGTTGATTCTTCCTTTGCCGTAGGAGGTATCGCCCAGAATGTTCAGCTGCAGGTCTAGCTGGGGTCAGCGCCCCTTGCCTCCTAACTGCAACTGACCCTGCAGGTGTCTCCGGATCTGATGTCTCCGTCCTGTGTACAGGGTTGCCTGTAGTTTCACAATCAACAGCCAGCAGGGAAGCAAGGGAGAGAGAGCGAGGAGCAGGGAGAGCGAGGAAAGGGAAAGCTTCGAGTGAAGTGAACTTCACCTTGAGGATCGAGACCGTCACGTTGCGCGTGAATCTCTTCTCCTCTCCTGATATGCTGGACTCCTCGATCCAAGTCCCATCCTCCATCTTCACCATGAGCGGTTCGTCAATCTCAACCTGCAAGCTTGCAGTCAGTGCAAATCCTTCACGTTCCCCTCCATCACCTCAAAACTCGCTAGCCGCTGGAAGCTGGTCTTGCATTCTCTGACCGTCCTGTCCTTGCTGTCTCTATCGGTTCTGCGGGAAGAGAAGAAGACCTTCAGCTTGTCTCATGTTCATGTCTGACAACTTACAAAGGTTTGTCGCAAACAAATTCATCTTTTTCAGGTACCCCACGCACAATGCAAATGTATTGTTTCTGAGCGTTGTACAACGCTTTCTTTCATCTCACATCAGCTGCTCACACATATCAACTCTTGTCACCTGTGCAAGAGCTGCCATCTCAGAATTTTTAGCAAACAGGACCAATCCCGAGGTCGCGCGATCCAGTCGGTTCACCATGTAGATTTGTTTCTTGACTAGATCTCGAACAATCTGTAGAAGAAAGACCTTGTCTTGACGAGAAACATAAGACTTGTGTACCAGAAGGTTACCAGGCTTGCTGACAACCAGCAAATCATCATCCTCATAGCAAACTTTGACCTTCGAAGCCATATCCGCATATTGCTCTTCGAGTGACATCGCTGACTCGTCCTCATCCCCCTCATCCGCTTCCTGATCCTGATCCCCTTCCTCGTTCTCATGCATGAGGGTAACGCTAAGTCGGAGAGAGCCAGGAGGGCATCTGAGCATCCTCCGCTCCCACAAGAAGCCTCGTGACTTCGCTTGCTTGAACATCAACGCCGGGCCACGAGACAGCATGACAGGCGGTCGCGCCACCAGCGTCTTGTGGGACCCTGACGCCCACAGCAAAGACAGGCGGGAGCTACACGCTGTGAGGGAGGAGGAGGAGGAGGAGGAGAAGGCTGAAACTCCCTGCACCACCAGCATCGCCGCGCACGCCACCCGCCCGGTTGTGCGCATAGCAACAAGCAACATTGGAGTATGGACAGGGGTGAAGGGGTCCACATTCAATTTAGATGCTTGGCTGGTTTGAAGGGGTAGGGTAGGGGTAGGGGATGAGGGACCACGATTTCACGTGCGAAAATGTCGGGCGGAGAGGGGGAGATGGGACGGGAACGAGGGCAAGGGAGGGAGGAAGGGAGGGAGAGACGGGAGGAGACGAGGGGTTGAGAGGAGCAAGAGGGAGGATACGGCAGGTGGGGCGTCAAAAGTAGCGCACAAGGAGAAGAAGAGGATTAGAGATACAGGAAATGAACGAATCATAGCAGTACGATGTAGCGAGGAGGGGAAGTGAAGATGGATTCTGATCTTATGTAAAGGTGACGAACGCGTGAAATCATGTCGAAGACAAAGTCCCGAAAACAAGTGGAAGTGGAAGTGGAAGAAAAGAAAGAGACGATCGTTGAAAAGAAGACAAAACGGAAACAAGTGAACGAGGATCAGGATCACGCAGAAGGATCAGCAACCAAGAAGAAGAAGGGTGGCGCCGACAAAGGATCAAACGCTAGCAAACAGAAGGCAATGGACGGTGAAGAAGAAGCAAAGCACAAAGACCCTGCTGATCACAAGAAGAAGAAAGATGGCAATAGTAGCAACACCCCTTCGAACAAGAAGAAGGAGAAACCAGCAAAGAACTCGAACAAATCACAATCAGCGTCTTCTTCCAACAAGATCCATCCCGTGCTTGTGAGAGGCTTGTTCGATGTCAGCGTCGCGGACCTGCAGGATCTGTTCAGCGAGTGCGGTCAGACTCGGCAAGTGAAGATCAAGGGGAACGGAAAAGCGATCGTCGAGTTCAACGATAAGGCAGCAGCTCATACAGCGATGAGTCTCAATGGGACGGAAATCGATGGGAAAGTTCTCAAAGTCTCGAAACTGCCGCCAGAGGAGGCGACAGGAGCCCAGGACGAGAAGGAGGACGACGGGTACTCGACCTCTGTGTGCATCAACAGTGTCCCGCCGGGTACGACAGTGCAGGAGGTGAAGGAGGCATGCTTGAAGCACGGAGGGGTGGTGAAGGTGAAGATGGACAAGAAGAGGGATGGAGTTGCCTTCTGTGAGTTCGAGGAGAAAGACGCTGCTCGTCAGGTGCGTCCTCGCGTGCAGAAAGCAGGCCTGACCCCTCGCAGGCCGCGAAGAAGAGTATCAGGATAGGAAGGACTCTGTGCAAGACCGTCCAGCTGAAACAAGAGTCTGTCAAAGGGTGAGCTGCAACGAGGAGGAGGAGGAGGAGAGAGGAGAGAGGGGAGGAGCGAGAGGAGAGGAGAGGAGGAGCTTTTTCGTTTTGGTCCTGATCGGTTTGACCAGACCTGAGGTAGAGAAGAAGGAAACTTTGACAGCGAAGGCAAAGAAAAACATGCAGACAACTGTGTTAGTGAAGAAGCTGAGCGAAGATGTCGACACAGTAAGATCCGATGAAATGACATCTCCCTCTCCCTGCTCTCATCCTGTCCCACCTACCAACCATCCCTCTTTTACCTTCTTCTACTTGTTTACCTGACTTGGGTACGCAAGAAAATTCTCTCAGAGTTCTTCTCCAAGTGCGGTGAGGCAATGGAAGTTCGAATGGCGTCAGCTCATGGCGAGAAGATTGCTTTCATTAAGTTTGGAACAAAGACAGGTGCCTTTCTCCTCCTATCCCCTCTCTACTCCGTTGTCCTGTTCACCTTCACCTTGCATCTCCTCTCCTCTCCTCTCCTCTCCTCTCCTCTCCTCTCCTCTCCTCTCCTCTCCTCTCCTCTCCTCTCCTCTCCTCTCCTCTCCTCTCCTCTCCTCTCCTCTCCTCTCCTCTCCTCTCTACTCCTCTCTGCTCCTCTCCTCTCCAACTGCTCACAGCCCCAGTCTTTCTGTCTTAATGTTGTTGATCGCATCCGTCAGCCTTCAGGAAGGCGTTGAAGATGAAAGGAACGGAGCTGAAGGGGATGAAACTACTTGTGTCTGCTGCCAAGAACGTCACTGAGCGAAGTGAAGCGCAAGAGCATCAGAAGCGACCGAAACCTGCCTCCTGCCGCACTATCATCGTCAAGAATCTTCCCTACGCCATCGGAGACACTGAGGAGAAGATAAAGAACAAGATCAAGAGAGTTTTCAAGGTATCGCTTCCTCGCCTCCCTCCTCTCCATCTCCCTCCCACCCTCCTCCCCTCTCTCTTCCCCTCCTCTTCTCATTCTCTCGTGTCCTCAGGTGTGCGGAACTGTCAAGGACGTCAGGCCCTTCATGGAGAGGAAGCAGAATGGGGAGGATCCGACATTCAAGGTCTCACGCTCGCTCGCTCGCTCCCATTCTTCCTTACTTCCCCTCTCCTCCCTCCTTCCCCTCCTTCCCTCCCTCCCTCCCATCCCATCCTTCCTGCCTGCCTGCCTGCCTGCCTGCCTGCCTGCCAGCATAAATCCATCCTCTCCCTCCCTTCCTTCTCACTTTCTGCCTCAATCCTTCTATTAGCGTCTATGCCATGTTCGCCCACCATTGACAGCCCAGCAGGGGATGGCGTATGTTGAATTCAACGAGTCTGAGGCTGCAGATGCGGCGCTTAAGATGAACGGTGAGCACGCGGAGAGGAGGAGAGGCCGAGAGGGAGTGGGGCAAGGCGAAGCAGCGCAGGCAGTGAACGAGCTGCAGGTCGAGACAACGATGGTCGGCCGATGAAGATTGACTGGGCGGACAACAAGGAGATTGCCCTCAAGAAGAAGTTCGGAACAGGAAAGATCCCCCCCAAGCCTAGCGTTGGAAAGAAAGGAAAGAAGCAAGAATGAAGATGAAGTTGTAAGATGAAATCTCCAGCAATCACTAGCCCATTACAAGAGACTTCCAGTCTCTTCCTTCCTGTCGTCCCTCTCCTTCGTTATCCTACCAAGGATTCTTATATCTCCGATGACCTGCACCCAAGCGTCAGCTTCTCGCTTGCTTCGCTTCCTCCGCTCACCCAGCACGTCCGTCAGCTCCAGCATTGAGTTTGATCGCCACTTCTTGTTGACGAGGAAGAGTCCACCCATCAGCTCCAGCACCTGGTGAGCAGCATGAGGACGAGGAGCGAGCAGCGAGAGGAGCACCTCTTCCGCCTTGTACAGGCAGTGCGAAGCCGTCGCTGGTTGTCTTCCTACCGTACACGTAAAAACTTTCACTTCCTGTGAGACGCGCATCAGTCGCGTCAGCTTTAGTTCGCCAGGCTATTATGGTGGAACCTGCACGGTCTGACTGTTGGAAACAACTCGATATTGGGCGTCTCTATGGTACGCCATGATGACCTGAGCAACCATCAGTTGCTCTAAGGAGACGAGAGGCGGTCAAATCTGTCAATCACCTTGAACATGTCTTCATCTGCAATGTCATCTCCAATGCCCAGAAGGAAATCGACCCCTCCCCTGTTGTTGTAGTGCTTGATCGTATGCTCGACAAACGCTCCTTTCGTCACTCCCTGCCAATCTAATCACAAACTTCTTCTCACCAGCACCAGCACCAGCACCAGCACCAGCACCAGCACCAGCACCAGCACCAGCACCAGCACCAGCACCAGCACCAGCACCAGCACCAGCACCAGCACCAGCACCAGCACCAGCAGCTTCTCCACCTCCACCTCCGGCTTCTCACCTCATGTCTAACCCGCACGAAAGTCTTGCCAAGGACGATTCGCACCGGGAAGTGCGACAGCATCTCCTGCAGGTGATTCTGCAGCTCCTTCCCCTGCAGGGACCCGAACTCCGGGTTTGCGCTCTCCCAGTGCCACGTCACCGACGAGATCTTGTCGTCTTCGATCCAGCTTCCATTGGTTCTCTGCGTGTACTGTCGCATCAGCCCCACCGCCACGTCCTTCCACTCATCCGTGATGTGCATCTTCGTATCCCATCGCCCAAGAGGGCTTCCCGGCCACTTGTAGTAGTAGCCGTCCTCTGCCGCCAGCCCCACCTTGTCCAGCCCCTCGATCTCCCCCAGGTAGTTGCGGATCTCCTCAGGGGAGTAGCTGCTCAGAAGGAAGAGGAAGTTGCCCTGGTGCTCCGAGATGTTTCGCAAGCACTTGGCAATCTCTCTCTTAGACGTCAAAGTTGCTGGCCCCTCCAGCGCTTTCTCGGGATACAAGATCGGCCGCAGCAGCAGGTCGATGTCGACAATCAATAGTCTAGTTTGTGCCTGCTGATATGCCGAGTAGACATGCTCAAGCTTCAGGTGCTTCGACGACATCTCCTTATGCGGCATCTTCACTATCCCCACCCGGCATCGCGCTCGAACATCTTCTCCAAGCTCCAACATCGTTTCTCGGATCTTCTTCATATCCAGAAAGGCCTTCTCTGCCCATGAGTAAACGGTGTTCTTCTTACAGAAAGCGACTTGCAATTCATGCCAGAACTTCTTCTCGTGGTCGTCTTGCAGCAGCAGCTTGTGAATCGCTCGAGCAAGATCCTCGTCCCTCCAGGGATTCGTCCTGACAGCGCCAGGCAGAACACGAGAGCAGCCGAGAAACTCCGAGACAACAAACCCTCCTTTCTTCTCGTCACCGCACAATACAAACTCGAAGGGAACAAGATTGAGACCATGTCGAATCGACGAGTTGACAAGCATATCAGCACAGGAAAAAAGTGAGACCCTCTCCGCAAACGGCATTCTCCTGTGATAGTGAAGGACCAGCCCCGGGTATTCATTGTTGAGCTCGTTCGCAAGTTTTGCCACCTCGTTTCTGTAGTCCGAGTGTATCTCGTTACCTTCAGCATCCTGCAGCGGGACCGTGACGAGAACAAGAACAACGTTGCCCAGGATGGATGGGAACAGGCGGACAAGAGATTGAAAGGCGCGGAGCAGGAGTAGGATCCCACTCATAGGCTCGAGGTCATCGTAACCGAGAACAACGTGTTTGGAGCGGAAGATTTCATTCCACTTGGCCTTGAACTGAGGGACGCGCTCATCACTCTCAAACTTCTCCAAGAAGGTCCCTGAGTCCATGCCGACATGACTCGCACGGATATGAACGTGATGCCCTCTGAAGTTCAGCTGTACAAGTCCTCCTCGCATCGAATGATATTCCAGACCCAACAGGCGCGAGCAACAGGTCAGGAAATGCCGGGCATAAGTGAAACAGTGAAAGAATATCATATTCGAGTTCAACACACTTCGTAGAATTTCTTTGCGAGCAGGGAGCATCCGAAATATATCCGATGAAGGAAATGGAGTGTTGAAAACAAACCCAATGTTAGCACTTTTACACCTGCCAACCGGTGAGAAGACAACATGTATTTTGAAAGATGTACCTTGCTCCAACAAATGCCGGAACCATTAACAACTCGATATCTACTATCCACACGTAATCCCCATCATTGAACCTCTCCACCAGAGGTTGAACCATTTCAAGATTCACAGTGTTATAGGTCTGCCATTTACTTTGCTTTTCCAGAGCGCCCTTGTGAAATGCCAAGCACATGTCTGCCATGGTAGGAACCATAAAGTGAAAGGTGGGACGCAAAATTCGTTCGCAGAATTCTTGAAAGTCTCGTGCCATTCCACAGGACAGAAAAACAGGAAGACATTGAAAATCCCTCTCAAGTATCTTAGAGACCTTTTCACGGTCTTCTGGTGGCACTTCGATACCTAACCAGCCAATGTACCAAATTTGAGCCTTCTTCCTCAGTTTTCTCAACTTTTCCACAACATAGCTGGCATGCCGGCTAGAAGTATTTGTGGCATAACCTGACGTACATGTCAGTTTTTTCGACAAGAAAACAAATCGTATTTCAACAAGGCTCCACACCTGGATGCCATTCAAAAAAGTAGTCGTTGCTCCCCTTGGGTCCTCTGATCGTTCTCAATGGAAGCTTATATGATATTATGTACAAACATTCCCCAATGATCGAAACTTGCTGCTCGGTGTATTCGTTGTAAACTGAAGTCCTTCCACTGGCGTCGATTGCGAGCTTTCGCTGTTTGCGATCTAACAGCTGCGCTCTTTCAACATTGAATTTACCATCCTCCAAGACCACGAAGACACCTTCTGGCGTAAATGTTCGATTTGAGATGTCTACCTCCCATTCGACCTCGCTCGTGGATCTTCGGTATATGATGTACTTGTACTCAACAGGCTCTCCGCTGGGAACTTCGACGCTGCCAGTCCACATGGGATACATCGACTGATCAGTATGGAGAGGTATTGCCTTATCTGGCTGCCAACATCCCAACGGAGGGCAAGATCCCACCACACTCAGATGGTCACCTGTCTGCGTGTATGCGTGTATCTGAAACTGGACGCGAGTTTTCATCTCATGGGGGAACCTTGGAAGGGAAATCGGCAATGTCTTTCGCTCAGACCTCTCCATGTTTTTGATTGCCTCGTTGCTATTACTCTTGCTCAGCTTCTTCTCAACGTTGATGGCTTCGTTGCTGTTGTTTCTGCTCAGCCTCCTCTCTCCCCTCTCCATGCCCTTCAAGCTCTCTGATGAGCTTGCTGCAGACAAACCAGGAGACAACCCGTCTAGAGCACCTACCCAGCCATCAAGACTTCTGTGTGGCCCAGACCAGTCCTCTCCAACCGAACCATGCCCCTCACTGTCTTCGAAGCCATTCGACTGCATAACGCGATGATCTACAGCAATCATACGTTGTGGTTCCAGGTTTGCAGCCGAGATCATCATATGGAATTCATAGTTCACCAACAAACATCAGATGTAACATCTGGACGATCTGAAACGTTCCCATCACCTGTCCATAATTGAACTTCACTGAATGTGACTCTGCAAAAATCCACAAATGCATGAGTCTATCTCCATAATCTGACATCCCGTCAGGCTAAAATTGATACATGAAGCGCTCAACACTCTTGCCAGCTGTCCTGTCTCCTCTCCCCCTTCAATCCTGCCTCACGGGCTACCTCATGAAACAAATTTCTCAACACCTCCTGGCAATGATCTTGCTTGTCACGTTAGACTCTTTCTTTCCCCTCCCTCATCTCATCCTTACTTCAACGTGCTCCTATCTTCCCTTCTAGTTTCCATCCCGATACTTCCTCCCTGCATCCCCTCTCTCCTGCTTCCCTGCCGTCCCCTTCAATGCCGTGGACGGCATCAAGCATGGTCAGCGCAAACCACCCTACGTATTCCGGGGGTTGGTGGACCTAGACTACGAAGGTAGGGGTAGTCAGCAATGTGACTGGGGATTGAGACAGAATTTCTAGGGGTAGTACACTGATGTTGGTTCGTACCTAGAGGGGTACTGGGCTCTCAGCGGGTATGGACGGGTAGTCTGGTGCCACTTCTACAATTCAGCAAAATTTGACGAGGAGGGTGGGGTTCACACACTTTGTGGGTAGGTGGGGTGGTAAGGGGGTTGTATGAAGAGTGTGGTACTAAGAGAAGGGGGGTGGAGGTCGCAAAAGTAATGGTTGCAACGGGGGGCTGAAAATGGGAGGTAGGGGGTAGTAGCAAACAAGGGAAGGAAGGGAAAGAGATGGGTGATCCCTGGGATAATGTGGGGTACTACTTTAAGTGGAAGGGGTCCCTCTGCACCTACCAAATTGAAGTGGAGTAGCTCAAGGCCTGGGCCCGCCTCAACATGCCGTGGAACCAGCTGCGCGGGGTCTTCGAAGGCTCCAAACATTTCAACTCGTTCCTTCTATATTTTGAACTTTAATGATAAAAGTTGAAATGAAGCCTCGGAGTAAGATTTCTTCCGCCGACGGTGTCCAGTCCGGCTCCAGCTGGCTTCCTGCTCCATCGATGATCCCCGTCCTCGCCTGTTCCTCGCGCTTCACGACAGCACCTCTGCTCTCAGCGTCTTGTCTCCCAACTTCTCTTTCCACAACGCTGTGCCGCTTCCCAGCCATGCGAGTCACTCAACGATGGTACACAGTTGGAGTATTTCGGTGGGCTACCACGCTTTGATTATCAGACTACTCTTGAAATTCACGACTTGGCCCCTTGTTCCGAGACTTTCTGAATCGCAAGCTGAGCGAAGTCTTCCAGCCTAGCATGAAATTCACCATGTTGCCCATGGACATTGTCAGTGTTGAACGGTTCTTGATGGTCCTTAGCCACGGGAGTCTCGGAGAGTCAGATAGGCTTTGAGTGCAAGAAACACACTTTGTGCTTGTCGTTCCTGCGCTGACTTGCACTTCGCATAGATGCTGCTGCCTCCATTTCAAGTCTGAAAACCGCCCAAATGCAATTACGTGTCATGGTGGAGAACGGCTTGCACTGTCTTCAAGAACCTTCCCAGCTAGGGGACTGTTGTGAATGTGGTCTATCGAAGAATAGTTGACGTGGGCTTTGTGAGAAGAAACCAAAATGAATTGATGGAGAGATATGTTGCTAATGATGCGATCGGAGAGAAGCATGCTTTCCACACCTCCGCCGTGCTCCATTCCGAGTGGAACGTCGCCGCTGCTTGTGCAAGTATGTCCGTGATCGTGTCTGTCTAAGCGCTAGTGACCTTTGTTGGATGTGTTTCCAGCAAGCAGCGCATGGAGCCTTGCTGCAACTAGACGATCAAGATCCGGCCAGCAAGGCATCGAACATCGCAGAGATAAAGAAATATGCAAAGAGGTTTGACTTGGGTTTGATCCAGGTGAATTCCGTGCCGCATAAGAGAGAAAGCTTGAAAGGTACCTCCACGTACAGCTTCATCGTCTGTCCAGACGGGTTCTCGAAGTTGAGTGAGAACGAAGTGGCGTCGAGCTGCGCCGACTTGAACTTGACCTGTCCAGCTGGCTCTTAATGCATCTGCAAGCCGTCTCTTGGGATGAGCTGTATGAGAAGTACCTGCAAGGGAACTTGACGTTTTCGACTGAAGGATTAGGGTCGCTAGTTCTTGACGATGTGTACGAGTCGTAGTTATGCGTCAAACATCAGTACTGCACGATTCCACCTGACGAGTGGTTCTGCTTTGTGTTCAACGAGCTCAATGGTTCATCCACACCATGGGCCCCGAACGCTGAGCTCAGACTCGTGGGAGAGAGCTGCTTGTCAACACATCTTCGACTGAAAGAGTTGGCAGTGAAACTACGAGACGTAAATCCGGCGCAAGAACAACATGTAACACTAAGGCCCGACTGTCAAGCCCTTCAATCTCTTCTTCAATCTTTGCACATTCAAGTGTAGCGTCACATCACTGCCTGACTTCAGAACTTTGCCATCGTCTGTGTTTCAAGATCAGATTTGTGATGTACAATTATCTCAGTAGACAGCCTTTCTTCGTTTCGACAAGGCTTTGGTAGTACATAGCGTTGTTTTGAAATATACTCTCTGCTATATAATGATCGATCGAGTTTGACGAACATTTGCAGTCACTATGCTGCAAGGATTTCATAGGACACTGTTCGTTCAGCAAGAAACAATTTTGTGATGGACATTTTCCAAAACTTTGTTTAGATAGGCAACATCATAGTGACGGTCACTTGTCTTCCCCTTCGACACTTGATATCCGATTTCTTTTGACGTCTTTGTCTTCTTTCCTCCAACTCGTCTCTGACATGATAGCACTCCTTCGAAGACATCTACAAACTCTTGTACCTGTCTGCTTTCTATCCTTGTATCCTTTGCCTTCAGCTCACACGCCAACTGAAACGTCTAAACAAGCAGTCGATGCCGCTCAGTCTCTCGCCATGACATCACCTTCCCCCTTCCCCCCCCCTCCCCCTCGGTCTCTGCAGCAGTCAGGCCTCCCATTGTCAGGCCCTCCGCCTGCCCTGCCATTTCCCGGGACAAAGTCGGAAGGAGGGCCTGAGGAGGGCCGGGATTGCGATGAAGAAAATGGAGCGACGAGTGGGCAGGGAGGAGAAGAGAGGGAGAGGTAAGGAGGGAGGATAAGAGTGTGAAGACGCTCACTGAGAAGGAGAGGGAGAGGAGATGACAAGAGTGGTAGAGATGCTGGAAGAAGGGCGATGATCTCCTCGCAGGGGCGCCAGGATTCTACCGAAGATGTTGAAAGTGTGAAGGGAAATGCAGCGCAGGTGATGAGAGGTTGTCTTGTGACGTGAGAAAGTTTGACAGTCGATCCGAAGAGGTTGGGACGACGACCGTTCGATCCTTCAAAGATGTCTAGATGCGCTTACCCCAGACTTGTCGCGCTATGGCGGCATCCCAAAGACGTGAGGCAGAGCTCTGCTTGCCCGGGGGCTGACGCGTTGGAGCAGCAGGAAGTCGCACACGAAGCTCAGAAAGGCCAACGAGCACGCGTGGAGCTCGGGCATGATCCACGTCTGCGACAACCAGCGGATGGGTGAGAGCGATGGCTTGTGCGGCAGGAGGGTGACGCGCGCAAGTTTGCTGCTGCCTCTGCTGCGGGACCTGCATCCAACACGGTCACAACCAAGACCTCATGAACAACACAGGCTGCTGCGTGCCCTGTGTGCAGGTGCTGCTGACGGCAGGAGAGAGGAGGAGCTGAAGGGAAGCAGGCGTGTCTGTGCGGGTTACATTGCTGTGAGATGACGAGGGCGAGGAGAGAGATGCGAGTGAGGCTGGACATCAAGGTACAACAAGGGGCAAGGACGTGGAGCTGACTCGAGGCCGTCAGGGAGCTTGGGCCGTCGACTGCTGCCTGGTCTGCGCCTGTCCTTGTTTGACGGTGTGTCAAGAGACCAGGTATAGCCCAGCTGCTAGAGAGAGAGAGCTGAGGCAGCATGTCAGGGAGCTGGAGATCAGGACGAAGCAGGTTTGGCATCCCATCTGGGGCTTCCGAGTGAAGACGCGATACAACTCGAGCTTCTTGTTCTCAGGGCAGGTGCCAGCAAATATCTACAGCTCTCTGCTCTGACTGCTGCTCCAAGGCTCCGCTCCTGCACGACATCTGCTGCGGAGAGGAGCGATTAACAACGGTGGTTCCCTTCAAGACTCCGTTCCTCAAGAGCTTTCCTTACGGGCGATGTGAGTGAAGAAGCTGAGGGAGAAGCGACCCGACTGACGTCTGCCTCCCTCACTTCCCTCACAGTTGCTGACGATGAGGAGGAGCTCTTGCCTCTTGAGTGAGCAGATCTGATCACTCCAGCTGCTTCTGACGCGTGTTGGAGGCTGTTGAGGGCAAGGACAGGAAGCCTGCCACCAGAGCCGCAGACGGAGACGACGAGGTAGAGTTGTCTCTGTGGGAGACGAGCTGAGGTGCTTGCAGACCGACACAAGAGAACAACATGGAGTAGTCGGAGCCAGCGGCTCCTCGATTACTGTACATCACGACTGAATAGGGGAAGAATGAAGTGAAGCCTCTGACGACGATGACTACTCCACACCCTGCAGATCACCATCAACTTGTAAAAAAGAATAAGAGAACGATGGTTACCTTGAGGAGTTTAGTCGCCCCGTAGTCACTGAGAATCTTGGTGAGAGAAAGCAACCCCTGTGTCGAATCCTCGTCGGCCTTGAGATCATGATCCTGCATTTTCTTCACTTCGATGGCTTCTCGTTTCACTTTCTTGTAGTTTCTGATGTCAAGGTCAAATACTGGCGGCAAAGAATCGTCAATCTCACTTCATCATAGACGCATGGGCCTCATCAGCTTTCTGTGACAACTCCTTGAAATTCTTGTACCATCTCGAGAAGCCTTGCTTGAAGGGGCTTCCTCCTGCCTTCAAGCTTGCGGGCATCTTTTCCTTGCTGCTCTCTGCACTTCCTGCCTTGGCGAGATTCGCTAGTGGCGCATCGTCGGTATTGCTCTTGCTCGCAGAGGAATCGTCGAGAGTCGCAACGGCAGCTGAATCAGTCGCCGCTGACCTACTGGGCTTCTTCGGCGTCTTGTCCTCCAAGAAGGAGATGAGGGAGCTCCACGAGGGATGCTTGCTGCTCCCCTGCGCATACAGGTGAGCAGAAGTGCACCAGTGCCACATGCTGAGGCAGAAGCACCTTCAACCCTGACTTCACGCTCATCTGAGGGCTGATGGCTTGACGAGGTGTAGTTACATGTGCCTGCGGCAAGGAGGTAAGAAAGGAGAGAGAAGTTCAATCGAATTTTTAACCTCTGATGTTTCAATCTTTTGCGAGACCTTCTCGGCAAAATGAGGGCCTGAACTCACTTTTGGCCTTGCAATTCTTGATTGAACAATCTCAGTCGCTTTTTCCTTCCACATGTTATCCATTTTTTTCTCCTGTTTGTACTTGTCCCACAATTTGTTGATTTCCGTCTCTTCTTTTAAGATTTTTGATTGGATCTTATTGTTCTTTGCTTTTTTCGCTTCCGAAGCTTTGTTTGAAGCTGCCTGTGCCTTTGCCTCCTGTTCAGCCTTTTCCCTTTCCTCTGTCTCGGCCGTTGTTTTCTGGAAACACAGTAAATCTCAGAGGATACATCTCCACTATTTGCAATCCTACTTCTTTGAGCGCACTTGCTAGCGCGTTGTTTTGCTGTTTCATCTGATCCATCTCTTGGTCGAGAGCTTGAATCGTCTTCGCTGCTTTCTTGGCTTCTTGCTGAAAAAAATGAAAATTCAGTAAGGAGTCCATGGTCATCGGTTGGCATCAGAGGACAACCTCGTAGACAGTCTTCGACTTCAGTTCCTTCTTCGCCGCTTGTTTTTCTGCAAGGACCTCAGCCTCCAGCTGCTTCATCTTGGCATCCAGTCGCTTGATGGCAGCGTCAGCGTCAGCGGCACTGGTTTGCTCCGCCGCAGCAGCTGCAGGCAACACGATGGTGACCTTTTCTTCTCCATTGGCCTCAGTGCGAACTGACACTCGAGGTTTGGAGAGCAGCTTGCTCTGAGATGTCTCCTGGTCCTCTTTCCCAGCCTCCAGGTTCTCCTGCTCGCTGTGGGTGGAAGAATCGCTGCTAGCCAAGGCCACAAGCCCCTCTCGTGCCTTAGGAACGTTGAACAACAACTTGGCTCCTGCAGACTGACCCACAGGGACCTTAACCAGCACGTTGCCCTGCCCAGGCACGTTCACTTTGAATTCCTCTCCTCCGTGCATGCCAGCAGGAACTTGCACCAGGAACGTGTCATAGCCTGATCAACACATGTCACGGTCAGGGTACGGCATGGGAAGCAACTTGGGGGCATGCAAGGGTTCACCTTTCAGGTCATGCTGCTGGAACATCGAGGCATGAGCGGAGGACGATTGAGGAGGCAGGGGCAGATCAAGCTTCAGAACATCTCCTGCTCCATTCCCGAAAGGAACCCGCGTCGAGTAGTCCTTGGCTCCTACCTTGAAGTTGAAAAGATCGCCTGCATGCAGCCCTGCTGGGACGGTGACGAGCACTTGCACTAAGGCGCTGCTGCTGTCCACCCTCGAATTGCCAAGAGTGGACACGATCAACCCAATCAGCAGAGCCCCGAAAGCCAGCATGCCGTATCTGCGCACATCCCGGCTAGAGTTCTTGTGGGGCCTGAGCAAGTCTGTCGGACCCATGGTCCAACAATAACAATGACTTCCTGCTGGCAGCAAGCGTCCCACAGCAAGTCACCCTTCCTGACCACACCATAAGTCAGTGATGTCGGGCGCCACTTGACGTTCCTCTTCTCTTCTCTTTCGGAAGTTCCCTTGCTCATTCACGTTATATCTGTCTTCCAACCTCTTGCTCTTTCTTCTTCTGCCCCATCTTCTTCCCCCCCTCCCCCTGCCGCAGTGCACTGCATTGAGTTCGCTCCTACACCATCCCGTCAAGTTCCCAATTTAGACGAGTATCCGTGAGTATCCGTGTGAGTATCCGGGACGGTCCACGCGGGGGGCCGGCCGGTGGCCTGCGGCCCGGCCGGAGCCTCGGGCTCGGAGGGCCTGAGGCTGATCCGGAGTCCCGGGCCGACAGCCGGCCCGCGGCGAGTCACTGAGCCGCTCCCGGGACCGTGGCTACTAGCCTAGTAGCCTGGCTAGGCTACAAGTAGCCTAGTAGTGTAGGAGCCGCTGCACGGTCCAGTGAACGGTGACTGACGGTCGGCGGGCCAACGACGCCGCCGGGGCGCGGCACCGGGTCGGAGTCTCCCGGCCCGCCGGAGTCAGGCTGATCACTGACAGACTCTGAGCCTCGCCGAGCTCGGAGTCGGACTCGGAAACTTGAAACCAGTTACATCAAGTAAGATATCGATTTACTAGGCTGAGTTTTGTCGCCTTCACATGATCCGACGATGCAAACCCGGCTACAAAGCCACTGAGTGAGGGCCATCGGAGCATTCAAGATATTCTGCATATTTTCTCATGACTACCTCCAGTGAACGCTGGCTGTTGGACGTGTAGTTCTCCTCCTTTGGACTTTTGCCGCTTTCCCTTCCTCCTCTCTTCTTCAAGCTGGGTCAAGAACCCTTTCGAACTTGTCTGAGACGCTCGTAGCTGGGTTCTGAGGTCCTTCCCAGTGCAGTGGACGGGAGTGTTCTGTTCTCCCTCATGTTTTCTCTTCACTGATTTTCTTTCCACGTTCACCTTCACCTTCTTGAGCTGATCTGCCATGGTCTTGAGCTTCTCTCCCATCGACGCTGCGGATGCCTTGCATTCCTCCAGCAGCCTCACGCATTCGTCGGTCCTACTCGGCACTTGCATGACGGGAGTCAAGAGCAGCTTCTGGATCTCTGCCTTGAGTGCTTCCAGCCTCTCCAGCACCTTCACGCCTTCGCCGCGCCCCTCCCCTACATCTTCGGCTTCGCCTGACAAGCTGGTGGTCCGTGACCTGGCCATCTGACGTCTGCCTGTGAGTGACATGGAGGGGTTTCCATCTTGATCAGGCGTCTCAAGCTTGACGGGCGAGGATGGGCGATCATCTTGAGCTTTACCAGTGTCACCTGGACGAGCATTGGTGTCTCCCTTCTGCATCTCCCAATCATCGGCTTCTTGCGTCTTTCGCTCATCAGCTCCTTGGGTTTGCCAATCATCGACTACTTGCGTCTCTCCATCATAAATCGCTTGCGTCTCTCCATCATAAATCGCTTGCGTCTCTCCATCATAAATCGCTTGCGTCTCTCCATCATAAATCGCTTGTATCTCTCCATCATAAATCGCTTGTGTCTCTTCATCATCAATCGCTTGTGTCTGTTCATCATCATCCGCTACTTGTCTCTCTCCTCCATTCCCTTGGTGTGGCTGGTTGCAGCTGTCAGCCTCCATGTCGAGCCTCCTGACGTGAGAGAATCTCGACGGCTCCATGGCAGCATCACAACTCACCCTCTCTCGCACCGGGGCAGCGTCCTGACTCTTGTTCGCCATCAGGCCGCAAAGAGGGTAGGAAGAGCTGGAAGGCCAGGGAGGGTGGAGAAGAGAGAGAAAGTGAGGGGAGGAGGTGAGGGGAGGAGCAGAGCGGAGCGGAGAGAGAGAGCTAGGAGGGCAAGCTAGCTAGGAACGCTCACCAGGAAATCCGTTTCCTCTGAGTACGGCAGTCTTTTACTCAAAAGTACGGCAGTAGTAGTGTATTGACTCGGCCGGGTGCTGGTGCCGGCGGGCCCGGCCCGTGCCCGACCGGTGGGGATGAGGGCCGGATCACTCAAGTTTGAAAACAATGATTCCTGCCCCTCCCCCCCCTGGGGATCCTGCCATGGCGGGGGCGTGAGAAGACGAGTTCGGAGAGAAGAAGCAGAGGAGGAGTAGGTGGTCTCAGGAGAAGAGAGGAAAAGTACACTGTGTTGAGAGCGCTACTTGTCACTTTGAGAAGAAATATGCATTCAGCTGTTGTTGACAACGTTGCATGAACAAGGTCTCTCTCGTTGAATGTCGTGATATTGAAGCTCTTCACACAGCATGTTTATATATTTAGACATGAGAATAACGAAATATCGCTAGATTCTTATGCAAGACAACACGAGATACCTAAACAATCCAGAGTGACTTGAAGTCTGCAGGATACATTCACATGTTGATCTCGCATAGTACTCCGACATCTTCATGATCAGGTTAATATTTGCGGATCTCTCACATATGAGTCTGACCACTATCTGACAGAGTGTAATACTTGAAACCCTGCCTTCACAGCTGCTGTCTCGCAATGGGAATAAGCGGGTTACTTCCTGTCCTTCGAAATATCATTGAGCCTCGCCACGTCAGTAAATATGCCGGCAAGAAAGTTGCAGTAGATACGGTAGTATGCTCTCCTCTGGTCTCATCGTTGGATTTTAACCAGCATGGATTGAGCAGTATAGCTGGTTGCACAAGGGCTCGTATGGTTGTGCGTTGGAGCTATGCACTGGCGCTCCGACAGACAAGTACACGTTTCTAGGCTACAGCGAGACTCGATAGCTAATCCTTTTTGACGTCCATCAGGTATGTCACCTACTGCTTGGACCGGGTGAAGATGCTTCTTCATTACAAGTAAGTCCTCTTGTCTCATTCTGGTAGCCGGAGGTGACGAAATCAGGGTTATTCCGGTCATGGTATTTGACGGCGCGAACCTCCCATCGAAACAAGGAACAGAAGTTGATAGAAAACTTTCTCGCTTGGAGAATCGCTCAAAGGGAATCCAAGCGCTAAGGTGTGAGGGTGTCCGACGAATTGTGCCGATCGACTGACCTGATGCAGAGCTGACAACCGATCTGCCGCAATCGAATACTTTCAAAGGGCTGTGGATGTGACACCAGCTATGGCCTACAAGCTCATCAAGGCCCTGCGGAAGCTCAACGTGGAATGTATCGTCGCACCTTATGAGGCTGATGCTCAACTTGCGTACTTGAATCTGCAAGGGTATGTATCTGCAGTTATCAGGTCTTCATGTGTTTGTTTTAAAGGTCATCAGAGTAATCAGTCTAGTCAGTGAGGACTCGGACATCATTGCATTCGGGGCTAAGGCAGTTCTCTTGAAAATGGACAAGGATGGCTACGGAGAAGAGTGAGTGCTGTCGCATGGCTGTCTCTGTTCTCGTCGCTCATAGCACTTGCCCTAGATATCGCCAGAAATTGCTCGGAGCTTGCTCAACAATGAATTTGAGTGGTTGGGAGCCAGAGCGTTTCACTCAGATGTGCATATTTGCTGGTTTGTGAGCTGCACAGCAATGGTTGGGTGTGAACTGTGTTTGCAAGGTTGCGACTACTTAAAATCGTTGCCTGGAATGGGAATCAAGAAAGCTTATGCTGCAATCAATAACATCGGAGGCCAAAGGGCTCCATTGGATGAGTGCTTTGTGCGGGCGATCAATAAGCTCCGATTAGATGGAACCCTAGTCCCTTCGGTATCATCTTGAAGGATGGGTGGATTTTTCTGATTCTTGGTTTCAGGATTATCTCAAGGATTTTGAAAGAGCTTATCTTACTTTCCAATTTCAGGTGATGCCAGGTCAAGGGTTTTGCAGTATTGATTACCTCTGCAGAGAGTTTTCGACCCGGAAAAGCAGATGCTGGTCACTCTGAAACCTTTGCCTGAGGTTCGTGATACCTCTTTTAACCATCTTGATGTTGACCTCTGCGAGCAGGGAGAAGATTTCTCGTCATGTGATTTCATTGGGCCCGACCTCTCGGCAGACATTGCTCTGGCAGTTGCACGAGGTGACATGAATCCGTGCACGCATGAGTGGTTCGAGGAGACAGCAGCTCCTTGCAGCAAACGGGACGCGCCAATCGTAGAAGATGCTCCATGTGTCAGCACACACGATGAGATAGGAGCGAAGCCACAGGGGGAAGATGGATTTCAGCATGTGGATGAGATGGTCAGTAGTGACAAAGCAAATAAGGACGAAGACTTTTCTACCCTACATGCAGATTCAAGCTCCTCTGTTGTCTTCAAGGCAAAAGCATCCCCTGGCAGTTCTGGAAGCGCATTCTCTAACGCTAAAGTTGGCAAGTTCCAGAGCTCATTGATGAATTACGTCTCAGTCAGTGAGCAAGCAAAAAAGAGTTTTGTTCCTCCCCGCCGTCATGGAGATGCTGATCGCAGTCCTGATGGAGCCGATCGAACGGACTTGCAGTTGAAGAGAAAGTTTGAATCCGACGAGAGCATGCAAGAGGGCGACAACGCAAGAGGGAGATTCAAGACGCGCAACATCTTCTGTGCTGACCTCAGCAGCAAGCCGATCACCAGCAAGTTCTTCAAAGGCCGTGAGAGCGTCAACGAGAACAACAAGGATCAGGAGGAAGACGGCGAAGGTGACCCGGAGTTCTCGCTGCAAGTGAATCCAGCGGCTATGAGCGAAGATGTGACAGCAAAGATCGAAGCCTTGCAGTACAACCCATCGGTCAGGTACATGAGCCCCATGGTCACCTTGCAACGAAACTCGGTAGGGGTCAGCTCAAGGATGACGCTCAAGCCTGTGCTGCCATCGCAGAAGAAAAGTCTCAGGGTAGAGGCTCTGGCGTCTTTCGCCCTCGAGAAGAAGTCAACCAATACAACACTCCCTTGATGTAAATCATTACGTAGCGTTTTGTTAGAAGAAACATATTCTTTCCCACTGAACCTTCCCTGTATTCGTCAAGTCTAATGCGCTCCGAGAGTTTGACAGAAGACTTTCATGCGAAGGCGAGGTACAGCATCATGTCAATCAGGCGTCATCTTCGTACACCACTCGGACCCGGTAGGCTGCAGTGTTTTTGCTTGGCGCCTTACCTTGCATGAAGGATTTAAAGGTTTTCTTGACTCAGGTTTTGTGCTCTTGCAATGCCCCGCCGATCCCTTTCTCTTTAATTCGCTTCTTCTCGTCTTCGTAGTAATACCTGAATGTCTCCGTTAGGGTCTTCTTATGCTCGGCGGAGGATCCTTCTGCTGAAATTTCTTTGTTGCTGGAAGTTTCGTCGGACATGTTGCAGGATTCGTCGAATTCCCTCGAATCGAGAAGGAAACCAAGAGGAAAACAACCTACAGCATGAATGAGCCCATTTTGTCTACAGATGATGTCCAAAATCCCATCCCATCCATTCATCTTTCATCTGCTATCTCTCTTTCCCCAAAAACATGAGAAAAAATCGAACAAATCTAGAACAAAACAACAGCAGCAACATCGCTGCCGCCGCGCTGTCACCATCGCCTCCACAAAGAGTCTTTTCGATTCATCAGCTCAAACTCGTCATCATGATCGCAAGCATGTCCGCGCTATCTCATCTCCTCGCCATCCCACCCCCTCCCTCCTCCCTCGTCTGTTTCTCCCTTGCCACCCCGGTTGCCACCCTGTAATCTGACAGGCCCTCATCCCCGCATTCAATACTCATCTCCCTCATTCTCAACTCAGCGTGACTGGCGCCGTGACTGTCATCACCCGTTCAAAAAATATTGGAAATCTTTATACCAGGGGTCCTTTTTCGTGTAAATTATGGGGTAGTTGTCTTGTTCCTGTGGGGAGTTCTAGGAAGTACTACGTGGACCTATGACCACGACCGTTGGGAATCAACTCTTACCAGGTAGGGTAGTGTCAATCTGTGGGGTAGGGTGATAAAAAATAACTTCACTTTTACCAAAATCGTCTGAAAGACCTTAGTAATGGGGGGGTGGGGTATGAATGGGATTTCTGGATAGGGTAGGGTACTGAGACATGGCCAATGTGTGTGTGGGGGGGTGGAGGTGGTCGTGTGTTCAAGTTCAAAATTGATCCACCCCACCCCCATCAAAACTTTGCAAAGTACCCTGTACCCCTCATGGTAAAGGATAAGGAGGTCAAAAGTACCCGTTCAATTCTAACGTACGGTGCAATACCCACTGTGTTCATGGTCAGGTACCCCTCCATCTTTTCAAATGAACTATACCCCTACCTCACCAAGCTTTGATACCACCAGTACTTTTAACGCGTGTTTGGTTTACCAATGTAGGGTACTGGGTGATACCCACCCTTGGAAGAACAAGGATACAGTACCCCACCTCTGATGCAGGGTGGAAGACAGGTGGCGTCCTCGCGCGCCAGTTCATCGTTCATCAATGGCAGGTGCTGGACACTGAGTTTACATGCGCTTTTCCTCCTCCCAATGACGAAATTGTCTGTTATGCACTGTCATTATGATGGAGTGTGATGTTTTATTTAAGTGCAGTAAGATTGTGAGTGCATTCTAATCCATATTGTACTGTTTTGCGTTGTCTTCGTGCACTATCTTCGAGTTCCGCTCTGCTGTGTCAGATTTTCCTACTGTGATATCAGTATCTATTTGTATGTGACAATGTATTCTGCATTCTTGTTCGAAATTTTGATGTACATCTGCCCATCCCCGTGGGTGCATGGGCGAGGTTTTCGTAAAGAAACATAATTTTTTGATTCTTTAGATCAATTGACTGAGGAGCAAATCGCTGAGTTCAAGGAGGCTTTCTCCCTCTTCGACAAGGACGGTGATGGTACCATCACAACCAAGGAGCTTGGTACTGTTATGCGCTCCCTCGGACAGAATCCAACGGAGGCCGAGCTTCAGGACATGATTAACGAGGTGCCAGCTTCAAACGTGCTTTGTTTCTTTGCACGTAATGCTAGTATTAGGTTGATGCTGACGGAAACGGAACCATCGATTTCCCGGAGTTCCTCACATTGATGGCGAGAAAAATGAAAGATACGGACTCGGAGGAAGAGATCCTCGAAGCCTTCAAAGTTTTCGACAAGGTAACCATGAAAGGAAACGTAGGCGAAGAAAATGATTTTATGTTCAGGACGGAAACGGTTTCATTTCTGCTGCTGAGTTGCGTCACGTTATGACTAACCTTGGAGGTACATCGCACGGTTGCAAAATTTAGTATGATCTCATTCTCAACTTCTCAGAGAAGCTCACTGATGAGGAAGTTGATGAAATGATTCGTGAGGCTGATATCGACGGTGATGGACAGGTCATTGAGATTCCGTTACAAATCGTTGTCGCTGATTGCTTCTTATCCAGATCAACTATGAGGAATTCGTCAAGATGATGATGGCAAAGTGAAATCGCCGCAGTTCTCATGTTTCCAGCATGGATACAAGTCGGTTATTCCATCTTCTTGATACCCTTAGTGAGAACGGACACGTAAGCCATGATCACAAGAAGATTCACCAAATGACATGGATCATCGGAAACGATTTGTTTTCGTGCACGAGAAGCTCAAGTTTTTTCATCAAGTTTCATGGACGATGAACAACCTTGGTTGATTCATTATTAACCTAGTTTAAACCTCACTTTTTTTGACATGTGCATTAAATGGTTGTGCTACACCCATGCACCTGTTGTTTTTAAAATAGTTCACCGTAACTGGTGGGTTGTAAGTCGATCTCTAGCCTTGCAGTGCCGGCTGGCAGTGAGAGGCCCGACTCCCGAGCTGCGGCTGACTCAGTGATCTTGAACTTCGAATGCCGGGGCCAGCCGACGGCCGGGCCTCCAGGGAGTCGCATCCGAATCAGATTACCCCTCATCCCCACCGTTACCCTTCTCCTCCACCTGAGTTCCTGCCTGAGAGTTCCTGGGTGAGAGTTCCTGGCCAACTCGCCTAAGTTGAGCAGCCTCCTCGTCCGTCCTCTCAGCTCCTCAAACCTCGCTGCCTATGTTGGATTCCGATGACGAGCCTCTTGCTCGTCCCTCTCACCTCTCACCCCACCCCCGCAGGAATGAAGACTCGTTGCAAAAGAGGGCGAACAAGAGTCAGGACGCCACCCCGGTGCGAGAGAGGGTGAGTTGTGATGCTGCCATGGAGCCGTCGAGATTCTCTCACGTCAGGAGGCTCGACATGGAGGCTGACAGCTGCAACCAGCCACACCAAGGTCGAAGCATCTCACTCCGTCCCTCTCATGGTGACGTCGAGGGCGACAGCACCACTGACGACGAAATGTATGCGGGAGACACTGTTCCGTACAACTTGACATCGGGCCAGAATGGAGGAGAGAGACAAGTAGCGGAAGATGATGGAGAGACACAAGCGATTGATGATGAAGAGACACAAGCGATTGATGATGAAGAGACACAAGCGATTTATGATGGAGAGACTCAAGCGATTTATGATGGAGAGACACAAGCGATTGATGATGGAGAGACACAAGCGATTTATGATGGAGAGACACAAGCGATTGATGATGGAGAGACGCAAGCGATTTATGATGGAGAGACGCAAGCGATTTATGATGGAGAGACGCAAGTAGTCGATGATTGGCAAACCCAAGGAGCTGATGAGCGAAAGACGCAAGAAGCCGATGATTGGGAGATGCAGAAGGGAGACACCAATGCTCGTCCAGGTGACACTGGTAAAGCTCAAGATGATCGCCCATCCTCGCCCGTCAAGCTTGAGAAGCCTGATCAAGATGGAAACCCCTCCATGTCACTTACAGGCAGACGTCAGATGGCCAGGTCACGGACCACCAGCTTGTCAGGCGAAGCCGAAGATGTAGGGGAGGGGCGCGGCGAAGGCGTGAAGGTGCTGGAGAGGCTGGAGGCACTCAAGGCAGAGATCCAGAAGCTGCTCTTGACTCCCGTCATGCAAGTGCCGAGTAGGACCGACGAATGCGTGAGGCTGCTGGAGGAATGCAAGGCATCCGCAGCGTCGATGGGAGAGAAGCTCAAGACCATGGCAGAGAACAATGCAAGTTTGAAGAGAAAACATGAAGAAGAACAGACGGTCTCAGCCCAGCTGAGAAACAATGAGAAGGACCTCAGAACCCAGCTACAAGCTTCTGAGACAAGCTTGATAGGCCTACAGTCTGAGCTTGAAGAAGAGAGGAGGGAGGGAAAGCGGCTCAAATCAAGGGAAAGAGAGCTCGTTGAGATTATCTCCAATGCTCGCCGCATTCTGGAACAAGGCAAGCATCCAAATCCTACAAACACTGAATCATAGACGGTACTTGCAGCAACTTTGCAGAACCTGCTGCACTTGTTACTGACTTTCAATAGGCAGGTGTGCAAAGTTGACAAAGTTTGACAAGGTTTGCCACTTTCTCTGAGACTACCGTACCTCAAATCATCATCGGTCATGACGGTACCGTCTGCCGCTCCTGCCCTCAGCCATGGTGCCCGGCACAGGGTGCTGCCGCAGTGCGGCTGTAGCCAAGCCTGTTCGAGTTAGTACCCGGATGGTGACGGTGGCAATAAAACCGTTTCAAAAGCTTCGCTGAGTCGGATTTCATCATTCATGAACTTGGAAGCTATTCACTGAGTCAAGAAGTTACTCTCACTGAGTCAGCTCAGCGGCCAGTGACTCGGCACTCCAGCCGGGGTCAGGGCAGGCCCAGGCTTGAACTTCGGAACGCGGCACCAGGCCCTCAGGCCCGTGATGCGGTCGCTTGTCACTGGCAGTGCGGCGGTGGCACCGCCGGGCGCCGGGCCCCGGCCGCCGCCCGCCGGGCCGTCACGGTGTCCGATCGCCGGCTTTGCCGGACTCTCAGCCTGGTGACTCAGTGGAAGGTTCCTAGCTCAGCCCATACTTACTTTTACTCAAAGTTAAGTAATTACACCGTCGCCGGCCTCATGCCGCAGTCCAACAAAGATGCCGTCGTGACCCCGGAGGAGGATGACGAGGTGACGTACGTCAAGACCGAAAGATGTGACGAGGACGAGGACAAGAACCATCTAGGTAGCAAGAGAAAACGCAAGGAGGACACTCCTATCAAGAAAAGACTCCAGTCGGACCTAATGGAGGAGCCGGCGCGGACCGCTCGAGCGGCGAGGAGATTGAATGTAGACGAGGACAAGGAGGACGACGAAGACGGCGAAGAGGAGGAGAAAGACACAGGAAGGGAATCAGGGGTACGATTGGAGTCCGATAGTAGCGAGGTTAACCACGATGATGAGGGAAGCGACGATGAAGGTGTCGCCAGGGACGGGGATGATGATCTTGACGGAGAAGGTCATGAACATTTTCATGATACGCAGTCCACGACACATGAACACGAATCATGGTCACAATCTGGCGAATTCAGTCCTTCTGATGATTCACAAGAAGGAGATGAAAGCGCACATGAAGCTTCGCAACAAAGTTCGAACGTGGAACAGCAGGAGGTTGAGCATACAGAACAAGATGAGCTCGCACAGAAGATCAAGTCTGATGCTCCGTTGGGAATTGAGGTCAAACTCCCAAAGGACGAGAGCGTGGATGAAGAACGATTTGTCAGTCTCGAGGATGATCTCAAATCAGTCAGGAAGGAAAACGATGAACTGAAGCGAAGAGAAGTCGAACTGATGGCAAGTGTCAAAGATCTGAGCAGAAGAAACGAAGAGCTATTGGAGATCGTCGAGAGCGCCAAACAAGTCCTCTCGAGCATTCTCCCTTCCTCCTGTGGCGAACCCTCCTACGGTGGCGAGACATTTGAAGGACACACGATTTAGGGATCTGGAAGCTGAGGCACAACAGATTGAGACATAAAGAGATGAACCTTTTGTTAAAGTAACGTCTTACATGAATCTTCAGTGTTTGATAATTCATCTCCAGTCATATCAAACTTGAATCGTCCCTTCCCATTGAAAGCGAGTCTTTTGGCATCAAAACCCATCCCTAGCATCCTCTATTCTTCACTCATAAGTACATGTCGGATTCAAAGCCAGCATACTCCCTTGCACTCTTCACCAGAGGCTGACACTCTGTTAATCTTCATCGTCTCACTCACACGACGTGAAAGGTGACAGCCGTGGGCGGGACGTACGGAGTGAAGTCGGTAGCAGTGATCTCTTTCCCCTAAGCGCAAGTTTCAGTATTTCAAGAGGAAAAGCAAGAGAGGGACCTCTGGCACTCCCTCCATCTTCTTGGCAGGCTCGAAGTAGATCAACCTGCAGCAGTCTGACTAAAACTTCACCTCATCGCCACCTCACCCGTTCTCCTTCTCGTATTGCGCTTTCAGCTTTTCGATGGTAGTTTTCTCCTCGTCGACCTTTGTGGCATCGTAAGGTGCAGCCAGAACTCGCCAGGTCTCTTACCCGTATGGCAAGCGATCTCGAAGCGCTACTCAGTACTCCTGACTGCAGCGCCTACGTGAAACAAGTGTAAGGAGGGGACAGCTATATTGCGCACTGATACCTGCTCGAAGTAAGAGTGTGCTTCTTTGATCAGGGCTTCGCCTGCAAATACAACGAGAGATGAGAACTCAACAGCTTCCTTGAGACTTTGAGATGATGGCAAGACAGTGATTCGAACCCGTTCCAAACTTCTTGTTTTCCCAGGCATCCACCGCCATGTATCTACTCATAGAGAGGGTTATGACACTCTTGGGTCATGAATAGATACAACCTCATAGCAACAGCTTTGAGAAACTTCGAACCTCCTGCATGTAGCAAGTTGAATAAAAAAAAAAATGCGAGCAGTGTCCATATCCGAATCACCGTCTGAGTATGCACGAAGAGACGGGATGAAGTCATTGTAATCTTTATCCATCTGATGTAGGGTAACATTGCACTGGACAACATCTTGAGATTCAAGACGACAAAACAGCATGGTTTGCAATACTTCTGCCAGAAGTTTGGCTGCTGTGACATAAAGTTTCGCAACCAGAGATCTGATCGGAAATAAGGGATGCAAACCGAAAGCCGTGCGGACCTGTTCATCCCCTTGATTGCAGCTTGTTTGGTTGCAATCTGCTGAGCCGTGCACTGTTCCATAAAGAGACAAAGACAAGGAGCTCAGTTACATCTTCTGCGCGTACTTGGCAAAGTTATCACCTTGTACAGGAGAACGATTGGACGAAAAAAATCTTTCAAGACCTGCCAGGAAGCTCAGAGTCTGCCCAGCACAAACAGATATTTTCAGCACCTCTGGCGGCCGCTTGTACGGCAGCGATTCACGTAGGGGGAGCACGTTCTCATGAATGTATGCGGCGATCCCTTGAGGTTGGGCCATGTCAAGATAGACAACAACACACCAGCCTCACCCGCCGCTGCCTTGACCCTTGCCAGCGCGCCTTTCGCTGCATTCTCGTAATCGGCCGGTGTGGCTACCGAGTCAAGTTGAGATGCTGCGATGTTGCCCTCAGAAATCATGCGACAAGTGTAAACCATCAAAAACTCGAAAGCGAGAGTGTAGAAGGTAAAGAAAGTGCCCGTCCTCCTTGAAAAGCTGCTCGTCCACTGGAATTCAAGGTCGGGGATCAATGGTCGTTTCCCCTCTTTCTCTATGCTCTCATCGACATATCTCTGTATCCCCAGAAGATAAGGCAGATACTCATCGATGGTCCTCAGAACCTGAGGGCAAACAAACTCCAATCAACATCAAGCATTGGAATAACACTCCCGTGAGTATACCTTCTCCGCATCCTGTTCCACCAGTGCAGCAGCCATTTCATTTCGTAGGGCATTGGTTTTGGTTTGCAATTCCACAATCTGATAATCTTTGGATGGGAAAAATTTGCTAAAATCGACGGGATTCGTGCGTGGGTAAGGAAATGTAAGCGCAAGACCTCCGCAGGCGCTCATCGTCCCCTTCCTTTCCCTTCACTTCTCCACTCCCCTTTTTAGATGATCAACTCGATGACATCCGTATGAGTTTCCTGCACAAACAAGCAAAAGCAACTGCCGTCAGAAACTCCTTGACTCATTCACCCATCCGCTAAATTCACTTTCTTGCGTTTCACTTCTCCTTCTACCGCATGATCTCTTTGTCTTGTGCCATAGGTATCTGTTCTCTCTCCCTCCCTGCTCTCTCCCTTCGCTCTCATCCTCGCTCCCCTCTCCCTGCTCTTCGCTCCTTCCCTTTGTCGCCATGCTCTCATCAACTCCAGCAAACCCCACCTACACCCCCCCTCATCACCCTCATCCCCACCCCCCTCATTCAGTCGCTGCTGCCACGCAACTGTCTGCTGTCCTGTCTATCGACGGAGCCTTTGGATAATCACTGGAGTAGAATTATATTTTTGTCTTTCATCTTCTATATCTTCTTGTTCTGAGGTGAATTTCCCATTAGTTCACTGTTTGTAGCTCTTACAGCCAATTCCAGGTGAGTAAAATAATTCGATTGCAAATTCAGGCAATAGGCCCCGCTCGACTCATGGTCAACGAGCAACGGACAGGCGCTCATGGCGGCGGGGAGGGGCAGCAGAAGCAGCGAGCATGGCGACGAAGAGACGAGGAGAACCAGAGAAGGAGGACAAGGTGAAGCGGACTCGGAGTCGGGAACTTCAGAGCCCGATCATGTCGCAGGGAGCAAATGCAACATGGGCAGCGGGAATTGATCAAGCAGCAGAGCCATGCGAGGAAGGGACGGGGGTCGGCTCTCAGAGAGTGTCCAAGCTCAATCTCTCCAAGGTATTCAGCCACTTTCGCCCTCCCCAGGATGATCGCGTGCACCTCGACTCGGCTAGAGCCCAGGCGCTCACCCCGCAGCATCGCCCCCACACGGCTCGACCCTCAGCCCCACCGGGACACAGCGCGACCAGGTCGCCGCTGGTCTCGAGAAGGAGCAGACCAGTGCAGTCAGCGAGGAACGCGAGCATGGATCTGAGCCTGGGGAACTCAACACTGACAAGCATGAGAGGCGGACTGACGCTGACGTCTGCGAGCCGCAAGCTGTTCTTCGAGCGACCTCTGTCTGCTGTTCAGGTGAGCTGAAGGAGGATGCTCGGCCTCGGACTGACTGCCAGCAGCAACAAACGTTCGAGCCGCTCTCGGGGATCTCGAGCAAGGTCATCGACACCTTCGCGTCTCCCATCATAGCAACTCAGAGGCATCGAAACGTGAGCGACTTCAGCCGAGACTCCCTCTGACCTTCTTCCTCTGCTTCACCTTGACTTTGTTCTCACCCCTTCCCTCACGCAGAAACGTTATCTGGTGACAAGATCGAGAAGCAAGCCTCCAGAGGAGGAGGTTCGCCTCTCGCCGGTGGACTGGTCCCAGGTGAAGGGACTCGAGCATCAGCATGACAACAAAGCCAAAGCAAGAGAAGCTGCCACGAGCAAGCGACAAGTTCAGAGTGCCAGAGCAACTTTCAGGAGGGTGCCCTCCTCCAAGGACGTGAAAGCCATTGCTTCACGCGCTCACATCGGTCAGGCTCGACGCGATGGCTTCATACTCTTCTCACTTGCGTCTGCAGAGGAAGCGTTTCACCGGAGAATGTCGAGCGTAGTCAGTCTCAACGAGATGGAGGATTTGATGTCCTGGGGGTTCTTGTCACAGGTCATGTCAGTCATGTTCCATGTTGACCCCTTGAGTGAAGTGCCTGCAGATGAAAGCAGCTGCCTCCCCTAGGGCCGAAGATTTCAAGTCGGAGGAGATCGAGTGAGACCTCTCTCGTTGCTACCTCCCTCAAGCTGAAACATCCCGACAGGCTGCAGCACTTGGAGCCTAAACTTGTATCGAAATTTGTAGATAGATTGCCTTTCGTCTGCGATGGTAGAGTGCAGCTTTCGAGCGACATAAAGCAGGTGAGGAAAGATGTTTGCATTAGTTGTTGATGAGCTTATCGATTCTCAACAGATCTTCATGGACAGAGAGCCTGGATTGAAGAACAGAGTACAGAGCTACTTCAAGAAAGCTTCGTCGCAGATCGAGCACGACATGGTCCGGATCAACAAGACGATGAGCAAGCGCATCAACCCAGAAACCAAATCAGAGGTGAGTCAAACTAGATGCGATGATGCAGCTTATCCGTGCCTCGAGTTGCTGCGGCGAAGGAGCGAGAAACAGTCGCTGAGGTTGCAAGAAGCCAAGAAGAATCGTGAATGCTTGGAAAGAAGTAATTGATAGCTCTCCAGCTTTCTCAAGTCTTGAATCTGTCATGCCTCTAACGAGTTGACAGCCAAGGTTGAAACCCACGTGAAAAAGCTTGAGCACAAGATGAGCTTGATGGAGAAGAAAGCTGAAGGTCGACCGAAGCCAAAAAATGTGACAACAAAAACCACTGATCCGATTGCAGATCAACGCACGCTTCATCGCGAACAGCTTCAGAAGTATTACATGCAGGTAGACCCTTGTGCTGGGGAATGCTCGTTCAAGGCTGATGGGTACTTGCGGAAGACCATGGCCTTGGGATTCTATCTTTCATACTTCCAGAACTTCATGAGGTGTAAAGGAGCTCATGTTAGACACTGTCAGCTGACGCGCTTTCTCCTCCCATCAAGAAATTGGATGATAGTGAAGGCGCAGCTGCTGATAAAGAAGCAAGCAGTGATCACAATTGAGAAGTACTACTTCAACTACGTCTCTAGACAAGTACATGCGATGGGATGTTTCTGCTCGCCCTGAAGAGTCTGTTGCAGTATCGCAAGAGGAAGAAAGCGGCTCTGATGCAACTGACCATGTGGGTTGTCAATATGCTCTCATGGTACTCACTGTGACACCCAGGATCCTCAAGAATTGCATTCGAAGATTCCGCCATCGCTTTCGAGCCAAGAAGATCAACATCATCCTTACTTTCCTGGGGTGATAGAAACAGCTTCTCCTGACTCATTCGTTTGTTGACACCGCAGAACAGACAAGTTGGAAAATTTGCAAGATTTCAGATGGCAGTCAAGCGATTCAGGTTTTGAAGCAAGCGAGTGATTACGTAGCACCTGAAGGTGATTCAGAGCAAAGATCATCAAAGCACAAGGATTTTTCCGACGGCAAATTGCATGCAACATCGCCCGATATGAAGTGATGGACTGTGGTTGCCTACTTCTTCTTCTCACTTTCATCGCAGATTTTGGAGTTGCAATGGAATAAGATTGATGACGAACGCAAGCAAAAGTTTCTTGAAAGACGAGAAGCACATCTTTCCAGCATCAAGAAAAAAGTATCTGCAAGTCGACACGTGTCAAGTGAGGATGACCTTGGCTTCAGGTTGACCCTGGTCTCGACCTGAAAGGAAAGGCCAAAGGAGACTTTGACGCGAGGTTGAAATGGGTGGAGGCGCAGGCAGGAATTAAGAAACTAAGTAGACGAGCAATCACTTCGATCCTGGATTGAATTTCGTTGCAGGAGAGTGTAAAGCGGAATTGGACAGCGCTAGAAGGTCTTACTGTAAGCTCGTTGTCATTACTGCCCCCAGTGTGAGTGACAACCTTGAAGGTGAATACTTCCTACCATCGGACCTCGTCCGCTTTGAGTCGATTTCTCCTCTTGTGAAGAAGCGAATGCTGGAACTTTACGTGAAGAAGATCCGACAACGATACAACCATGAGTGGAACGAGTACCGCAAGGTTCTAATCCCCTCGCCCTTGTTCTCATCTCTAAACTTGAGTCGACAGAAACTGTCGGCCTGGATCGAGCTTCAGAAGACTCAGGTGAGATGCTTTGCAGAGGTCGTAGCCATAAGATTCTGACGCAACCAAGGAATCGATCAAGTCGGTCTCGCGAGATCTGGTGTCGAGCTTGGGACGAAGTGGATCGCAGGCAGGTGTTGTCTCTTCCCCCTCTGCATTTGACGCCTAGTGCCAGTACCTCACTGCGAGCCTGGAATCCATGTCTTCTCGCATCGTGAAGCCCATGCCTCCAACCCCCAACATCGTGCTTCCAAGACATCTTATGGAGCAGATTATCCTCAAGGTGCCTGCCTGTCTCCTCGCCTTCCCTTTCCAGTTCCGCTTCGTCTCATTCCTATCTTGTCTCTTCCATCCTGTACGACCGACCTGAACTTGTTCTAGGCTGTCGAACACACCAGAAAAATCGCAGGGATCTCCAAGAATGTGGAGCCTCGACACAAAACCACCAGTCACAGCGCGAGAACCTCACACAGCTCTCGCTCATGGAACAAGAGTGGTGGAATGAATTGAATCTAGGCTTTTTTCGTAGCGCAAATCTATTCTCTTTGCTCCCTCTTACTCTGTATGGTTCCAGCCTATTCTCTTCGCCTTGATACCTGTTTGACATGACAATCACTGAAAGAAAGAATATTGTACAGTGCAAAATCATTGGTCAGGTCTGCAGAAAGAAACCCTACCTTCTTTGCTGTAATGCATGATGTCGTCAGCGTCTTGCTTGGCAGGCAGTCCCAAGATCGTTCGCACTTTAGTCGTTGAAAATCCCTTCATGAACTCATCCCGCTGTTCCGCATTACGGAAATGAAACAGCAGCACAACATTATAACGAACAGAGGACAATGAGCTCAAAAACCTGTATAAAACCGTCCTCGTTGGTGTCTAAGGATCGGAAAATCTGCACGCAATTCAATGGTGGGGTTGAGTTTCATTTTAGCCCTGACCTGCTTCAGGTCATGCCTGTCTAGATTGATTCCGTATGCGTTACACCTTTCTGAGAAGGATGAAAGTGAGCTGAATGTGCAATCTACAAGAAAGAAACCTTGGAATTCATGGAATGAGATCAACTTGTCATTGTTCTTATCGAACTCAAAGAAAGCATGCTGGTTGTTGATCATCTTAGTTTCGCAAGATTCCCAATATGCTTCACCTGCAAACTTGGTCTAGAGTCCACTTTCATGTAGAGGATTTTCCTTGCACTGTTGATTTCTGTTGCAGGCAATGTCATCAAGCATCCATTGGGAACAATATTGAATTTCACCTGACGAGGAAGACCTTCTCCGGTGCTTCTTTTCTCCTGTCCTGCTTCCTTTTTCGCTCTCACCCAATGAAGCTTCTGTGTTGATAGTGTTGTCAAGACCTATAGGGGCAAGAGTGTCTCCCTTACCTGACATACATTCTTCTTCATCTACCATTTCATCAGCCTCCCCTTGCCCGTTCGTGTCATTTCCCTGTAGTTCACTTGCATCTATTGGAATCCGTTGCAATCTGCTTTGAATTTTGAACTTCTTCTCCTCGTCCTGTGTAAGCACAGAAACATTTCTGTCCAGTGGAACCATGGGTTTGAGGGCGCTGGGAGTATCGTGCTGTTCATCATTACTCGCATTCGCGCTCTCTAACCATTCCAACACTCGTTTCTTCTTGAAATCGCCATCCTCCTCCGAAACTTGTGGATTCTCAACATCCACAGTCCCTAGCGAGCTCGACCCGCAACCCATTTGGTCAACACTTCACCGCGTTGAGATGTCCGATGAAACTTGCACTCCCTCAATCAGGCTGAAACTTGCCTTCATCAACACCGACGAAATGATCAAAGCATCAATGATGAAGTTTGAAAGTTCCTTCTTCTTTAGCTCTTGTTGTTCTTCTTCGCTTGTTCGTTCGTGTCTCCCGCCATCATACTGTTTCCATTGTTTTGTCTGTCATCGTCGCATACTGTCGTGATCAATTAGATCCCCCACCCCAGGGCCCTAGCCGATCGGATACTGGCAGTACCCCCGCCTGCCCCTGCTACTACCCCCCTGCTTTACACTCGGAGAGGATAAAGCTGCGACCGGCAACTCTTTTGGTACCCCTCCTCCGACCAGCTTTACCACCCGTCATCACAGCATTGTCACGTAGCATCCACCACGGGCCAGGCGGCGGCCCGCCTCGGAGAGGCTCCCGGGCAGACTTGTCAAACTTGATTGAGAACTCTCACTCTCTATTTCCGGCTCAGCGATCTGCCAGTGAAAGTGAATGAATGGTGATGCTGCGATAAGCTTGAGTAGCCGGTTCAGGTCAGAGTGACGGTGACAGACACTGAGACACTGTCAAGTTGGTCACTGTCAGTTGTCACGTAGTAGACTCAGTGAGGCTCGTCTTCATGGGGACGGTTCAAGTGGTCGGATCTCCTGGCTCCAACACTGCAGCCAGGGGCATCGTATGCTTCACTGCAGCCGTGGCGCTGATTCTGCTGAGCGCGCGAGAAAGCAGGTGACACTGAACGTTCTCCTTGCCAGGCCCTGAGGCTCATTGAATGTTAGATTTTGACCTTCCCAGCAGGCGGTGGACTTCTCCTGAGTCATCGTCTTTGTCCTACAGGGCCCTCGACGTGTATGGAGCGAAGGGCTCGGACGCTGAGAGAACAGAAGAGGGCGGCGACGAGCTGGAGAGAATACTCGAGAAGTGGACGAGTCAGCATGGGGCCGAGGAGAAGCAAGACGCTCCAGGCAGATCGACAGCACGCCCAGCGCAAGGGGAAGATACAGAAGCGTTCATCCCTTACTGGCACTGGGACGAAGAGAATCTTGACGCTGGCAAGATCGACCCAGGAAGGCGCGAGTATTTCGAATACAGGATTCCAGCGGGAAAGCAGGCAGGAGATTCAGTCGTAACAACGATTCCGCAGGGGAAGAAGCATGCGGGTGAACAGATTGAGTTTGAAGTTCCCGAAGGCCTGAAAGGCGGAGACAAGGTAGATGTGCGGATTCGAGGAGGAGATGTGACGTCGATCGCTCCTCCTCCATCAGTCGCTTTCAACAAGAGTTGGAGCTCAACACCTGCAGTTGTCAATCTGACACAGGAAGTGGAGGAGTTGAAAGAAAAGTTGTTTAATCAAAGAATCAGGTACATGCAGGAAATTCATGATTTGGAGGATGAAGGCAGGAGAAATCAGGAGAAAATGGACTCCATGAACCAAACAATACGGACAAATCAAGATCAAGACATGAATGTTTTGAAAAAAGTGTTGAGGAAACTTCGGGCAGCTCGTTCTCAACTTGATTATCAAAATTCAGCCTTTGTTGAGATGCTTTTTCGTCTCATGTTTCGAACACCCGAGAACAATTCTGCTATTACATCTTCAGAGAAGAACGCGTTGGAAGCAGCTTACGATCTCTTCAATAGCTCGGAAGCTCTTGCTGACAACATGAAGCTCATCGAAGACGCTCTATCAAACTCTTCTATTCTGCCTCGAAACTTGACAGGTGTGATGAACAAATTACACAGCTCCAACATCACTTTGGTCAGTTTGGAAAGGCTGCGGAATATTCAATATCTGTTGCTGCATGATGACGAAGAGTTGATGCAGTCCCTGAGCAACAAGGAAGAACTCGTGCACAAGATTTCGAATAGCATAGAGGACACGATGAGGAGAGTGTCGGATGCGAGAAAATTCAAACAAGCCTTACTTCGTGAGGAGGCTAGGGATCAGGATCTCATGGCTACCGAAGACGGGATTCTGTCAGAAGTGATGAGAATGAAATCCCGTCTACTCTCATCACGCTCATGATATAGATTGAAAGATGATTGAAAGACCGGTTGCTGCATAACAAGGGCGAAGTAGAAATTGCAGGTAAAACTCCAAATCTCATGCCCACAGGGAGCTGCAGACACAGACAGTCATCGAGGTTATTCTTGTACATATGATCAGTAAATCAGAGATGCTTTTCTTGAGACGCTGAAACACTCCGTGCATGCGAAGGTGCGTGAAGAACATGGAACCAAACACAACTGGATGAAAGTGTGAACATTCCAAAAGAAACTTCAACTCTCTCGGTCCCGGTCTCTCACTCTCACTGTTTCTTACTTGCTCTCTCTCTCTGTCTCTCTTGCCCCTTCTGTCAGCATCTTTTGTCACAGGAAACAAAACCCGATTTCGACTTTCAAAATTTCAATTTTTCCTTTTATAAGTTGCTAACGATGACATTGTTGATCGGAATGAACCTGTCAAAGGTGCTGTCAGCAGTCAAACACCCAGCATGAAGCTCGCGCACATGAGCTTAACGAAGAAGCCGATGAATCCCATCACAAGGAATCCAGCACCGGTGGCAAGAGCAATCTTGGTGAACTCTGAAATCAGTCGTCAACATCTTCAACACTGTGATGACTTTCGATAGCTCCATCACCATTCTTGTCTGGCTTGGCGCATCTTCTCACGAGCATCTTCGAGTCTCTGAGGAGAGAAGAAAATCATCACGATGTGCATTAAATGGAGGCAGAGTTCTAATGTCGCTACTTGACCGCACTCACACAAAGATCACAAATGATGCTTATTGATCATTTGACAAACGTATATCACAAATATGTCCACTTCAGGCGTTGAAGGCTCAATATTCTTATGTTTCCTCAACCTCCCAGTCCAGATTCTAGGTGTCTCCTCGAGTTGCAGTCTAACTATTTCAACTACACTCAGTTTCATAAGTTGATTCTGAGAAGCAAGTGGCAAACAGGATGTCATTGGATGAAAGATTCAGCTATCATTATGGAAGTCCTGAATCCTCGTCCTACTAGAGAATTGATCTAGTCTCGAAGCCGAACTCGCTCATGTAAGGAACCGACTTGTCCTCACTTCTGGAATCTGAGCTCGCTAAAATGTTCTTTCCCATATGCAACGTATGCAATATGATGAAATTTCTTCAAATCTCACCTGTAGAACGCGTATGCTGGTCCCCACACCATCTGCGTAAGCGCATCGTCCGACTCGTCCTTGGCCATTGTTCGCTTCCTCACGCCTGTACCCTCACCCCCGTCTATACCAAGTTGTGAGTGGGTAGGGCAATGAAAACACCGGTGTATTTTATGCAGAAGGGGTTCGAGTCAATTTGGAGGGGTGGGGGTCATCAATATATCTATCTACACCCCTTTCGTTCTTGTAGCAAAGGCCCCAACAACAAAAATATCAGGGGTACATTGAGAAATGGGTGGGTAGCGTTAACAAAGGACGCTTCTTATGTTGTGGGGGTGGTTAATTTCCACGCACGAGGCCGAGTAGACGGGGTGGGGTGAAAATGTGATTTGTATGACCCTACCCCTGATTTGACACTATCTATCGACGTAAAAGTAGGGGTGCAACAGAGAACCCCCGATGGACTACCCGGTTGTTTGGATTCCAACTACGGAGGCCGGTAATACAAAATTTGAACCTTGCCACGAAAAATGGATCTAATTTTCGAAATATAAGACTATATTTGAAATTATATCTCAAATTTGAAATTCCCCCCCCCCCCCCCCGTTGATTCCCGTTACAGAAGTCCAGCAAAGCATTCACTTTAAAAAGTAGTCTTTTTAAGATTACAATAATTATTTCAAAAGACCCACTAAAATATAGCTGTACAAGTAATGCAGTGATATTTCCTTCAAAGCTACAATAAATTAGTTTTAACAAATATATATTAACAACAACCAAGTACATTCAATTTATTTACAGTACAAATAGTTTGATGAATCTGTACCAAGAATCTCTAGTATCTTTTTTAAAAACTCTTTGCCTCTAAGATCATCTTGACCACCTCCCCATTCATGCCCTCTCAAGGTCCCCTGACCCCACCCTTCTGTTCACCCCACCCTACCCTCTAATTGTCTCATTTTTGTCTAATAGCAGCCATACACCCCACCCACCCTTTCCCAAAAGTCTCTACCCCCTCCTCACTTTTACCACCCTTTTCATCTCCACCCGTCCTTTCCTCTGTCAAACAACCCACCCTCTTGTTCCCTGGCAATGTGTACAGCACCCCCTTTCCCGGGCATCGGAACGGGTGGTTTCACTACCCACCTTTGAATGGACCCAGTGTTGATGTACCCAACCCGTCGCAGACTTCCATGACCCCTTCATATCAGACCCTACCCCTTCATACCTCGAATGATGACCCTTAATGTACATCTTTCACCCCCTCGTTTCTATCTTTTTAGCCTGTTACAAGTACCCATCTTTTCATGATACCCCCCCATGCAGAGCACCTTCAAGGTCCCTACCCTCTGTGGAAATACTCCTACCCCCCTGGATTCAACCCCCACCCCCTCTCGGAACATATCGAGACCTTCCTGTTCTCGCTCCATGCAGCTAGTGGAGGCGACAGCAACGAGCAAGAGTCGTGCTGTCCCTCGATTTGAGCTCCTCCCCTCCTTCGGACCTCAGCCTTCAAAACTTCCTCTCTCACTCGTCTCTTCCCTCCCATCCTTCTCTTCCCTATACCTAGATCTGCAAAGTATCCCTTTCTTGAAAAGCTTTCCCCTACACCTTGCTTCCCCTTCTTTGGCTAACTTGCATTGCTCTGAGAGACCCTTCGCTTGCTGGTTTTCTCACTTCTCTTGTTGGATTTCGTCTCGATCTCTCCAGCTCATGTTGCCCTTGCCTCTTGTCTTTCTTGTCTCTCGGAACCCTGGCTAATGTACCTTTTTTTTTACTGCAATTATGATGAACGCGTCTTTCGAGTCGGATATATCTTTTCTGATTTGAATCAAAGCAACATCGTCTGAATTTTTTTAAAAAACGAATGGATCTGGAAGTTTCATTTCTTGGCTCGTGGACCATGTTTTGCAGACGATATTTAGGTGAACAGAAACGATTGGCATAGTGCAATAGTTGAACAAATTCAACGATGATGACATTGGGCACAAACAGCATCACACGAGCACTCCGTTGGTGGTTTTACCATCATGGATTGTTCTGTGCCAAACACCCACGTCTTGCCGCTGTCCTCGGAATGATAGTCATGCTTGTTAGCGCATTAGGGTTCTTCAATCCTCGAGGGCAGCCTTTCGTCTTTGACTTTCCGGGAATCATGCAAGACTTTGTGAAGTTTGTACGACAATACGCAGTCCCGCGCTGGCTCCTTGGAGCCTACATGCTTCTTGCGACGTACCTGGCATGGGCAGCAGACGTGGGTGTGAAATACTCCACGTTGAAGAGAGTGAAATCAGCGCTGGGGCTCAACACAACGTCTCACAGGTGCGTGAGAGGAAGGAAAATCCCATGGAATCCTTCGTTCCGTGCTCGTTTCACAGTGGGGATATGCGGAGTGCTGACGGTCTTCTCCTCCATTCTGCTTGCTGGAGCTGTCTCGAACTCTCTCCTCGGGGTGAACATGGGTATGATCCTGGATGAGTTGCCGTTCCTTGTCGTCTTCATGGGGGTTCAGGGAGTCTTCAGCCTCCTCGATGCATCTACGAGCACCTACAACGAGTCTGAGCTGAGGAGAGGGCAAGTCTATGTGGTAGACAGAGTCAACCAGATCGCGCTGGCGACGTCCCTCACGGGTCCAGAGGAACTGGTGATGTCGCTGAGCAAGGCGCTGGTCGCTCTGTTCGTCGTCTGGCCCCTCTCGACGCTCATGGGGCAGCAATGCATCGCCGACTTCTCTGTGCATGCCGGGCTCGCGGTGCTCTTCAAGTGTCTTCTTCAGATGTCAGTGTTCGCCTCGGTCGTGCAGGCCTTGCTCCCTGAGTGGGACCCCGCGAGGAAGCAGAACCGTCCCTTGCTCACGCCGGAGATGAAGTGCCGGGTCTGCTTTGAGTTCTCTCAAGACCTGCGGAGGTGTCCCTGCAGGTGCACGGGGAGCGTCGGGTACATCCATCCAGTCTGCTTCCAGCAGTGGTTCGAGACCAAGAAGAGCATGCGCTGTGAGCTCTGCCACGTGATCTTCAACGTCCGCATGCTGCCAACGTCTGTGATGACCAACATCCAAACCATGGAGTCCCTCGTCGCGGAGCTGCTTCCTCCGCTCTCGAAGAGGCTCGCCCTCTACCTCCTCCTCTCCATCCCCATCAGCTGCAACAAGCTCGGCTTCATGGTTGTCGACGCTGTCTCGGAGAACTTCCGCCTGCTCGTTGGCACTGCTCACAGCAATGCGGCATACATGCTGACTCTGATCGCCTGCTCCCTCCCCGCCGTCGCCGTCGCCCTCCTGGAAGTTGTACCGCGCGTTCTGACCGACTGGCATCGTCGCCATCGTGTGATGCACTGGGATGGGCCGATAGACGGGATGTCAGACTCGGATTCAGATGATGAATACTGCAACCAAGAAGCGAGGAGATAGGAGGAGGCGGAGCTGGAGCGAGGCAGCGGGTAGGAGGAGCGGGAAAGGGGATTCGTCTGCCCCTTGCGCCGAGGAAGGGCTGCCGAGGAAGTGCTTCAGCTCGTTAGATTTCTTTCAATTGGCTGAAACGGAGGGAGCAGGGAGCGACGTCGGCCTCATGGCAAAGTTGCAGACATGTTAAGATAGATACAACAACAACGTGACAGCATGTAAACATGATACATTCATTGACGTGTAATATACAAGGATTGTCACTCTTGCTCGTTGCCTTTCTCACGCTGCCAGGTCGATAAGAGCTGAGCGAGTCATCATATGTTTGACCAACATCTGAAAAGGCGTCATCGAGCTCCGGTATCCTCCCCTCCCCTATCCTCCCCAGCTCTTCCTGCATTCTCCTCCTCTTCCTCTCACCTGTGGAAGAAGTGGCGAATCAGCGCTCATGTTGACCAGCCTCCCCGCCTCCTTCACTCCGCAGCTCCATCCTCTCTCCTGCCATCAGGTGAGGCGGCGGCAGCAGGAGAGCTGTCCTCACCTTGCTGTCCCACTGCAGGCCCTCCGCCCGACACCGATCCTTGATGTCGTAGGAGTTGCGAATCAAGATTCTTGACTTCCCCTCCCCGCCCTCCTCCTCGAGGATGATGGCGTACGGAAGCTTGTTTGTCTTGCTCTTGGAGGAGGAGACTGCCTTGTGAGAAGAGCCGGCGATGGCCTCGAGGACCAAGTCTGCTGTCACCTCCTCCTCCCTCGACATGTTCAGTATCGCAGCAGCATGCGAGCGAGTGCAGGTCCACGCCTGCGCCGTCTCGTTCCAGGCCATCCCGAGCTCGCGAAGGAAGCGCTTGAGCCCGTAGCAGCGATCCACAAGCACCTGCGGTGTGAGGCGATCAATGGCGGCGAGACGGGAGGGTGAGGAGGAGAAGGAGGACCGTGCTGTTCTCGATGCGACATCGGGGCATGCTGATTGGTTGAGGAGAGTCTGAACGCGAGGAGACGGAGGATACTGTGGAAGAGTAAGTTGGTAGCAAAGTTTGAGGAGGATGATAGAGGCTTTTGTCAGCATCACTCACAGTCTTTGGGGAGGGACATGCGCTCGAGGCCCTCGAGCAGCTCCTCGAGCGAGAGATTCTCCAGCAGCTCCTCCTCTTTCGTCTTCGTCTCCTCCTCGCTGTTGCTCGAGCACTTGGAGTCCTCTCCCGCCATGCCCCCATGGGCCATCGCACCCGCCTCCTCTGCCCCCCTCATTCTTCTCCTCATCTCCTCCATCGGCAGCGCCCAGGCCTTCTCCTCCTGCCGCCATCGGAACCCTGCCATCCGGAGCCGCTCCTTCATGTTGTATCCGTTGAACACCAGCAGCTCGTCCCCGCACACCCGAACGTCAACTTTCCTCCCCTTCCTCTCATCCTTCACTCCGCTCAACTTGCCGGAGCGTTCCGCTGCCTTCCTGGCTCGCGCGAGCATGGACAGAACCTTGTGCTCAGTGATGGAGGAGGAGGAGGCGCAGGGATCTTCTGTGAGAGCTCCGCTGACGAAATCTGTGCATATGAGCTTCTTGATCTGTTCAAAAAGTTAGCTCTTCCTCCCTCCCTCCTCTTCCCTCCTCCTCATCGCCCCTCCTCCTGGTCACAAGTTCATCTCACCTCGGTGGAGTTTGCCTTCAGCACGATGTCTCCCTCCTCTGCTCTGCTCGTGTTGACCAGGTTGACCAGCTCCAGGGCTGGAGCAAGCGAGGGCGCGAATCTCATGTGGATCATCCCCTCCTCCTCCTCCTCCTCTGTCTTGAGAATGCTACAGAGAGACCTTAAACCCTGTCTCCCCCCTTCGTTCCCTTCCCTCTCCTGCTGGTGCTGGTGCTCATCCTTCTCTTCCTTCTTGTCCGTCTCGCATCCTTCGGTGTACTCGTACAACATGTCGAGAATCAGCTCGGCGTTGAGATCAACGAGCGAGTCGATGCCAACCTGCCAAGACGCCAGAGTGAAACTCTGCTATCCCCTTCTTCCGCTCCCCTCCTCTCCTTTGTTCCTCTCCCTTCCCCCCGCATATCCCTTCCCCACTTCCTTTCTCCACTCCGCCCTTCTCCCACAGCTTGATGTTTGTTCTCACAGCGAGCAAGCCCTCTATCCCATCCCAACAGTCTTCAGTCGACTACGTTGGTTCGTCCCTCTCCTCATCCTTACCATCCTCTCGAACTCTTTGACTTCTTTTTTCCACAATCCGGAAGTCTCGTCGAGCTCGAAGAAACAGGATCGCAAACTCTCTTCAAACGTCTCTGCGTTGCTGATCTGAACATCCCGATGATCCACCTGACAACTCGATCAACCTCCTCCTCCTCCTCCTCCTCCTCCTCCTCTCACCTTCCAGCGAGGAGAAGGTATGGAAGCGATCAGAGTTCGGGCATGCTGGAATTTCGTCTTTGAAGAGATCAGACCCAGCACAGACAAGTTGCAAACTTGTTTCCTCGCTCCCCCCGCCCTCTCACTCCTCTCCTCCTCCTCACCGTCTCTTCCTCTCCCTCCACTTCTTCGCCTTTGACTTCTCGTCTCCAGACGTTCTCCTCCACATTCAAGACGAAACCTGCGAGCTTGAGGCGGAACTTGTCGCCTGCAGGACCACGAGGTGAGGAGGAGAGGAGGAGGAGGAGGAGAGGAGGAGGGGAGGTGAGGAGGAAGGGAGGAGGAGGAAGGGAGGAGGAGGAAGGGAGGAGGAGGAGTGGTACCTCGAGCGAACTTGTCAAGGGGCCGGACGAGCACTATGTCGTTCTCCTCCTCGTGAAATTCCATGCGGCGATCTGGTGCTGGATGAGAAAAGGAACGGGAAGAGTAGGAGGAGGAGTTGTGGGGATGGCACTTCACCTAGTGGAGGGAGAACCTCCTTCGCATTATCTTGGTACATCTGCATCATCGTGAACAAGAACAAGAACAAGAACAAGAACAAGAACAAGAACAAGAGCAAGAGCAAGAGCAAGAGCAAGAGCAAGTTCTTTCTTCTCTCAAGCTCATTCCTCTCACCTTGACGAAGAGGATCTCAAGCATTTCTTGGACCTTCTCTCTTGTCACGTCCTTCTCACTCGCATTGAAGAATTCCGCGATTCTCGACAGCTCGGCTGTCCATCCCCTACTTGCCACGTCGTAGGAGAAACCTGCCGAGGATAAACAAAAGCAAAATCAGAGGGTGGAAAAAGATGTGAATGGAAAACAGGAGATGGCATAGCAACAAGAGAGAATGAGAAGGAGAAGAAGAAGTAGAAAGTGAAGGCAAAGAGCGAGCGACGAGGAAGAGCGGAGAGGAAAGAGAGGAGGGAAGTGGAGGTATGAAGATATTCCAGCATGAGAGGTTTGCGCGATTCTTTACCTCCTCTCCTCACCAGCTCCCACATTGGTTGACATTTTCTCAGGATACAATGGGAGGAGTTGAAGTAAACAGAAACTGTCTTCCTCTTCAGCTCCTCTCTTTCCATCCTGCACCACCTGTCAGAAGAATGAAGACGGAGAGAAGAGAGAGAGGAAACGACAGAAAGATATTTGATAGGCAGAGGAGAGGAGAAGAGCGGAGAGGAGAGGAGAGGAGAGGAGAGGAGAGGAGAGGAGAGGAGAGGAGAGGAGAGGAGAGGAGAGGAGAGGAGAGGAGAGGAGAGGAGAGGAGAGGAGAGGAGAGGAGAGGAGAGGAGAGGAGAGGGGGCAGGATGCAGGTCACCTGCTCATTTGGCCAGCAGACCCCCTGCTTTTGAGTCCTTTACGCTGAATTCAGTTGGACCTCCTCTTCTCCCCTCCCCTCCCCTTCACCGCTTCCTCCCCGCCCCCCCTCCCCCTCCTCTTTCCCGCTCCCCACCTTTGACTGCGGATGCCCATTCCTTCATCTTCTCCTTTGCCATCTTCAGCCGAGCAAGCCTTGCACGCTCCTGCTCCTCTTCTTCACTTCCTCCTCCCTCCACCTCCCTCCTCCACCTTCATCATGTTCCCTTGCGCTACCGCAAGAACTTCCGAGGAGGAGGAAGACGAGGAAGTGGCAGGAGCCAGTTCTTCGTCGAGTTGCTTCTCGAAAGTCTCTCGAGGGATGGGTCGCTACGTGCTTCGTCAGAAGTACACCCTCTCTCCTCCTCCCTCCTCTCCTCCTCCTCCTCCCTCCCTCTCCTCCTCCTCTCCTTCCCCTCGTCTGACTTTTTCATCAACTCTCTCACCTCAGGAGACTGAAAGTTGGCACAGTCTGGATCGAGACAACGCTGTCAACAGCAGATCAGCTTCCTTTCCTTCCTCTTCCTTCCTCCCCTCCTCTCTCAGGAGCACCTGCTTCCATACTCCTCGTGATAGGTCGCAGACAATCTGATCCCAGGCAAACACGTCACATCACTTCCTCTCCCCTTCCCCTTTGATCACCTCTCCTTCCCTCGCTCTCCCCGTCCTCCTCCTCCTCTCCTCCTCCTCCTCTTACAGAGATCCTGTTGGACTTGTGCTGTCTTCCGATCGCCTCGCAGAATCTGTTCCCCAGCAGAGAGAAAGTTATCCGCATGCTTGTCCGGTTCAGCGCCCACTGCTGCACCCAGGCCCCGCTCCGAACCTCGCATACGTAGCTGAAAACAGGCGTCAGGAGGAGGAGGAGAGGAGCAGCGGGTTAGGAGATGGAGGAGGGCAAGGAGGCGGAGGAGCGATGGATAGATGGATGGGATAGAAGGAAAGAGAGAGACGGCAGGATAGAGGATGAGGGAGGGAGGGAGGGAGGGAGGGAGGAAGGGGAGGGAGGGAGGAGAGGCAGTTGGAGAGGGAGGGAGTACCGGTCCAGGTCGGGGAAAGGAGATTTAGAGGAGAAACTTTCTCGTCTGCTGGTGTCGCTGGCTGAGATTGTCGTGAAGTTGAGGGTCAAAGTCGCCTGAACGCCACGTAAGCCTCCTCCTCCTCCTGCACCAACCTTCTGCCTCCTCCCCTCCTCTTTCTAGCTCCTGTCGCATCCCCCCTACCCCCTGCTGCTGCTGCTGCTGCTGCTGCTGCTCTCACCTTCTTGGTCTTGTTCGCATCCTCATCCTCCAGCAGGTGATCCAGCTGCGAGGTGAAGCAGATAAGAGAATGCTGCAGCAGGAGCCGTTAGCTCTGAACCTCCTGCTCCTGCTCCTCGTTCACCATAAAGACGTTCTCCTCCTCGTCTCTTCCTCCCCCGACCGAAGGGTGCAGCGAAGAGAACATGAGCTTCATGAACGCGTTGGAGTGAAGATCAGGATGCCACTTGTGCGGGTGCTCGCGCTGAGATCTCTGCATCCCATGACAATCATTTCCTCCTCCCTCTTTGGCCTTCCCTGCTGCTTTCTCTAGGCCAGCATCCCCCCTCCTCTACTTCCCTCTCCTCCCCAGCTCTTTTCTTGCCCCTTGTTCCTCTACTGACCTCGAACGTCCTCGTCTTGCCGAGCTTGGAGGAATAGAGGATGCGAAAGCACCGATTGCGAGTGTAGACCCCGAGGTCAACGCAAGACTTCACGTCCTGACACACACGTTAAAATCCCTCCTCCTCCTCCTCCTCCCCCTCCCCTTCCCCCTTCTCCTGCTTCAACTCCAGTAGCAGCAGCAGCATACTGCAACTGCTGCTGCTGCTGCTCTTCCCGGACGCATACTGCTCCTCATCCCCCTTACAGCTAACCCTGACCTCCAGCACCTCGGGAAGAAGTTCGACGAAGTGACGGACGAAGGCACCCGCGTGCGAGTTGTCCTTGAACGCAACGTTGGCAACAATGAGATGCCGCGAGAACTTCACGTCTGTGCAACTGTCCAGCTCCAGCACCTGCAGGACAGCACAAGAAACTTAGCAAGTGAGGGGTAGGGGTAGGGGGAGGATGAGTAAGACTGTGATGGTGAGGTGTAGCGAGCAGGCCAGCTCTTTCTCACCTGGATCTGTTTGTCAAATTCCTTATATCTCGCCTGCAAAGCCGGTTGAAGCTCCTCCAGCATCTTGTCCACCCTGCTGTTCCCCAGCTGATGCGCCTCCGTCACGTTGTCCCCAGCAGAGATCGGAAACTCCAGATCGAAGTAGAGCCGGCACGGCGAACCTTCACGGATGATCTCAGCGAAATGTCGTCCGCTCGGGTCCATCTTCTTGTATCTTCTCCAGAACCCCTGCCATCCACTTCATCCACATCCTTTCCTCTCCCCCTCCCTTCCTCTCCTCCTCCCAACTCACCCTGTAAGTAGCTGCCACGTACTGCTTGGCTCCTGTGTTCTTCTTGTCCTGCGCATAGACCTGTAGCCCGAGCGAAGGACGAGCGTCCGCGAACTTGAAGGCATCAGCTTGCGTTGCGAACACTTCGAAGACGTAGTCTGCATGATTCACATCCTTGACCTCCTCGAGAACTTTCATCCCTCGTCCTCGCTGCGGAGAAAGGAAGGAAGTAGAGCTGGAGGAATCGACGGCTCTTGTGGGGCTCGTGATCTCCTCCGTCCTCGCCTGCTTGCTTCTTGGCACAAGATTGTCGCCGAAGAGTGCCGCATTCCTTGACCGCAGTTCCTGGCTGCTGAACAAATCCTTGGCATCCTGTTTGCTCTCAAAGTCCGCCAGTCGTTCCACCAGGTCTGCCTTGTTACCCCTCGTATTGAGTCCCCTCTCCCTGAGCGCTCTGTGCAGCTCAGATAGCTTCATCCTCTCAAACACCGCTCGGTCCTCCGCCGATTGGCTCGGGTTGAAATTGCTGTCAGACGACCTCGTAAAGTCGTTGCTCAGCGAACTGTCGGATCTCTTGACATTCATCATGGTCCCTCCCCTCAGCCTGAACACGGGAGAGGGGTGTTCCTTGCAGGCAAAGGGGCACAAAGTCGATTGCATCACCTGACAAGAAACCTTGCACAACAGTACGACGAACAAAACATTAGCCAACGCACGAACCATCTTCAAAATGAACTTCTGTCAACCCATTTGCCCGTTTCTGTCTGACAAAACGAGAACATCAGACAGGAACGAGTACGAAAACACATGGGAAGCTCTTGTGACTGCACACTCGCCTTCAAACAAGGAACTTGATACCCCTCATGAACATCTCGATACCCACTACTACAACCGACATCTCACGAGCAACATCTTCTTCTCCTCTCCTCCACGCCCTTCCATGCCTTGTATATCGCCATCATCCATGTCTCCCTCCCTCCCTCCCTCCCTCCCATACTTTCGCCGCCTCCGCCTCCCCCTTCCCCATTTTTGTTCGAATTTGAACTTCGCACGCCAACACACGCGGGCGGTTACAGTACGTTAATTCCCCAACAATGGCCGTTTCGAACGTAACGGTATTCCAAAGGATCGGAGAGAACATGCAGCGGGGGACGCAAGAGGGAGAGAGGATGGGAGGGGAGGGGGAGGAGGAGAAGGGGAGAGGGAGAGACGAGGCCATGAAGGTCGAAGGAGAAGATAAGATGGAGGAGGATGAGGACGAGGAGATCAGCTTCAAGTATGTCTACATCCCCTGCGACGATGGCAAGGAGATCCAGGAGTGCGTCATGCGGGCTAAGAAGAGCCAGTCGATGCAGTGCATGCTCGGTGAGTTTCATGCAGGGAACTATGTCGAACATGCACGCGTGCTGAGATGCTTACCTGCCCTGTCAGACTATCTCAGGCCTTACTTCGCGGAGGCAGCCAAGATAAAGTCGGAGGAGCAGAGGAGGAAACTCAAAGTACGTGCTCCTACCGCAGCTCCCTCCCCTCGCTCACTAGCATGGCAGGAGAACATTTCTGCTGAGCTTGCGAAGAACGCAGCTAAGGTCTCCGACTACGCCGTCTGGTCGATCTGACGAAGAGCAGGGAGGCATGAAGTCCGACGACATATCAGCCACCATGATCGACAGCATGACCGAGAGTCAGTTTGTATGCTCGCCGAGGCTCTCCTCCGGTGCAGAACTTGACGATCCGACATGCAGGTTGACATCGTTCCTCTCATCCCAGCCGTAGCTGCCTGCAAGTGTGCCGGACTTGCTTGACCTTAGAGCTCACTGACCCTCTTCAACGTAGCTGGATGTCCGTGACCATGTACGTCGACGACAAGGGATCAGCCAAGGTGAGTCAGAGTCCGTTCAGCCTCCCTCCTCCTCCTTCCTCGGTCTTCCTCCTTCTCCCTCAGTCTTCCTCCTACTCCCACGGTCGTTTCTTTCCCTCCCTGTTACCCGTGGAAGCAAAGGTTCCTCCCTCACCTCTCAATGTGTGCCAGGAGCTCCCGGTGAATGCTCGGGCCACTGCCATCGTGTCCATGGCAGGGGGAAGCGTATCGGTGAGTGGGAGGAGGAAGAGGAAGGGCCGTAGGGAGGGAGAGGGAGGGGTACGAGGAGGGAGAGGGAGGGGTACGAGGAGGGAAAAGGGGGAAGCACAATGGAGCAAGAGTACCGCCTACATGCCGTAGCAGCCCGGATGTGACCGTACGCGAGTCGAGCAGGTGCTGGGAGATGCGTTCGTAGCGCGAGCATACGACAATGAGGCAGAGGATCTTGTAAGGCATGACTTCCTCCTCGAGGAACTGGCGGCTGACGCCCCTTGGTAATGGAAGGGGGAACAGAGGAGAGGGGAGGGGAAAGAAAGGAGGGGAAGGGAGGGGAAGGGAGGGGAAGGGAGGGAAGGTGAGGGAAAGGGAAATGGAGGGAGGGGAGGGGAGGGGAGGATTGGCTGGTGCTCACTTTGCCAAGGCTGCGAGAGGCATGGAGAGTGAAGCTGATCGTCGAGGGAAACCGGGACAGCAAGGGGAAAGAGGATGAACACTTAGATGAAGCTCGAATTGTGTCTAAGGTGAAGAGGAGGAGGAGGAGGAGGAGGAGGAGGAGGAGGAGGAGGAGGATGAGGATGATGATGATGAGGAGGAGTAAAGCAGTTCCAGGTGCTAGAGGATGGCTTTCCTTTCGTGCCCCCCCTGCATCAACCAGTCCACCAGGACGCTCGCAAGGAGGCAGCTGAGAAGATCCGAGCAAAAGGCAACGAGTACTTCAAGCAGGGCAGGTAGGAAAGGACCAAATCGCAGCAGTTGCTGACTTTCTTGCCCTTCCCCTGCCCCTGCCCCTGCCCCTGCACCTTCCCCTCCCTGCTCCACTAATGACCTGCTCCTGCTCAGTTTTGAGGATGCTCTCTTTGAATACTACAAATCCGTTCGCTACCTCAGCATCATGCCAGCTGTCTTGGACGACAAAGTTGTACAAGTTGAATTCCATGAAGCATCCTGATAGCAGGGCAGGCGACTGCTTCGCTGGTTTCGGCGCTGTCAAACGCTGCAGCTTGCTGGCTGAAGCTCGAGAAGTACAAATTGGTGATCTCGAGTACTCCCTCCCTCCTCCCTCCTCCCTCTTACCCTAGGAGGGAGCAGCAGGGAGCTGCTTCCTCCTCTTGCCCGTCTGCCCTCCTGCCTGCTATCGACTCGATTGTCTCGCATTCCCGCTCTTCTTTCTTGCTTGACCGGCTCACACTCAACGTCGGCAGTGTGACAAACTCTGCTCCAACACCCTCCAGCTGGAACCGAAGAACGTGAAGGCGCTTTTCAGGTAGCTTCTCAGCTTCTCAGCTTCTCAGCTTCTCAGCATCTCAGCTTCTCAGCTACCTCCTCCTCTCCTCCTCTCCCTCCCCTGCTCACGGATTCCTGGTTATGTTCTGCTTACCTATTGGTCGCTCCTGCTTTCTTCAGCATTACCCACTTCCTTGTGCCCCTGACCTCCTCCCTCCTCCCTCCCCTGCTTCTCTCTCACTGGCTCGCAGGAAGGGCATGGCTCTTCGTGGGATGCAGCAGTGGCAAGAAGCTCTCACAGCTCTAGAGCAGGTGGGCAGGGGAGGATGAAGGAGGAGGGCAGGGGGGGAGGGAAAGGAGGCGCAAGGAGGGCAGGGGGGGAGGGAAAGGAGGCGCAAGGAGGGCTGAAAGCTGCCTCAGGCGGCAAGTCTGAACCCCTCAGATGCTGCGGTGGCAGCGGAGCGAGCGAAGGCTGAGAAGGTGAGGGAGGGAGGGAGGGAGGGAGGGAGGGAGGGAGGGAGGGAGGGAGGGAATGTGGAAGGGAAGATGGGGAAGGGGAGGGAGGGACAGACGGAGGTGATGAAACGGACTGGGCAGGATGTGAAGAAACATCTGTACGGGTGGTGAGAGGGTACTGGAGGATACCAAACGAGCGGAAGCGAGAGAGGAAGGGTCATGAAATCAAGAACAGCACAAGAACGATGAAGGTGGTCAGGTGAGAGACGATGACGTCGAAGTGAAGGACAGTAGATGGGAAGGCAGGGTGCCATGAATTATGTTTTATGTTTCACTAGAGTATCACTTGAATCACTTGCTATAGTACTGCTCACTGCTTCTTGCCATTACGACGAATAAATAATCAAACATCACCACAAGTCCTCATCTCCCTTCTCCTGCCCCCTCCTCCTCCTCCTCCCTTCTAAAGTAACAGTTTCAAGACGAGAACAAAGAGTCCGCAAACAGCTCAGCGTCTTGAAAGTTTCCAACGTCGTGCACGCACGCGTCGCTCCACATATTCTCCAGCTCCTCCCCGTGACCCTCCTGCTTCTCCCCAACGCCCTCGAGCAGCAGCAGCTGCTGTTGCTGCACCCACTCCGGAAGGCTGGAGTCGTGCGGTCCCTTCCTCCCGTTCCTCTCGCCCGCAGCCATCCTCTCCTCGTTGCCGCTGGCGTACGGGAGGGTCGAGCTCTCCGCGAACTTGCGAATGAGGAAGGAAGAAGCAGCCTTGGCGCCCTCGAGGGTTGTGAACGAGAGCTTCTCCTCGTCGCAGGCTGCGATGAAGTCCCTCCTCCTCGAGGCCACGGAGCAGAGGCGGAGAGAGGAGTCGTCCTCCTCCAGCACCGGGATCGCCGCGTCGTCGATGGTGTCGTGCAAGTTAGCGACGAAGAACCTATCCTTGAACGCGACGATCCTCGCGAGCATCGACGCCTCCGTCGCGTCCTGAGCCTCCTGCTGCATCCTCGCTGCCGTGCTCTTCATGGCGCTGAACGAGTGCTCCTCCGCCAGATCGCATGCAGGTAGGATGCAGGGAGGGAAGTACTCGAGGCGGGAGAGGTGCGAGCTGCTCTCGTACTCGGTGATCAGCCCGGCCTCCTTGGCTCCCTCCAGCAGCCGCTTGTACCACTGCGCCATCCTCAGCGTCGCCTCAAGCCTCACAGCCGCAGTGCGGAACGCGAAGATGTGGCTGGACTCGGCCGAAGGAGGAGGAACTCTGAGGTGAACGTGGCGGAAGCCCTGGGAGCGGACGAACTTGAGGTAGCCATGCACGATGGCGGTAAGGACGCGCTGGCGGTCTGTGCTCTTGTCGTTGCCGAAGAGCGGGATGGAGTCGAGGCACTCGATGTAGACGCGGCCGGCGGCAGGGGACGGAGCATCGATGCCGAACTCGTGCACGTACATACCGAAGAAGATCACTTCCTCCCCTCCGTCCACCTTCTGGAAGGCGAAGATGCTCTTGACCCTGTAGGGGTAGCGGGGCGCGAAGCCTCCTCCTGTCGTCAGCAAGGACTCGGAGACTACCCGCACCCGCACGTCCTTTTCAGCAGTAGACACGCTCTTCGCTTGCTGGGTCAAGAACACACACAGCGCTGTCTCTGGCAGGTCGCTGGAGAGGACGCGAGGGCCAGGGGAGGCCCCACCCTTCACTCCCGTGGGAGGAAGAGGAGCAGGAGCAGTCGCCGAGCCTTCCTTCTTCACGGCGACAGCAGGGGTCTTGAACGCCGTCGCCCGCGTCCTGGCATGTCCGCACTGCAAGCATTTTCCTCCTGCCGAGAAGGTTCCGAACATGTCGAGCTCGCATGCAGGGCAGCCGGACGAGGAGAGGCTTCCTCCTGCCCCAGCAGCAGCTCCCAGCTTCGGCTTCTCCTCCGCCAACTCCACCGCAGGGACAGCTGCCTCCCCGACCTTCATCCTCTTGCCGTACTCCGCCGGCAGGACCGGCATGAAGGATCCTCTCCTTTTCACAGGCTGCTCCTTGTTGCTGCTCCTCGTCTCGTACTCGGGTGTGTACTCGAGCTCGATGGCGATTCCGTGCTCGTCCACGAGGTCTTGCAAGACGTTCTTGAAGTCCTCAGGAGACAACTTCTTCTCGACATACATCTTGATCGAGTCCGTCAGCTTCTTCTTTCCCGTCGAAGAGATCTGCTCCTGAGTCAGCCTCCTCCTCCTCCTCCTCCTCCTCTTCTCGTCACCTTGCTGCCAAGCTTCCGGATCACGTGCATAAGGTAACCGTTGACCTTCTCCTTCTGGCTTCCAGGGAACTTGCCCAACTGTCTCCTCCTTGCTTCCTTCCTCCTCCGGTAGATCAGCTTCGCTGTCATGTCCACCGCAAACTCCACTTTGCTCTCCACGTCCTCCATCATTTCTGCATTGCTGCCGCCGCACATTCGGGCCGACGGTTGACCAGGCAGGTTCTTGTTCTGAACTGACAAGCTGTTGACCTTTGACTTGTTCAGCATGCCTTTCTTACCATATGCAGTGATGTAATCTTCACAAGGAATCATATTTACTGTCTTCATGCCAGCAGTCTTCACTTTCATCGCATTCTCCACATCCTTGCCAACGCTCACGCCAAATGCTCTGGTCAGTGTCGGCGATTGGTTTGAGATGGACTTGAGAAAAGACATGAAGTCTTCAGCAGTGAATTTGTGATCCTGCACACAAACACAGGTCAACAATCTTCATACGCCTTCGACGGAGGAGCATACCTGGAAGCACTGATAGCAAGTTTCCGTCGCTCTCCTCGTGCCGTCAGGAAGCTCTGCGATCGCTTGGAAGAGGAGATTCTCCGTCAGGGGCGGAGGGAGAACCGAGTCTGCCTTGTACTCTGTGTTCCTCCTGTTCGCTACAGCCGTCTTTGCGATGCTAGAGGGAGCTGGGCGTCTGGCCTTGGTCGTTCGGGCAGGAGCAAGAGCCATTGGAGCCCCAACGAAGCACGACCTCGAGTAGAGGTGGAGATGCTGCGGCATTGCCATCTTTCACCGGCAAGATTCACGCAGGAGGAAGTTCCGTGATGAAGGCTGACGAGACTTCACACAGACAGTTGGACGAATGATGAGACGATTCTCACTGCCTCGCTTCGTTATGGATCAACCACCTCGAGGCTGCGAGGTTGCCAAGGACGAGGTTTGCTCGCCAAGGCTTCAGTGAGGCTGCAACGAGTGCGGCGAGGATGGGAAGTTGACTCGGCAGGCCGTGGCGGAAGGATTTATATTGCACTGGGGAGGAACACTTGTCGGAAAGGCAGGCCTCAACAAAGATTGTACGCCTGGATCAAGAGAGCGACGAAGAATGGAAGCGAAGAGACGGAGATCAGAAGAAAGGCAGAAGAGTCAGAAGGACAAGAGTGCTGGAGAAGGAGGAGGGGGAGGAGTAATGCTGGATATCAGGTGAAGGGCGCGCAACGAAGGTAAGATTCCAAGAGGGGGAGAAGGCAGAACAGGAAGAGGAGGCCAGTCGGGAGGAAGGGAGGGTTCGGGGGCTGCCAGCGAAGGGAAGAGGGTCGGTTGGGGGTACCACCCACCACCCCCTGCTTCGATCCACACTGCAGGGATACCATGGGTACCTTTCAGGGGTACTGGGTGGACATCCCGGTGGGTCGGGTGGAGAGATTTGTTACGGGTTGGGGGCAAAAAGAGTTTTAAAAATATTTAGAGTTTTAAAGATGATTATTTTTAGAGGAAATGTTAAAACACATTTAAATTTTAATAAAAACATTTTGCAGGTACACTATTCTGGCAACAATCATTTGTACAATTGTTACATTATTGTAATCTTACATGTATATAGTCAGTACTTCCTGCCCCCCACCCCTGATCGTTTGACTACAACCTGCGTACCCCACCCCAGATTGCAATACCCCTGATTTACACACCCCACAGGCTTCAAGATTTGTATCCACCCACCCCCTCTTTTCCCGCATGACTGGCAGTACATGACTGCTATGCGCCTTCTTTGAGTACCCCACCCCTGTATGCTGGAATTTTTTACTTCTCGAAAACCAAGATTGCATCGGGATCCTCACTACACCGCCTCTATCTTACCCCACCCCATCCGTCCCAGCAGATTCCTACTACTTGCTAATAATACAAAGAAGGGGTAGGGTACCTATGAATTAAGCCTACAGGTGTTGGAGGGGTAGTCCGGAAGGGGTAGTAAAATTCTTGGGAAAGTTGTCAAAAGTGAAACGTACAGGGTGGTGGTTGAAATATTTTGAGTATACTCCTTTCTTTGTGCGTAACATTTCAAATCTGGGCGAAATTTATCGGATAGGAAGTCAAAAAGATACAGATCTCCGAGAGTACCCAGCCCTACCAAATCCTTAACTTGTGATCCACCCTACCCATCGACCTTCCCTCACCCACCCATGCAATCAACCATGTCACATACAAGGAGGAGTCATCGGTATCTCCCGCTATTGTTGTCGAAATGTTATCTTTTCGGTCCCATTACCCCTCATCCAGTCTTGCCGCCCCGCCGTGAATGTCGGGAGGTGTAACCATCGCCGGGCCTTTTACTCAAAGTTAAATCGGCAGTGCAGGCCCGCCGCCGCCCGCCGGGCCTGAGAGTTCGCCGGTACAGCGGGCGGGCAGTGCCGCCAGTCCCGGCCGCGCCACCGAGCGACCGGGCCCGGCCGGGCCCGGGCGGCCCGCCGCCCGGCTCACTGGCCTTTGAGTAAAGGCAGAGTCAGCCTCGGAGGCTCGTTCCGGGATATCATCGCGGCGGCTCGGATCAAGTTCAGAGTCAACCGTGGCCCCCGCCGCCGCCGGCGCACCCGGGCCCGGGGCCCAGCTACTGCTGTCTCCCGACGCGGCGCCCCGGGCCCTTGACAGTCACGTGATCATGCGGATATCATGGCTCTTCAGATAAATCAATTAATTTATCTCGCAACATCTCTCTGTAAGCTCGGTCTTTACCCCCCGCGGAAAGAGACGCAAGGTACCAAACCGTAGATTCGTCGTCACTCACCGGTTCAATTCTCAATCTTTTGAAGGGTGGGGGTGGTGCTGATCCTCCGAAAGCCTTTCCCGGATGCACCGTAGGGAGAAACCGCGGGATGAAGGATTCCAGGGGGGATTTTTGCGATTTTCACAAACTATCTTGTGTTGACTTGAAATTATTGTGAAGATCTTGGACGTAAGAATATTGTTTGAAATTACTGAGGCCGCCCAATCAAGGCTCGGGATGCGAGGAGGCGGGGTCGGGTAAAAAGCAATATTATGATAATAATTATGATTGTTAAATAAAAGATTAGTATATGAAAACGAGTCTCATCGAACGCAGAAGGGTGTGATTTCAAAATTGGGTTTTAGAGTTTTTGCCGTGAATACGGGGCTGTTTAAAACTGTTTTCATCCTGATGGAAACATATATTTTGGAAATATAAAACAATTTATACTGTGTTTTTAACACATTGTTCTCGGTACTGCTATTTTATCCCTGCACTAGTTATAAATCACTGAATTGTGACTACCGTCCCTGAGGACCCGGCCCGGCGGGCCGCCGGGCGGCCCCAGTGCGAACCGTCAGCCCGGAGGACTCCCGGACGAGTCGGCCGGGCCCTCACTCAGGTTCCGCCGGCCGATTCTACGGTATTACTAGTGAAGGTGTAAGTCGAAGGTGTACGACCTAGCCTGAAAAAAGCCCTGGTATCTTTAACTAGCCTGGCAGGCCGCCGCACGTTAAGTCAAAAGTACGCACTGTACTCTTTACTCAGTGTCACACCGGGCTCGCCGCCGGAGTCCGATCGTGCTCCGAGGCCGGGCTCCGAGTCGCCGCACTGCGGCAGGCTGAGGCCCTCGGAGTGACGCCAGTCGTGTACTAGATGAGTCTCAACGTTACATCCTCCCTCCCGAGTCCTCCTCCGAGTCGTTGTCCGACAACCCGATCATGCCCTTGAAGTCCACCAAGGTCTTGTAAAGAGGACGGAATTTCTTCCTCACCTCCCTGATCAACTGCTCCCTCATCTCGTCTTCGTCGCATCCGGCCTCCTCCTCCTTCCTAATCGACCGCACGAGCCGAGCAGCGTCGGACACCGCGTGGGCCAGGCCTTGGCACACCCCCTTCATGCCTTGCTCGATCTGCATCATCCTCATAGCATTCTCCTCCAGTGCTTTCCTCAGGGCCTCGTTCTCTCGCAGCAGGGCCTCCACCGACCCAGCAGCCTGCCCACCAGCTCGCTCCTCCTCGCCCGCCCATGAACCTCCACAAACCCGACCGACCAAGCTGCCGAGGTTCGGAGGGTCGTCGCCGAGTGCTAGTCGCCTCCTCTTGACGCCTTCCATGGGGGGAGTGCACTGGACCAGCGTCTTGCTCGGCGTCTCCTTCTTCCCCCCATCCGTCAGAGCACAAACCGAAGCATGCACCCGAAACATCAGCCGCACCTCCTCCTCCTCGCCATGGTTGACGACGATCTCGTCGCCATTGCGCAGATCGCACAGGCAGAACCATGGCAGTGAGTTCTCGGTCCCATCCGAGGAAACGATCACGGTCGTCCTCTTAGATAAGCTCTCGATCTTCGCTCGAGGAGCAGGGGACGATCCCGTCCGGATGATCTCGAACTGAACGCTGTCAAGAGAGGCCTTCAGGTTGGGGGGCACCATGATGTTGCTGAACGTGAACTTGTCCGTGCTGATCATGACACACCTGTCTGGCATCTCCAGGTAGCACCAAGCTGGCGCCATGGCAGCTGTTTGTCTTGCGCCCTATCGAGCCAGTGCGATGAGGATGAGCGATCACCTCGACATGTAGAGACTGTTGGAAGCAAATGAAATCCTTTTGTGTAACGGTTGTGAAGGCAGAGGCAAGTCAGGGGCAAGAACCAGGAGCAAGTAGATGCTATGCAGAGAGAAGCAGGAGGAGGAGGGAGAGGGAAAGGAGGGAGGGGAAAGGAGATGGGAGGGGAAGGAGGCGGGAGGCGGGAGGGAAGAGGGCGGGAGGGGAAGGATGAACGCGAACGAGGAAGGGAATGGATTTGTGCAGGCCAGTTGAGGTGATGGCGGGGGTGCTTGAAGGAGGGGTCATACGAAGATGATAAATGGGGGTAGATAATACAAGGGGGTGGTAGAACATTGATCGGGGCATGGCGATCGGGGAGCCATGGAGGCAGGTGTTCTTAGCATGTATGATGGCAGGGATCGTGGGAGGAGGAGGAGGAGGAGGAGGAGGAGGAGGAAAAGGAGAAGAAGAAGAAGTGAGATGGGTCAAGAGCAGTATGAATGTGGCAATGCTTGCTGGAGCATGCGGAGGGAGCAGGATCCTGGTCGGGGAAGGTGGTAGTGGTTGGCATCCCTCGACCAACAGCTGGGCACTGGATGGCAGGCTGAGGGAGGGCTTCCTGCTCTTTGATGTCCAGACGAGCCGTCGAGTGAACAGGATGCGGTTGCTGACGGGGAGGAAGGGGGGAGAGGATGGCTGGGTGACCTCCCTTCGGGTGTGGGTGAAAGGGTGGGAGGAGGGGGAATTTCAGCCGGGTTGGTGCGGGCATGCGCAGCATTCGGTGCCGGAAGATGATGGCTGGGAGCTGTTGTCCTCTCTGCATCACGATCTCGGCAACGTCTCGACCTACAATGGGCGGGTGTTCCTGCATGCGCAGCGGGAAGTGGAGCTTCAGTTCCCTCCAAGGAGGGTCAAGGGGCTGCTGCTCAAGGTGGACGCGACCTACGACCTGAGTCATAGGACGGGAAACAGAACTCACCTGCCTGACGCCTCACGAGCGGACATCGTCGACTTCCAGGTGCTAGAGGCCGACGAGGGGGAGGGGGAGGGGGAGGGGGAGGAGGAGCTCGGGAGTGGAAGAAGGGGAGGGCTGAGTGCAGCAAGGGAGGAGGGGGCGACGAGGACGATAGAGGATGGTCTCGACATGAAGGGATTCTTGGAGGAGATGAACAAGGGAAGGTGGATCTTCGATGAGGGGAGTGACGGCGACGGCTCGAGCTACGACCGGTGCGCATCTGCGCACTGGCGAGCAGGGGGGAGGATGGTGATGGGGGTAGGAAGCAGTGTGGATAAGGAGAGAGAGGGATGGGGAGGAGGAGGCCTGTGCAGGGATCTGGGGGGGCTGGAGATCGAGATGTTCGGAGATACAAGAATGCGCCACCTCTTCCTTGCTGGTAGTTGATCAGCATTCGTGCCCTTCATGGTTCATCTCAATCAACATCACCTTCAATGTCTTCAACTTGTTCTCCTCCTCCCTTTTCCTTGTCTTCTTTGTACTATCCAACATCGTTTGATTCATATGATCACTCTTCACCTGCGACTGAATCTTCATTTTGACACCCCGACAAAACTCTCTCCTCGTTTCCATCCTCACCCTCATCCATATCCTCAATCCTGCCTGCCTGCCTGCCTGCCTGCCTGCCTGCCTGCCTGCCTGCCTGCCTGCCTGCCTGCCTGCCTGCCTGCCTGCCTGCCTGCCTGCCTGCCTGCCTGCCTGCCTGCCTGCCTGCCTGCCTGCCTGCCTGCCTGCCTGCCTGCCTGTCTCCTCCCGCCTCTTGAGACTCCTCGCAGTGTTGACGAGCCTCGAGGCCCTGGGCACCTGCTGGGCTTCGCAAATCCCTTTAAGAGGATGCTGCATGGACACTCCGATCGCCGTCTGTTCGCTAAGCACGAGGGCCTGGAAACTTGTGCGGGGAGGATAACGCGAGGCACAGAACTGCTGTGTGCCGGAGCAGTACCTCGTGACGAGGAGGAGGAGGAGGACGAGGACGACGAGGAGGAGGAGGGTGCGCGACCTTTCCTCAAGGATGTGAGTCAGGGGGAGAAGGAGATGGAAGGGGAGGAAGGAATTGGTAGAGGAAGCAAGGCACAGGGGAGGAAAGGGGAAAGCAGGGGGCGAGTGCCGCAGAGGCTGGAGGAGGCTTTCCTGCAATGGGCGAAAGGAGACGATGGGGTGCAGTCGCTGGCATGGGAGAAGCTGCTGTGCCATGGGACAGTCCTGGTGCGACTGGTGGAGAGTAACGATACTTCCTTCCTTCTCCGCTCGATGAATGTAACCTGCCCTCCATTCCTCCCATCTAGCCAACAGAACTCCTCCCTCGTCCCTCGTCCCAGCTCCCATGTGCATTCTCCCTCCTCCCTCCTCCCTCCTCCCTCCTCCCTCCTCCCTCCTCCCTCCTCCCTCCTCCTTTCTCCCTCCTGCTCCAACACTTCCGCTTATCTGCTTGCAGCGATCGCAACTCCGACGAAGAGCTTGTGAGGATGAAGACCTGTGCAATTTCGACTCCTACGTGCAGGTGGGAGCAGAGCAGCAGCAGAGCAGCAGCAGAGCAGCAGCAGGAGTGGGGGTAGGAGCAGGAGCATGACGTTGGTGCAGGTCGCCTCCATCGTCATCCCAGACATCCTGCAGCACGACTTCCGCAAGGGCAACCCGGTGAAGCCACTTGACGAGGAGGCGGCGAGGGAGTTCGGCGTGCGTACGATGGACCTCTGGAGGAGGAGGGAGGAGGAGGAGCTCGAGCCGCCTGGATGGAGGCAGCACACGAGAACGAGGAGGACGCTGAGCCTGTGGAGCAGCATTGAGCCGTTCTCGATGAGGGATGCTGATGCCTCCCTGCTCAACCTGCAGGCTGCAAGGGTAAACGACTTCCTCGCTCGCGCGCTGGCGGCTCGCTCGCTGCCCCTCCTCGACTCGCACAACTTCTTCGCTCAACGGAGCGGATGCAGCAGCGACGGGCACCACTGGGGTGGTTCTGCCCAGCTGGTCAGGACGAGGGTGCTGCTGGAGGCGAGCAAGAGGTTTGCAGGGCACGTCAGGAGCCTGCTCAAGTCCCAGAGGACGAGGAGGGAGCGACTGGCCTCCCTCCGCAGGATGTCCCTCTACAACACTCGCTTCCTCTCCCGCTCCTCCCTCCTCCTCGACTTGTTCTCCCGGCTCCTCGACCTTCACGCCCCTCCCCCTGTCTCCCTCCATCCCGAGGGAGGAGGAGGAGGAGGAGGAGGAGGAGGAGGAGGAGGAGGAGGAGGAGGACGTTCGAGACCCTGCGGGCGAGTCACCGGGTCAGAGGAGGGCTCCTGGTACCCTCTGGAGGACGGGACTTACGCGTATCGCCTGCACGGGTGCTCCCTCGCGCGATTCTCCTCCTCCTCGGCCCGTCGGTGCCTTCAAGGGCGACACCTCCTCCTCGTCGGCGACTCGGTGATGCGTTACCAGTACATGAGCCTCGCCTCCCTCCTCCACGCGCGGTACCCGGAGCGAACGGGGAACGAGGAGGAGGGGAGGAACAATGTCTGCATGCCGGGGCTGGTGTGGGGGACCTGGCGGAGGTTCTACCTTGACAGCTCTCGAAGTTTCCAAGGAAGAGAACTCTGCGACTGCTACCGGCCCGAGGGCCCATGGAGCCCGGAGTTCGAGATGCGGGTGGAGGAGAACAGATTCTTCTCCCTCCTTCCTCCATCCAACCTCTCGCTCAGCTACCTCCAGGTCTTCGGCGGCTTCCCCATGCATGGTCACTTCCCCGGAGAGTGTCGCCAGCGCTCCTCTTCCTCCTCCTCCTGCTCATTCCACAATCTCTCCCGCGCAGCCCTTACGGCGGCGGCCAAGGTCTTGACGGAGGAGGAGTACGACCACAATCCCCAGCTCGACACCGGCAGCTTCTTCGACTGGCAGGGCGACGTGCCGACTGTTCTCGAGCATGTCGCTAGCGAGATGCAGCCGGACATGCTGGTGTTCAACACCGGGCTGTGGGGGGAGCTGAAGGAGGAGGACTACGTGGAGGATGTGTTCGCGGCAGGTTCAAGAGCGGTGGGGAAGGGAGGCAGCTGCTACTGGAAGAGGACGACGAAGCGGTTCAAGTGCTCGGGAGGGTCGAGGAGATGCGAGCGCCGCACGTGGGTGGCGGAGGAGGTGGAGGATACGGTGCCACAGCAGAAGGCGAGGAAGCTGGGCTGGGAGGTCTACGACACGGCAGCGCCGACGAGGCTACTGGAGCAGGACGCCTTTGCTGACGGCATCCATCCCCGCCCGTACGTGTATGAGGAGCTGAACAACCTCCTGCTCAATGCTCTGTGCAACCCTCGAGAGGGATGAGGACAGAGTGTTTGCAGGAAGAAGTGATGGTTGGGACAGACGATGGCAGACAAGGGGAGGGAGGAGGGAGGAGGGAGGGAACGAGGATAGAAGACTGAGTTAGACAGGAGAGTACGGGAGGAGGAGAGGTATCAGGTATCTCAATTCGATTTTAAAGAGACTTGTCAGCGATCCTCTGCAAGATCTCACACTTGGTGATCCAAGGAAAACAAGAGGGGAGGAGAGGAGGGGCAGACTGCGCTCAACTAACTCCTCTGTCCTCCCTCTGCTCTGCATGACTGCGCTATCACTTCTGGAAGTAGGAGTCCCTGTGAACACTTCAGCTGCTCTCCTCTCCTCCCCTCTTCTACTCACATTCCCTTGTCCAGATCTTCGTTGGAGGGCGCAGCACGACCACCTGCAACTACAGTCACAGGGCCAGCAACGTCCCCATGCTCTATTTTCTTGCCTCCACCGCCTCCACCGCCTCCGCGTCCTCCTCGTCCACGCGCGGCGCCACGTCTAGGCCTACACACAGCGTGAGCCTCAGCCAAGATGCACAGGAGTCTGAAACCTGAATCCTCCTCCTCCGAAGCCTCCTCCACCGAAGCCTCCTCCTCCGAAACCCCCTCCTCCGTAGCCTCCTCGTGCGGGAGCGCCGATGCCAGTGATGGTCACCCTGCCATGCGGGTCAGCAACAACGAGGGGGCAGGTACCTGTCTCACATTGTGGGCTGCGAGGTAGCGGCCTGAGCTGGGACGCCAACAAGCGCCTGGAGGATTAGAGCAGGAGCTTCAGTGACAACCGGACGTGCAGCACAACTTGTACCAGCTTCAAAGGGAGACCGTCGAGCGGGACTCCCTGAAGGCCCTTGAGCACCTATCGCAGAGATGATAAGAAGCTCGGAACAGGGCGAGCTCGTCGCAAGAATGACCTTCTCCGCATGTGCTCTCTGTCTGAAGACAACTTCACCCTGACCAGTTGAGGCTCCATCCTGCAAGACCATCAGAGATTCGGAATGACGATCCTCCCTCCACAAGACACAAGGCACGAGAAAATCGAAGCAGGTCAGATAACAAGCATTTGCGAGCATTACTTTCTTGTAAAAGATCTCGGCGCTCTTCACAGGTCCACCGTGTTCTTCACAGAGCTCCTATATCGATGGATTAAAAACATGCCAGTGGCAATTTTAAAGCTGGATGGACCTCCAAATCCTGGTCCGTAACTCCGGGGGCCAGGTTTGACACGAGCATCTTCACACCTGCTGCAGAAAACATTCCGAAAAACATGAGTTTAACCTGTCAAAGAATCTTGCCATCGATAGCAAAGATGAGATGAGCAGTGCGCGAGACAAATGCTTCTCAGAGCCACAACAACCCATCCTCCAGCTGAAACATGATACAGACTCTTTGGGCCCATGAATTGTCACTAGAAACTGAAAACAGCTTCCACAAAACAGGGCAAGTCGACAACGCTCGAGTTGAACAAGATGAAGGACCGCTATCGTCAATACCAGTGGAAAGCTCCTTGGGCGCCGCCGGCTCAGGATCCGTGCGATCATCATGCATGTAAAATCCGCCTGCCACCAACTTTATCCCTTGCAGGAGGGTAAGTGACGCTTTGATGATTGAGAAATTAATGAGAAGCTCGGTCCATCAGTGCAACCACAAACCACGCGGTTGAGACTTCAACCGTGCAGATATGCTAGCACGAGTTTCCAAAGCAGAGGCAGAAAGAATGAAGAATTGCATTCAACCTGTTGGTGGTTCCGCAAATACGTCTGCAGGGCGTCCGAAGCCTCCTCCACCGAATCCTCCTCGTCTGGCGTAAGGCGCAGGACGTCTGCCGACGTTTCCTCCTCGGCCACTGCGAATAGCTCCTCCTCTGCCTCCGCCGCCTCTTCCTGTAACATCGGCAGGTCCAAAGGAAGATGATGAATCAGTTGGGTCCAGGAAGCAATTCAAATAGAACACGAGCAGACAACTCTCCAAGCACAGGCCACGGAGATTGAAAAGACACAGCACGTCGCACTTCTGTGAACACTGTACTGACCACGAGGTTTGCCCTTGGACGATTTGTCCATCTTGACAACGTCATCTAATGCTAGGTCGACCTGTTCGACAAGAGATCAATCCACCACGTCATTGACGGCTCAGCTTCCTGTCTCCCCATCTAAAGCAACACGGTCCTCCCCTTCCTATGTCTAAACTGCTGGAAGGTTGCATTATCAGTATCTACTTGTAGAACTCAACAGACTTCTAACCGACCCCCGTGTCAATGATTGAATGCTGCAATAGAACAATCGTGCGCCCTGTAGACCCAAGAAGAAACTTGAGATAAGGAGCGGAATTCCATATGATCCAATGATGCGCAGTGAGCTTTCAGGCGACATTTGTGCATCTTTCAGAGGCGTGCTCACCAAACCTCACGATACCGCTTCAATGCAAGGGTTGAGAGAGTAGAGAAGTGCAACAACAAAGGATAGAGGGAAGGGTGGAAGCTCCTCGATGACAAAAATGTGCCATGGAGATCAACGTGACCAGGGCAGGCTGAGGTTCTGGTTGACTGGTGAGGGTGCAGGCCTTCCGGTGTTTCTCAGTGCAAGAGGGGCCGTGCACTTCAAGTGAGATTGGCTAACGCACGCCATTGCTGATGGAAGTTTATAACCTCTTGCTCCGTAGAGCAAGTGCATCATGCTGTTCAGCCCTTTCCCCTCTGCAGTCTTGCTGATACTGGAGTTCTGAAAACTCGCGCCAGAGAATGTAACCAGAAAGAAAAGGAAAGCCGCCATATGCATTCCATGTGTGACTGCATCTCACCCAGAATCGATTATCTCTGCACGCACTAACCCTGCCATCATGGAAGTCCTTGGCCAAGGCCAGTCCCGCACGCCTGAACCCCTAGCTACAACTATCGGCTGCAACACAAGACTTCTCGTGTTCAGCATCAAAGCATCGCACGTTCGATTTCGCAAGACCAGGCCAGATGAACCAGTCCTGCATCGCTCTCTATCATACCTCTTCCTACCATCAACATGAATCCCCGTCGAGATCCTCTGCAAAACACCATCCAACCCCTTCAACAATCCTTCCATCTTGAACCACCTTATCCTCGTCCACTCATCTCATCTGATGCCTTGATTCATCTCCTCTTCTGTTCTTCTCGTCCTCTCGCTTCACGTCCCCTCCTCTTCCTCCATGTCAGCAAGCCACCTTTTCTGCCATCGTCGCCGCGCCTCGCTGTCCTACCACCCCACCCTCCTTACAACACCTGGACTCTGGCCAGAGTACCCCTAACCAAGACCTTTGGACTACCCACTACAAATACCAGGACTACCCCGTCATATTCCCTGCAATCCAGCTACCACCCCACCCATCGATGCTGCCTCTCGTCAAGACTACCCTACCCCTTATCCCCTCGACGGACCCCTATAGGATCCCTGCCTCACCCGCTCCACCCCTTGCTAAAGGCCCTTCCGCACGCGCCAATATGAGGATCATCCAATTTTGAAAAGTTTATCTATAATTTGAAAATTGAGAGCATCAAAATGACTGTTTGCTGGACTTCCATATTTGGTATTTTAGATTAGCTAAACACAAAAATAATATATGTATTATCTTATCTTGTTTTGTAATGGCATCGCCCTCATCCTATTCTTTTGTTCTCTCGCAAGTTGGCGAAATTTTTAGCTCAAGTACCCCAAGTAATTGACGACATTAAACTATGAATACCCCTTATTTTTGGCAAATAAATCTGAATCGTAAATAGGTGGGGTGTAAGTACCCCTGGAGTAGTTTGCTCGCAAACTTTGAAGAAAAACAGGTTCGTGGATCCACAAACCCTGTTCACCTGAAGGACACTCCCTCCCCCTCCCTCCCTCCCTCCCTCCCTCCCTCCCTCCCTCCTGGTCTTGGTCGAACCTCCCTATTTCTCAATCTTGTCTTGTCCCTCGTACCTCCCTGCCTCACCCTTGCTCTTCATTCTGAATCAGCTCAGAAGCACTTCATCATCGATTCGGTAAGAGTTTTGCACGGGCGTTTGAGCTCTGTGCTGTCCTCCAAACCATGACCAATCAGCATTGGGGATATCTAATAATTGAAAACGGCCAAAGAATCATGCTCGAGGAGGACAGCTTCAAGTTTGGAAGGTTTCACATCACCAATTCAGACAAGAGTCTAGTCACCGTCAGCAAGCAGCACTTCGAGGTCTCGAGAAGACCAGGAGATGATGGAAATCAAGCATACTTCATCAGAGACATCTCACGCAACGGAACGCAGCTCAAGGTCGGAGAAAACCTTGAAAGGCTCGAAAGAGATCGTTGGCATGACTTGCACAGTGGGCAGGTGATCGTGATAGGAAATTCCTCGCAGGCAGGCCCACAGCAAGGAAGCTTTTTTGAGATAGTGTTCGAGGAGACTGCCGCTGAGAGTATGCGAGGTTCCTTGTCAAGAAACCCTTCGTCTCTAGAACCAGCCGCTGGCTCTCGGGTCCTGAACAACCCAAGTCACTCTCACGGAGATCGGGCAGGGCAGGGCCGGGTGAAACCTCAAGGGCAGGGGGAGGTGTCCTGCTCCGTTGCCGATTCCGCCAAGAAACGAACTCTGGAAAATGACGAGAATATGCAAGCACAGAAGCAGAGGAGAAGTGAAGCAAGTGAAGGGGCAGGAGAAGGCCTTTCCTGTTCACTTGAAGTTGGCGTCGTTCGGGTCGATTTGACCAGTGCGAATGATGTCACTGTTGAGCTGGAGCCAGTCGCCGGAGCGAAAAGTCCTGTTAGAGAAAGCTCCTCCCAATGGAACTCAGCAAGTCCTGTTAGAGAAAGCTCCTCCAAATGGAACTCAGCAAGTCCTGTTAGAGAAAGCTCCTCCAAATGGAACTCAGCAATACTGGCAGGACCCGAGGCAATACAACCCGTGGTGACGACTGAGAGTGAGAGACCTGGAGCGATGAATGAGCTAGAGAAGTTACAGAAGACGTTGCGAGAGAAAGACTTGATCATCGAGGGATATGAGAAGAGAATCGCAGAGTTGGAGGAGACCATTTCAAGGAACAACAAGGAAAATCACAAGAAAATCGCAATGGCACAGATCACTGAGTTAGAGAATGAGAACCAGAAGTTGAAAGCAGAGTTTACCTCGCTCAGCCTCAAATTCGAGTCAAGAGCTGAGAAGATAGACTTGCAAGCAAAGGAGCTGGTTGAAGCTGGCAAGAAGTGCTCTAACCTAGAGGAAACGTTGAGAAGATTCCAAGATGGGACCCAAATCCAGGCTCGGACTGTGATGAAGGAATGCGACTATGCATACAGTGCTGCGATGTCCCTGCAGAAAGAGATCGAACAAGCGGGGAAAGAAGCCTCCAAGTTGATCCATGAGTTGCGGCAAGATGTTAATAGGCAGAAGGGAGCGTTTGCAGAGAAGGAGAAAGCGGACCAAGAAAAACAAAGGATGATGGCGCTTGTTCAAGGCGACGTCCGTTCGCTCTGCTCGATGACTTCGCAACTGGTCAACGACTGTGTCAATGAGATTCAAAACGCGGAGCGAGAAGTGAGGAAGACTGAAAGAAAGCTTTTGAGGGCTCGACGATGGCAGGCGGCCTTTCGAACGAAGCAAGAGGAATGCTTCGACGAGTTCCTCTCTCTTCACCGCAACGCTGTCGAATTTGACTTTAACGAAAGCTGCGAGAGCGAAAGCGACGAACTGACTGACAGTCACCCTCAGTCTCAGTCGCAGCCATAAACGAGCTCGCAGCCTCCCCTCGTTAGAGGTCGTACCAGGGAAGATGTCCAGCATTTAGAACAAAAATTGTCTTTTGAGTTGGACCACTCGACGAGTTTCAAATTGATGACGTGTTGATTTTATGTCAAGCCCTACAAGTCTAAATTGCCGATTGTCTTCATTTTGTTCATGACTAAGTTCATCCTACGCTCGTCCCATCAGTTTCATGGATCGTTGCCATCGCTTTGACCTCCAAAGCTCCGCCTCGGATAGCGTTAATTTAACGGACAAGCTTATGGCTGAGCAGAAATAGGTCAAGGATTAGTGCATGACGAAGTTACTGTAGGGTGAATATTCGTGTGGATGAAATGTATTGAGAAAGCTTCACGTGTCCCGGGTTTATTGAATCGAGCATGACTTCTGCCCTTGCTCCGACAGCAGCGTCTTTTCTGCAAAGGACGATGGATCGTTGGCGTTCTGGTGCAAACAACACAACGAGTTAGAAAGCAGCCGAGCATTCATAATATCCTCTATCAAAGTTTGCACGATTGTCAATGACCTTCGGCATGCAGAGACGGTTGCAACTGTACTTGCAGTCTTGCTCCAACCTGCCCCACTCGCTCTCAACACCACCACCTCTAAGCGCTGGCAAAGAAGCATGTACATCTCATGGCTTCTGTTTGCCCAGAGCTGATCATCGATGGCTCTCTTGATCTCATTCGATTGCTTCCACAGGATCGTCAGAGCCAGCCAGGGCCCGACCCGTCGGGCACCTGCAGCACCGGGTTGTCGCTCAGCCCAACCCGAATCAGCGACACGTTCACTTCCAGCGCCCGCGCGAGAGCGAAGGCGCCCTGATCAGACGTGAGGGGGTCGAGAGGAAACCTTGCTCACCTTCTGTCCGATGCTGTTCCTATTGAGGTACAGCTCGGTCAGGGTTTGGTTGACGCTCAGCGCGTCCGAGAGGGCGGTCGCCCCGTCGTCCCCGATCCTGTTCGAGCAAAGATTGATCTCCAGCAACGCGCTGCCCGACGGAGTCAGCGGGGTGCAGCAAGTCCTGGGACGACCTGTTGTTTCGCAAGACCGACGCTATCGATGTCGCCCCAGCATCGCCGATGATGTTGTCGCCCAGCCAGAGGCTCTGCACCGTGGAGTTCCCGTGCAGACTCCGACAGAGTAGCTGCATGCAGGGCCGTTACTTACCGACAAGATACCCTCCACGCCCCTCTGACGCTACCGCAATATCATCATCTGCATCGAGTCATCAAACGAATGATGTGCGAACATGGTCGATCACCGTCTAACCCATGATCGTTCAAGTAAACTTGCGGCTGCGGCTGCTGCATCTGCTATCAACCGCGGGGATCGCACGTCCTACCAAAACTCACATGAGACTTGAGGCTCCTACAGATCTTCTCTAGTCTCTGCTTCCGCGTCTTCCTGACTTGCTCCAGCGCCACGTCCGCAAGCGCCTGTCGAGGAACAGACCAGCGCTGTGAACATGGCAGTTTGAAAGAAGTGAGCCCACCTGTCGAACAAGATCGTCTTTAGGGTCAAGCTCCAGTGCCTTAGAGTAGGCAGCATGCGACTGATCCAGCTCTCCTAGGAAGAAGAGCGCCGCTGCTTTCCTCGAGTAACCCTTCGGCCAGCCAGGAGCAAGCTTGATCGCTTCCTCAGCGTCGACGAGCGCCTGTTCCATGGAACTCAGGGGAACATGAGAGCGAGGGACCCATGACCTGCTGGTGCTGACCGAGCTGAGAGTAGCAAGCGCTCCTATTCGATCGTATGACATGGTTCTCGGCTTCTTCCAAGGCCTTGGTGTAGTGATCCAACGCGCGATCGAACTCTCCCCTCTTGAAGGCTTCGTTCCCCTTGGTCTTGCAGCCGAAATATCAGCAACTAACATTGGAGATTCAAGTTTGGAGGCTTTCGGACTGATACACTAATCGACCTTTGGTAGGAATCTGACAAGTCCTCCGCCGCTAAAACCTTCTCCTCACTTTTAGCACAACTCGATCAGCGCATGGAGGGTTGCGAGCTACCAAAGTTGATCTCTGATTGTATTTCACTTTGTCTACTCACAGACATGAGTGGTCTCCATACTCGAGCAGTCCAGGTCAGTTGTCCAAGTCGCCCATCAGTACACTTCAGGCTCATCCGCAATGCAACAAACTTGAAACGAATTCATTCTTGTCTTTCCTTGTCTCTTTCGCTCGCTTCCCTCACTCTCTCTTCCCCTCCCTCTCCCTCTCTTGCCCTCGAACCCTCTTACCTTCTCCTCCTCGGCCATCGCACTCCGCCGGAAGCCCAGTCAAAACTGTGAATATCTAGATGAAGTTTTTTTTCTTTTTAACTCCATTTTTAACTCAGTGGAAACGCCGCCGGGTCACCCCGGGCCCCGAAACCATTCCGGTCCCTCCGACGCTCATGGCAAGGAGCCTTGGCCGAAGGCGGCAGGAGGGAAGGCGATGCTGATGAGGACGCTGATGACGAGGACTAGAGTGCTCATGATCGTTGTGATGTCGATCGCGATCATGACGATGTTGGTCTTGTGGCTCTCCAAGGTGCGGTGAGAAAAGCTTGTTCTCAACAGTTGACAGTCCTGGAGTCAGGTGTTGACCAGGAACCTGCTCTCGATGGTTGTGAACGAACAACGGGAGCAACGGAGAAGCGAAGTGGAACCATCGGCATCAAGTGATCTGTGAATGTGCTAGTCCGCCAGCGACTGATCAAACGCCGTTCAGCTTTGAGTCCGAAAGTTGTGGATCGTGCGGAGAAAGCAGTGATAACCAAGAGCTCGTGTGCTCTATGTGTTTACGTAATTCCCCCACTGACAAAACTTCTTCTTTACTTTCAGGTTAAATATAATCAGTTCGTTGTCTGCTGAGCATCTGACTGTCCGTTGCAGCTTGTTGTTCTCTTTGCCGTCTGCTGCTCTATATTTGCATGTCGACTTTGCCATCTCCGCTCCAAAAAGGTTCGAACTTCATCTGTACATTTGTGAACGTTGATGGCCTACAAGGATCTGGGCTTGAGCCATCGCATCCGATCACGAGACATGAGGGGGGTCACTACCAGAGAGCCGGGTTGCAAAGAACCAGCGCCGGATGGTTCCAAGGTTACTTGAAACCACAGGGAAACCTCACGACTGGCGGAGAAACAGGCACTTGGAGAAGGAGGAGGGAGAACAGCATTAGCTTGTCTTTGAGGAGAAGACGGCTGTGTAGTGCATCCCTGCGAATGCGGTCAGGAGCCCCCCACGAGGGTCAGGGCCATCAAATCCTCACGTGAGCTGACGGGGCATCCCAACTTGGCGTTGATGCCGGTGCAGCCAGACTGCAGTTGAACCTGAGCAAACGAGTGTGAAGAGGCAAGGAAACGCTATTGACAAGTTGTCGCTTGGCAGAGGATGTGTAGAGGAATGATGAAAGATGCAGAAATACAATCATTGAGGGAAGGGTAGAAACGTTTCAAGGAGACAAGACAGAGAGGGACTCGAGCAAATGCTGGCGATCAAAGAGATCAAGTTCAGACCGGACTGCTTTCGATGTTGACGAAGCCAACCTTCTCAAGGGATTTCAAGTAAGACTCTGGATCCGTGTTTCTGCGACAAAATCAATTAGAGCTTTTCCAGTTCTTTTGGAACAATTACTTGAAGATGGCAGGGTCATGGTTTCCCTTCTTGATGGCTCTATATTTCATTGCCGAGAGCATCTTTCCTCCTGCACACAGCCAGCATCACACCAGCTTTTCCCCCACCAAGAGCAGCTGACACCTGGCTTCAGCACCCTGAGGAGCTCCTTCAACGCTTGCTCTACATCTTCCCAGAAATAGCAGCAGTTCATGTGGAAGATCTGGAAGGAGGAATGAAGACAAGAAGATAGGCGAATGTTCAACCCTGTCGATGCTGTTGCTTTCGATGAAAGAAAGGTTGTGAACATCCCCAAGAACAACTTTCGCCCTTCCATCCTGTATATGCTGAGCGATTTTGGAACTGCTCAGTTCCACCATGTCCTTGGAAAAGGCGCAGTGAGATTTTGAAATTCGCATGCTTTCTTGTCGCATGAGCTACGATGGTCTACACTTGTCACCTTGGAGACGTCAACGCCGATGACCTTCACTCCTTGGTATCGTAGAGCTTCTTCGAGACCAACGCCTGCAACATCTCTGTCGTCAATATGGAGTTATGGAACCTCAGACTTTGCGGGCAGCACCAGGACCAATGCAGACCTCGAGAAGATTTGAGTTCTCCCTGAGATCTAGACGTTGGAGGGAGTCATAGATTCCTGATTCAGGTTCGTTACACACAGGCAAAGAGTCAGCGAGGAGAGCGAGAGAAGCGAGGAAGCGAGATGGAGACGAAATTCACCTGCTGTGTTGTATTTCGTCATAAAGTTGAGCGCAATGGAACCAAACCAATCATTCTTTGCGCTCCACCATTAGCGTTGCAAAGTCAATTCATTTTCAGTTTAAACTCACTTGTGTAAAGGAAAAACGCAATGAAATCTAAAAAGGGAGATTGTCAAGTGTATCGGGAAACGCCAACTCTCCAAACCTGTCTCTTGTAAAATCTGTACGCTCCATAGGACAAGAAAACCACCAATAAGTTTAATATGAAAACGATTGGCCGCATATAGGCTAGCTGTAAGAGTTGCCTGGCATAAGGATTACAGACGCATATAACCAGTTTTCGAACTGAGCGAGACGCATCTACACAAGCGAAAATCACATATTTTTTTCTCGCACACAATTTTCACTAGCTAGGCTGAACATGAGAGGTTCGGAGTCGCTTCAGTGACATCACTCTCAGCCGATAGCCTGCCTCCATCTCACTCCCTGCCCTTGTCCTTGTCCACTTGCAGCACATGTCTGTATGTATGCAGGGTAGATCGCTGGGAACCCCCGTTTCGATCACACCACCCCTCATTAGCACTTAAAAATATCCCCTCCCTCAACCTGTACCCCATCACCCCTGACCCTCACCACCCCCCAGGGATACTTTTAAAGGGCTTTTTGTCAGCAAAATCTTATCTTGATTTCACTGAAGCCTTAATCACTGGCGGCCGGGCACTGGGCAAGCACCGGGCATCACCCACGGCCCGGCCGCGCGTCAGTGGCGGCCGCCGGCATGCTGTGTGGTGACAGGGTGACTTTGAGTAAAGGGTGACGGTGGCGGCACGCGGCACACGGTGATCCGGCGGCGATCCGCTACGGCGGCCGGCCGCCGTGACGGTTGAACTTCGGAAGCCGCAGGCTTCCGGGCCGAACGGTTCCGGGAGTCCCGGAGTCCGAGTTTTGACTCTGTTAATCGGACTTAGTGATGATGTGGCACAGTGTCACTGAGGCTGTCCGTGACTCAGTGATCATCCGACGCGGCCGACGTCGGACGTGACTCCGGCGGCGGGCGGCAGCGGCCCGGCCGCCGTATGCCGGGCGGCCGGGCCGCGCCCCCCGGCCCGGGTAGTACGGTAGTCTACCGTACCGTGCCGTACGTACCGGCGTCTGGCGGCCGATGACTGAGTCCGCGGCCCGGCCAGGGCGCGGCCCGGATGTTCCGACCGCGCCGAGTCACCGGGTTCCCGGCGGATGGATCAGTTTGAAAAAAAAGTTTGGAATTTCTTACAGCAATTGTACCCCTGTCACGGTTACCTGTACAGCACAAAGAGGGGGTGGGGTCATTCAATAACTAACTTTGTTGAGCCTAGTATGCACACTCGGTACATTTGAGCTCAAGATCCGGACTACCCACCATATATCTCATTTTTTGACTAGCAGTACCCGGGTACTCAATGGTACCCTACCCACCGGATGTAGATCCGCACTTAACAGAAGATTCCTTCACATAAGGACAAGCGCCCTACCCTACCCTGGATTCCGTCTCACCCCCACCCACTCCATCCTCTCATTTCGTAGAGTACCCCCCCTTGGAGAGAATTCTATATGGGTAGGACCCACCCTTTTTACAGTTCTGATGGAAGCACCCAAGATAATTACCACCCCTACACGTCTACTCCCTTTAAAAACTGGATCTAGCAGATCCTCGTCCACCCATGTTCCTCCGCAGCAGCGTTCTCCTCGCCTTTGCCGCTTCTGCCAGCGCCTTCCTTCCTGCTCCTGCTCCTTCTCTCCGTGCTACCTTCCCCTCCCACGCTTCTCTCTCTTCCCGATCGATCTCTCTTCGTGGAGGAGCTGCCCAGAGCAAGATGATTGACATCACTCCCAACGTTTCTTTCGACACCATTGCTCGCGAGTGGAGGTGCAAGTGGTCTGCTGACGCCGACAAGAAATCTCTTGTTGAGGCTCAGAATGCTCTCAACGAAATTCTCGCTGAGGTGAGTCGGAGTACAGTTGGACATATGTTCCATCTGGATATGCACCAAGTTCCACGCTGAGGTTGAGTGCAGGTCAAGAAGGTCGATGGCGTTAAGAGCGTTCAGCGCGTTGTTTGCGGTGGATGCCTTGACTTCAAGATCATCACTGCTCTCGAGGCTGACAAATATGGTGCACTCTTTTGCACTATGACGCGATGTGGACACAACTAAACTCGTTGCAGGCAAGTGGGAGGAGGCCAAGTTCGCCCCTGAGGAGAAGTTCCTGGCCAAGATCAAGGGAATCCAGGGAATCTCTCAGGTCGAGACTCAGACCTTCACCTTGATGCCGATGTAAATATCTGGTTCATGATGGAATAAATCTTTGATGGAAAGCACAAGATGTGGGCCGAAGACGTGATCCCTTTGCCCGTGCCGCCTGTGACAGGATTCAGTCGGTAGATGTATCAATCGCAGTCTACTTGTCACGAAGACACATGGCATCATTGGAGCTTCAAAAGGCTTGATCTACTTGATGTGACATCGGGACTCCGGTCGCAACTTGACTTGATCCGATTATGGCGATGAGCCTAGTACGAAATTCAGTTTGCCAAGCTGAGACGGCGAGGAAGGTTCAATCTCTCAACTTCGGCACCGGGCAGGTTCAAGTTGCTCAGGGGTCCACTAGTTTCATAATCCGATGATGACGATGAGAGAACTAACATGATGAATTCAAACTTGAACCGTGATGTCGCTGCTCAAGGCTACCGTACGACCGTACTGTGAGGCTGTACTAACCGGCTGACAGTGTGAGCGTGGGAGTCCGATCATCAAGTCGCCTGAGCCGCCACCACCGCGGTCGCCGCTGGCTGCGTCAGTGCCCGGCCCGGCCTTGGTCACGGGAGTCACGACAGCGGCGGCAGCCACCGTCACGGTCACGGGTGACCGTGCCGTCACCTGGCACCGTCGCCGGTGCCGGGGCCCGGCCGCCGGGGCGGTGCCGGGCCCACCCAGTAGTACTGAGGTGACGGGACGGCGGCGCAGTGACTACTACTGGCCTCGCCGGACGGTACGGTACTCAGTGATTTTTAAGTTACTAGTGCCATCGGACTTCAGGCCGCATGATGTTAATTGAATTGATTTGAATCATCATTTTCAGTGCTGATTAATTCTAATAAAATCGCTTTTGATCTGCTGACCTTTTCTGACGGGATACGCTACCCCTCCACCCCCATTTTCATCACCACCCCACCCTTACAAATCAACACATGGGAGATCCTCTACCCAACTACCTGTCATTTTCACTGCAATCTGAGCTTGTAACCACCCCTACAATCACCACCCTACCTACTGTTTCCTCTGAAAGCTGTAAATCCCCAATTCACCATGGACAGTTCCACACCCACCCCTCCATGTTTTTGACCCACCCCTACTGATCACCAGGAATCACCTATCCTTGGACCCCAACATCCGTGTCGACACCCCTACCCCCTCTGATCAAAATGCTACCCCAGGAAACACCACTATTCTCACCCCCTTTGGATCCTTTATACCCCCTTATGAGGTTTTGATGACCCCCCGAATCGCTACACCCCACCATAGCTACACTGGAACATGTCTTCATTTACCTACCCCTTCTTTCTATACAAAGTACGGGGTATTCTGATATGAGAAATTTAAAATGCTTTCACCCTACCCTACAATTAAGACCAGATCCAGTACCCCCACCCCTCGAATTCAACACAACCCTCTCGGTCTTTGAGCGTTCATGGCAGCGGGAGGCGGGTCAGGGAGGAGATGTAGAGGGAAGAGCAAGGCGTGAGATGGTTGTATGCTGTGGTTCATGATAAGAGCTAGGGGAGGACGACGCATGGTGTTTTGCTCTGACGAATGTAACGTGCCAACAGTGCTCGTAATGTCTGCCGTAATGTGCTGTTTGAAGCAAGCGCCTGCCTAAATGGAATACCCATTCCATTGCATGTTGCTGAAGTGTGTTACTCCATGCTGTTGAGATTTAGAAGGAAATATGAGTGTACATTATTTGAGATCCAGAATTCTTCGGTCTGCAGCTCGTGAACTGAACGAACCGTTGACATCGCAGGCATTACAATGCGAACGTCTGGGATCGTGTTAGCGGCATGTTTGTGCTTGGGGAGCTTGCTTGCTGTTGATGCTTTCAGCTCCGGTTCATCGTTGAACTTCAACAAGAACGTTTTGTCCGCAAAGTCATCGATGGTGAGCACCACACAAGTTTTTCAGCGCATTGCTGCCATGAGCAAGAATTTCTGTATTTCTGCTCCTAACATGCTTGCGATTTGACGCGCATTGTGGAACGGCTGAGAGGAAGGTACAGTCGTGCAACAACTCTGACGTTCTGCCGTGGCAGACGAGAACGAAGAGGGTCGGATGGTCGATGATGGGGAAGCAGGCGGCGTTCGGTCCATTCAGCCCCATCGTTATTCTAGCGCGGTCGGTCGTGGGGGAGAAGCAGTTCAATCAGATTCGCGGCAAGGTGAGAGGATCATGCGTTCGTCTGCGTACAAGATTTCTGACGGCAAGGGGAGCAGGGGATTACATTACACTCGCAGGCGAGCTAGTGCTGACCTGATCTGAAGAGGGTGGGTGAGCGTTGTGTTCAGGTGATCACGGAATTTTGCAATTATGCTGGCGTTCCCAAGGACAAGCGCCAGGTGTGTGTTCTTGTAGGAGGTTGAATGGGGGATGGTAGGAAGATGGAAAGAGTAGCTGACGTGGGGGAGGGAGGTTGTGGGGAGGGGCGTCAAGAAAAGGACGGTGATATCGAGGATCATGTTCTGTGTGGAACAAACCCTGAGGGAGGAGAGCGGAGGGATGGGGGCGAGGAGAGGCGAAGGGGAGGGGAGGGTGATCCGTGCTGCAGGGCTTGATTCGTCTGGCTAAGACCAACGGCAACACGCTGGGATTCCTTTCATAAGTCAGGATGTTGAATAAGAGGAAGGAATATAATGCAGAGCAAGGAAAAACAAGTTAGTTGCCCCAACTCGAACGATGTGCTGTCGTGGTTGATCTTCACTTCGTAGTTGAGCTTTACTGATCTCTCTCCATCTCCTCACACTCGTCCACCGACTGCACTGTGTGTGAGCGGGATGGGGACAGCGACACGGCATGCATGCTTCACCTGCGTCGTCGAAGCAGAGAAGTTTCTTCCTCTTCCAACGCCTGCGGTTTCTTGTCAGCAACTCCTCCTGCCACTCCCTCCTCACCCTTCGATCTTCATCGTGATGGGACGAGGCTCGTCCATAGAGCTGTCGTCGAAGTAGCACAGCATGACACAGTCCAGGACCAGCCAGTAGACTCCCATGAAGAGCCCGGAGACGAACCAGGAGAGGACAAAGACGAGGATGAGAGTAGCAACGGGGGTGGAGGAATGCAGCGCCGAGAGCTGGTCCAGGGGATCGTTCTTCATGTACAGGTAGGCGCAGGCCACGAGGAGACCGCAGATGAGGAGGCGACCCATCAGGAGGAGCATCTGGCCGACCATGCTGACTGCCGCCATCCGGAGAATGTTGGCCATGAGAAGGGACATGGCCCTCTTGGCAGACCAGCAGAAGCTTTCCCCGTGCACGGCAGCGATGATGAGGGCGTTCTGACTGAGGAACTCGACGAGCTTCTCCAAGCACGACAAGCAGCACTGGATGATGCAGATGAGGACGGCGACGAGCGGGAGGAGGCGGAGCTGCTTGAGCTTCTTGAGGTTGCTCTCCATGAAGAACCGCGTCATCCAGAGCAGGCCGAGGACGAGGGAGGCGAACGCAGCTGTCCCGAGATGGAAGCAGATGAAGCGCAGCAGAGACCTGAACAGCGGGAGCCCTCTGACCTGCTCGCGCTCGTCGTCCCCTCCCTCCCTGTAGTACCAGTGGCCCACAGCTCCCGCTATGATCATCTTGAAGCTCGAGGCGACGAAGGCGAGGGACCAGCAGGTCAGGAACACGTGCAAGACCCACAAGATCTCAGACACCTCCGAGACCTTGAAGGGCAGCGAGCTTGCGAACCCCCCGAGCATCCATCCTTTGAGGTCTGGGGCCCTTGCCGCCGACCCCGCTATCATCTCCTCAGCTCCTGTGTAGTTTCCACCGGCTCTTTCTAGCCTCGTGGAGATTCCCAGCTGCCATCCCTGGATAGCCATAGTGGAGTTGGCAGAGTACAGGACGCACAACCTGCCGGCCTCCTGGAAGGAGAGCGAGTGCGAGAAGGTCCGTGAGTTGACGGTGACGTTGAGGGGGTTGGAGGACAGCAGAGTTTGCATGCAGCTGTCTTTCTCGGTTGGCGAGATGACAAGCTTCTCGTAGGTCCCGAGCACGACATCGTAGCGCGAGGAGCTCAGCAGGAACAGGCCAAGCAAGCCGGACCAGGCGTAGAGGAGGAGAACCGAGACCAGAAGGGAGAGAGGGAAGAAGGCAAGCGAGGGCATGTCCGTCACGGCTCGAGCGCCCTCCTCGATGAGCCGCACAGCGACCATCATTCTCTGACAGAAGGCGATGAGGAGGAGGAGGACCATCCCGCTGATGATGGTAAAGACGATAGCAAAGATCTGAGACGCGAACGGGGAGAGTTTCAACGAGCTCGCAGGAATTCCCAGCTGCCTTGACACAGCGTCGGAGCTGGAGAACATCCCGGCTCTCCGCCACGCAAGATAGGAGGCGTAGATGGAACCCAGGAGGAGGGAGACAATAAGAAAGACGACGAAGTATCGGGCCCAAACCCTGAGGAAGAGAAGCCAGAGGAAGCAGAGGATGACAAGGCCCACAGCACACAAAACCATCACCCTCCAAGTCGTCTGGAGCTCTGAGATGATATCGCCAAGGAGCCCCACAGGAGAAGCGATGAACTGGTTGGCTAACGTGTAGGCAACTGCGCTGGAAGCGAAGCCTATTCTCGAGGCCTCCCGCAGATCCTTGGGAGCGAGAGGAACGCACTTCCAAAGGATGTTTATGCTTGGGTACGTCGGGAAGAAGCAGGAGGAGTTGTGCTTGTCGGTGGTGAGGCAGTTTGTCTGCTTCGTCTCCGAGGATAGCACACCCCTGTAGAGGCCCAGGGAGATAGAGAGCGACGGGTCGTCGGACAACGTGCTGGGACAACGCGATACGCAGAAGCGCCTGCTCAAGGGGTTGACGGGGTCGGGGAAGTAAACGTTAGGTTTTCCTGCCTCCCTCCCTGTCCCGCAGGTCTCGCCGGTGACCGAGTCTGTCCCGAAGATCAGCCTGCGAGGATCGTTGCAGCTTGAGGGACATCCTTCAGTTGCAAGCACCCAGAACATGAGCAGCCACACCACCCACGCGATGACGAACAAGGCGAAACAAGCGACATCTCGACACCTGTGCGACCAGGTTACATGTCTCAACCACAGACAGCCAGAGGAGGGGGCAAGACATGAGGGAAACAGTCGAGGAGAGTCGAAGGTGAAAGATGCAACCAAACCACAGGAGTATCCACAAACATCTTGTCACATGAACTCACTTGCGAGGCTTCGCCATTGGACCACAGCCATCTGGTCTCAACGCTCCTGCACAGCAGCCGTACTCGCAACTCGGCAGCACACAACAAGACTTCTCGCCATGGTCGGGACCAGCTCCTCTGTTGCTTCTTGACTCTGAGTGCGAAAGGTCCTTTTCCCTGTCTGTCGTATCTTCCTGCGAGGAGCCTGAACTCTCCCCACCCTCATCCCCGGAAGGGTCTGACGCGCTCGAGTGCCGGCGCTCACGAGCGTCCAGTGCTTCACTCATGTTGGTGCTCCACAAGCTCGAACGCCAAATCTGATCGAGCGGGGGCGCGGATGGTGCGAGGTCTGACCTGTCCGCATTCGAGTCTGGGCGGGGGGCGGGGAGCCCATTCTTGTACCTGTTCAGGACAAATGCATCAGGATGAGCAACTAGTCAGATCAGGATGACGAGGAAGGTGGGATCCTTCAAGGCACGAAAGGAGCCTCGAAAATGAGGTTCAACTATCGTCAAGGTCTTACAGCTTCTCGAGCTTCGATCTGAACCTGTTGTCCGAAGGAGGGTTTGTCCGAGCTCCGTCGCCCTCGTCCTCGTCTACAGCTGAGCTCTTAGCACTTCCATGTGCTGGGGAGATCAGCTGCGAGAAAAAAGCATGACCGCGCGCGGTAACCTCGATATGAAATACCTCGTTATCGATTTCAATCGCTCGACGCCCGTTCGGCATCAGGCAGATCAAATTTAGTATCTATGAGAAATCTTGGCCGGCATTCCATTCTTGCGCATTATGCACCTGATCGAAGAGGACAACAACGTGAACAACTGTCTATTGTAGCATGCACGGGACAGCATAGGACTCATCATGAAAAAAGGCTACGATTCAAAAGAAACGAATCTAGCCGCGAATGTTGAAGTGTTCTCCTGTCTTTCCATGATTCATGCTCTGTGTTGCTTTTGCATTCATGTGCATCTCCTCCTGCCATCTATCGTCCTCTTGCTCTGTGCTGCCCCCCTAATTCCTCCATGAAAGTGTGTTCCCCAGCTCTATCAAACTGAAACTATCAAACCGTTACGCACCGTTACAATCACTAGTCAGTGCGAGCCCGGCCATCACTGCTAGCATCACATTTCTTACGACTATGGGGGGTGGCCCCAACAGAAGGGAGGAGAGGAGAGGAGAGGAGAGGAGAAGAATATGCAGGCGAAGCGAGACGTAGACAGATGGGACAAGACTCAGATAGAGGGAGCAAAGCGGAGGGTTGTAGATGCCAGGGTAGAGTAGGTGAATATTGTGACATGGCCCCAAATCGTAGGCGAGAGAATTTCCCTGACGATATGAGGATCCACAACACGTTGATGAGTTCCAACTGACTGATAGCTTCTCAGATCCGTTCGGAGTCAAAACTAGATGAATTGAAACATTGTTTACTTGTTACTTTGTCTCGTTTTTTATCCAATGCACAACAAACTCCTCGTCGTTTTCTTGTGTTCAGGCCTTGAACTGGCACACGGCTTCAGCTTGACTTCAGGAACAGTGTTCCAGCGTAGAGGAGGGCTCCAGCTATCCAAATCATCATCATGTCAGCAACGGTCGAGCATTCCGAGCCTGGCAATGTCGATTAGAGAAGGGAAGATAGAGGTCGGGGTGTCCGATGAAGTACAGAATGTGGGACGGGGCCGGCTTCTAGCAAAGGATGATGCGATCAAGGAGGTGTCAGGAAAGGTTCAAGGGCTGTACGATGCGTATCCGTATCCGCCTGAAGCTGTCTTTGATGGAGTCACGTGCGGCTACAACCATCGCTGGTCGTATACACACGCGTACAACTTCGTGCACGGTCATGCACCGGTGAGCAACGAGATCGAGATTCTGGATGCAGGATGCGGGACTGGAGTCACTGCTCAGTACCTCTCACACCTTAACCCCCGTGCGAAGCATTTTGACGCTCTCGATCTATCGGCAGAAGCGCTCAAGGTTGCGAAGGAGAGGGCAGAAAGAGCTTTCCTGGTCGGAAATCCGAACAACGCGCAGTTTCACCACATGAGCTTGTATGATGTTGCAAAGCTCGACCGTACCTACGACTTCATCAACTGCGTGGGAGTTCTTCACCATCTCCCCGATCCTGTCAAGGGCCTGAGAGCGCTCTGTGAGCGCTTGAAACCAGGAGGCATCATGCACATCTTCGTTTACTCGGCGCTGGGTCGACGGGAGATCATGTTGATGCAGGAAGCCCTGGCGCTGCTGCAGGTATCTCTGTCCGTGATGAAGGCTTTGATGACGCCCCAGTATGGTTCAGGGGGGGGAGTGTAACTTCAAGGAAGGAGTCGCGCTGGGACGGGAGGTGTTCAAGGCCCTTCCTGATTCGAGCAGGATCAAGACGCGCGAGAAAGAGAGGTGAAACATGTCCCCTTGCCCTCGCTGTCTCCTGCTCCTCCTCGTGTGCATGTCCTGGTGATACTCGGGGAGGTGGGCGATGGAGAATGAGAGAGACTCCACGTTTGCGGACATGTACCTGCACCCGCAGGAAGTCGATTACACGGTGAAGGCTCGCTGTGCTGGGGCTTGATCATCATGACTGGATCCCCTCAGGTTCCATCGCTGATGCAGTGGATCGACACGGTGAGCGATCTCGATATCAAGTTCGCTGGCTTCAGGTGCTTCGTACTGTTGACCTGCAGCTGCGATCTGAGAGTTTGGCCAGCAACCCCAAGCTGTGGAAGCTTGACAGGCTCCTCGGAGGTGCTCCAGATGCTCTGGCCCGGGCCAAGAAACTTTCGCAAGAGCAGCAGTACCGTCTTGTAGAGTTGCTGGATCCCGACACCTTCACGTGAGTACAGCCGGGCCTGACGATGCCCTGTGGTCTCTCATCCGCGCTCGCAGTCATTACGAGTTCTTCCTGGTCAAGGGGGACGTGAAGAGGAAAGACTGGCGAGAGGTCAGCGACGAGGAGTTCTACTCCGCCAAAGCCATCCGTCAAGCAGGGATTCAGCCATGGCCCGCCGACCGAGTCTTCGACCAGGTTCGGATGCGACAGGATCTTGTTCCCCTCCAGCTTACTTGGCCCAACTCCAGGACTACAACCTTGTGCAGTTCACCGATGCAGAGTACGCCTTCCTCCAACTCTGCGCGCAGGATCCAACGGTGGAGACGGTGAGGGGCGGGCGAGGAGGGAGGTGTACGTCGGAGGTCTAACCCTGTCGCAGTTCGAGTACGAGGAGGTGGAGGAGCCGCAGGCAGTCAAGGACATCGTTGCCAAGATGGACTCTCCGATCACCAAGGAGGAGATCCTGCGCTTGCTCGACCTTGAGTTTCTCTTTCTCCAGCCTAGCAAGTGATAGTGAACTTGAATCTTTGAACCCGGCGTTAACCTTGAACCGTGTGCCACCCAATCCTTGAATCCCGGCCGCGATTGAATGACATGACTGGGGCAGTGACGGAGGAGGAGTGGATCTTCAAGCAGTACTCGGCAGTGAACCCCCGGGCCCCGGCGGACTCGGAGTCACGGGCCCCGTCAGTGCCGCCGCCGCGCGCGGCGAGCCTCCGAGAGTCACGGGCCCGGGCCCGTCACGGCGTGACTCTCAGCTGAGCACGAACTTGATGATTGATGCCTCATCCCCACTATTCCCGCCATTTCAAATTGAATACCCCTACCCCAGTATTACCGGGGACTCTAGAATGTACGGGTGTTTTGATCTAATCGGATTGCTTTACCAGGTAGGGTACTGAATATACCCGTTCTAGTTAGCTGATACTTATTTAAATTTCCAGGTAGGGTTAAACAATTCTGTCGACGATCCTCAGGTAGGGTAGTACAAAGGGTACTTTTAGAGGGTGGGTGGGGTCATCTGAACAAACTCTCCCGCCCTTGCCAATGCCGTAGGTAAGCGCTTGTTGATTCCATGGAAGGCAGAGGTGAAGATGCGGGTCGAGAGAGATGATGCGAGGATGGAAGAGAAGATGTGAGGAAGAAGAGAAGATGTGAGGAGATGGGGTGCAGCAGAGGAACTTGTGAGGGAGGGGAGGGAGGGAAGCAGCATTCCACACGCCATGGAATCTAACCGATCAGCGCAGGTGTCCTGATTCTGCTTTCTTCACAGTAGGACGGTCAACATGGAGACTAAGTCATGGGACGATATATTAATTCACGAGAAGGAGGAGAACAAACGCTTGTACCAACAGAAGAAAGATCTTGCAGAAAGGGAAAAGAACCTCGCAGCTCGGATTGCTCTGCTGAGCGAACAGAAGAAGTCACTGGATGATGGCAAATCTGTGGACGCCGTCAGCAGAGACAGCAAAGTCATCGCTCTGCAGGACAAACTCGCTGCCCTCACTCAACAACAGAAAGAGTTGGAGCTGAAGCTCAGCGCTGCGCAGAGGAAGTCTCTTCCTGCAACCCCTGAGGGTAAGAAACGACCTGCTTCAGCTGGTGCGCACAAGCAGGCCGCGCCAGCGCAAGCCATGGCGCAAGGAGATCCACATGATGCGAGGTTTGTGATCAATGACCTGAAGCAAAAGATCTTGCAGACGAACATCCAGATCAAGAATTTGGAGGAGGAGAAAGCCATGGCAGACCTTGATTCGACACTCAACCTGTATTCCAACAATGCGTTGTCCAACGAGAATGACCTCAAGGAATTCGAGAGGTTGAAAGAAGAGCTCAAGAACAGAGAGGCAAAGTACATCCTGGCAAAGAGCAGGTTCGACTCGCTGGACCAAGAGTACAAAGAGTACTTGGAGAAGCATAAGGAGTTGATGAACCAGGCCGACGACGTCCAGAAGCAGATCATGGACCAGCAGAAGCAGCAACGCGCAGTCGAGGCTCAAATCAAGCAGCTGAAACTTCGTCGAGACCACGAGACGGACCTGAAGAGCATACTGGAGGACATGAAGGAAGAGCTGTCCCTTCTCAAGGAGGAGAATCAGAAGCTGAAGGAAGACAGCATGAGTGGTGAGTCAATCATCGCGCAGTCGGAAGTTCAATCCAAGGAGGTGGTGAAGCTGCAAGAAGAGAACGAGACCCTGCTGCAGAGCATCAAGGACAATCAAACACGGGCGGAAGAGCTGAAGACGCAGCTGGCCGATGCCAAGGAGATTCAGTCAAAGCTTGCTAAAGAAGTGAAGGCGCGAGAGAAGGAGATGATGGAGATGATGAAGACGCACGAGTCCTTGACCAACTCCCTGCGAGAATTCATGCAATCAGCAGAGGAGGGGAAGGATGCGGCAGACCTGCTCCATAACAGTTCGATCATTCCCGGTAGCTCAGAGAAGCCCACCAAGGCGCAGGTATGTTCCATTGCTTACTACGATCTGTTCGCTGATGCACTGATTAGGAGGAAGAGGGAGCGTTGAGGGCTCTTGAGCAAGTGATGGAGCATGTAGAGGCCAAGGGGATGCGCCCGTCAACGCTCTTTACGGGATGGGATGACAATTCCGATGGTTTCGTATCCCAGGAGATTTTTGTGGAAGGGATGATGGCGTTGCGAGCTGGTCTACAGAGAGAGGAAGTTCGACGACTGTTCAAGAAGTATCTGAGCAATGCAGAGAGGTCAGAGTTGTCGGAAGACGAATTCCACAAGATGATGCAAGACGGTGAAGAGGCGCTTGCAAGGAAGAAAGAAGCAGCCGCGGGTGGTGGAGAGGACGTGAACAGGCTGAAAGCAGAAATCAGGAAATTGAGGGCTGTCAATGGCCAACTTCTTCAAGAGAAGGTTTGTTTCTTCACGGCGACGATCGCATTGAAGTGTGCCGAACAGGATGAGATGTTTCAGAAGCTGAAGGAAGCCGACAGAATGAGGAAGTCCACGGTATGTTGTTGACGGCGATGAGATGGAATCTTGATGAGCTCCTGATGTGATGTGACGACTATGACGATTCTTCTGTACCGCATCGTCCCTTGAGCATCGGCCATGCTGAATGGTCCTCTCCAGGTCAAGAGCGGAGAGCTGGAGAGCGCTGAGAGGCTTCGAGACCTGCAAACTCGTCAAGTCGGCGTCCGATGCTGAAGAGTTAGACCTGACTGGAGGTGCAGGCGGCGGAGATCAGGAAACTCGAAGAAGAGCTGTCGCTGGCCAGGTACAACGAGAAAGATCTCGAGCGACTTGTCGAGGCTCGCAACCTTTCGGAGTCTCACGACAAGACCTCTGCCTCTTTGTCCAGCAAGAAGACCAACTGTTTGGTGAGAAAGAGCTCAGGGAGTGCAAGACAGAGACAGAGAAACGAGTCAGAGAGAGGGAGAGGGAGGTAGGGTCTGGGGAGGGTCTGGGGAGGAAGATGAGGGTGAAATGTGTACAGCCTTGGGGAGGAGGAGGAGGAGAAGAAGAAGAAGAGGATGGGAGGGTGTGACGGACACCTCCAGATCCTCAACTTGTCCTCGTTCAAGCTGGAGGAATGGAAGGACGAGGAGCCCACAACCTTCTTCTCCATCGACTTCTTCGCGCATGAGACGCAAGTGACCAACCCCGTTACCGGCCTTGAAGTGAGCTTGGGATGGAGCCGTGAGTTCGAGCTGGAGGTCGACGACGTCTTCCTTGAGTACGTGGAGAGAGAGTCGATCATCCTCGACCTCATGAGGAGGACGAGTGGTGAAGTTCCCTTCTCCCGCATGGCGTCGGCTGATGTTCGCCTCGCCCCGCTCATGGAGGATGCTGGCATCCTGAACCAACGTCTTGAACTCTTCGGCATTGACGGAAAGAAACTTGGCTACGTCGTTGTGAACATCCGCATGAAGGACTCCATCGCTCCCCTCGTGGCCTCCTATCGTAGAATCAAAGACAGGACCTCAGAAGCCGCGAGCATGGAAGCTGCCGCCTTCTTCCGCCACATCTCTGTTCCTCTGGACCAAATCGTCCTCAACGTCATCGTCGTGCGCTGCCAAGGGCTGCGGTCCTCTCGCTACGGCGTTCTGCCATGGCCGTACGTACAGTACGAGCTTCCAGGGTCAGGGGAGGACCCGCACACGACCAAGACGGTGGAGAAGGAAGGAAACCCCGTCTACGAGGACAGGAGGAGCTGGAGGTTGAAGAGCCCTGCGACTGCGTTCGCACTGCGAGACCTCGAGCTGGAGGTCTTCGTGTTTGATGACAATGAGACAGACGACCTGCAGGTACGTCGAACACTCACGATCCTTCCACTCCCTCTCCTGCTCCCTGCCCTTCGTGTGCCTCTTCCTCCTTCGGTCGCTGGCTACCATTTCCTGCGATCTGCTCGTCTCTGGCACTTTATATCTCTTGTTTTGGATTTGCTGCCTCACTCGCCTTGCAGGCGTTCGTCGGGCTAGCGAAAGTCAGTCTGGCCCAGCTCTTCCAACAGGACAGCCCCAAGATCGATGGAGATTTTCGGCTGCAAGACAGCAGAGGAGCGGAGAATGGCACGATTTCCTTGCAGATCTCCTGGTCCAGAAGCGAGACCTCCTCCCCTGCCCCTTTTCCCGTTGAGGGCTCCGAGAAGAAGGCAGCTCCGAAAGAAGCGTCCCCGCAGGATAGCATGAAAAAGTTCTTCGATCTGATATCAAGAAGAGGACAGGATCACCTCAAGTCTTTCGATGAGATCGATGCGAAGAAGGACGGCATAATAGACGAAGACGAGTTCATGGCGGAGATGGAGAAGCATTCCTCCTCGATCTCAAAGTCGGAGGTGACGGCAACCCTAAACTGCCATTTCCTCCTCGTTCTCCTTAGATCTTCCCATTGAGCTCCTCCAACCTACTCCGTGCTCAGTCTCACTCCGCTCGCAGGCAAAGAGTCTCTTCCAACACATGCGCGAGAGACGAGGAGCGATCGATGTGGCAAGCTGGCACTTGAATAGCCTTCCTACCCTCAAGACTGCGATTATCACAGCTAATCCCCCTGAGATAGAAGGAAACATTGTCTTCCTCCTCAAGAATTTATCGGTTTGTCTCTTTTCCTCTGATTTCCCCTACTTCACAACCTCACCATGTTCCCTCCTCTTTCAAGTGTCATTCTGACTTGCCTACCAGTTCAACACAGACTTGCTTTCAGTTTGCGACCTCTTGAAGTTTGAGGTTGAGGTTTCGAGACTTGAAGACAGAAAGCAGACAAGTCGGGTCTACGAGACACCCTCACGTGACAAGTCGCTCTCGACGTTCGAGAAGTTTGCGATCAGAGTCGGCCAGGAGCAGGTGAGCAGCGGCAGACGCTTTTGCTGTTTTGATCTTAAGGCTGTCCAGGATGTTGTGACGAGGCTGGAGCCGATCTTCTCTCAGAGTTCAACGTCGGAAGTTCACCTCACCCTCGCGGTGAAAGGGGTGACTTTCGATCGTGTGCTACAAGAGAAGCAAGTGCTGGCAACCTGCAGGCTCGACCTCAAGAAGCTTTGGAGGGAAGGGAAGGACCGAGAAGAGCTCGCGAGCCCTGTACGCTCCTCTCTCCCCTCGGGGCTCTGTTGACTCATGGCTCACCAGATCATGGATGCAAGGCAGCATGAGGTTGGGACTGTAAGGGGCTCGCTCTATCTGATGCAGGTGCTCACCTCCTTCCTCCTCCCTTCCTCCTCCTCTCCTGTCTTGTCCCATCCTTGAGTCTTGTAGGTGACTTGCTGCCGCAGCCCCTGTCCAAGATCGAGAAGCTGGTCACAAAGGCAGCAGAGGCCGAGCAAAAGGCTGCGAAACAGAGCGTGTCCTCCTCCTTCTCCAAGCTGAAGCCAGGCACCGGCCATATCCAGCTCCAGCTCCAGCAGATCAGTCTGCAGGATCCCTCTGACCCAGCGATCAAGGAGGCAGGGGCGAACTTGTGCGTCTCTGCCAACTTCTTCGACCTGCAGACAGCAGAGGAGGAATGGAAACAGCGATCCTCCTCCTTCGACCTGGTGAGCTCAGGCGAGCCTGTGCTTGGCAGCTCTGATCCGCCTCCTTCAGCCGCAGTCTCTCCATCTGAACCACATGATCGAATTTCCCATCGACGCAGAGCACAACGAGAGTCACCTGAACTACTTCGTGCGCTGCTTGAAAGCAGATGAGGACAGAGACAGGGGAGCGATCAAGGTCCTGCTGCTCAACAGCCCCAAGGACGGTGGAGAGGAAGGAGGCGAAGCTGCCAAGGTGCTGGCTGTCTCTCAGCTCTCCATCTTCGACCTCCTTCACCTTCGGCCGGAGGACAACCAGGTCGGTCAAGTCCGACGTGTCCCTGATCGCTGACCGCGAGCTAGCAGGAGTTGAAGTGCAGCGCAAGGCTGCTGGAGCCAAAGACGTCCAGAGTCATGGGAGAGGTGGTGGCGACCTTGAAGTTGCAGAACCTGAACATATTCAACTTCACGAGTTGCACTTTCAGCCCCCATGACCTGGAGAGGCACGTGGGCATCTTGCTGAAGAGTGTTGCTCTTCGCCCCAGCGCGCATGTCAGGGACGTGGAGAGAGTGAGTCTGGTCGTCGATCTTGAAGGTTGCGCGAGTTACAGGTCAAAGGCTGTGTTTGTCAAGGAGACGTCAGTTGACCAGGTGCTGTGGGAGGCATCGTAATGCTGCTGACGTCACGTCAGAAACTGCGAGAGAGATTGTCTCTGAATGAGAAGATCCTGGTTGACGTGGACAAGTATCCTCTGATCAGCTCGAAGCTCGCCGCAGGGAGGAGGATGGAAGTCAACATCACGTTGATCAGCGCCAGCGATTCATCCGTCGTTGCCGAACTCCACGAGACCTCACTGGTGCTGTCGGCGGAGCTCGCAATGGACGCGTTTGACCTGTTTGGTATCAGAGTCTGGAGCAAGACCTGCGTGACCGCGAGTTCGAGCTGAAGGACAAGGCCGGGCAAGTAGCTGCTATTTGCAAGATCGACTGGTTGGCCGACAAGGCTGTGCCGGTGAGTGTTGGAGTGACGCTGAAAGTTCTTGACGAGTCAGCAGGCTGCGGGCAAGGTTGAGGTCCCGACGAGCAAGCTCGGTTTCACCTTGAAATCTGTGATGACGAACAACCCGCCATGGCCTCGCTCACATGTTTACAGCTGTCGTTGGAGAGCGGCGACCAGTCCAAGAGCGAGGAGGTGGAAGACGTTGTGGTTGAGCTGAAGGTGGTGGGAGAGGTCAGCTGAAGCTCGGCTGTGCTCTCAACTTTGACACTTATGCCTTGCAGAGAGTAGGGGATTACAAGAAGGCTCCTTTGAAAGAGCTTGCAGATTCGGATGAGACCTTGAATGTGAGCTCTGAGATTTCCTCGTGCGAATAGACTGATTTTGAAATGTTTCGATGAAATCAAGGTTGACCTCTCAGACCTGGCAGACACCAGCAGCCAGAAGAGCTGGAGGGATTTGATCTCAAGCAAGAATTCCCAACAGGGCAACCCGATGACTCTAGAGCTGATCGTTTCATCGTCCAAAGGAGAACAGGCTGAAGAGATGTGCAGAGGAAGGTAATGCGAGGAGCGTGTGGCTGTCGAGGTGGGAGAGCTGAACCTGCGACAGGATGGAATTTGGAGATTGGATAGCTGGGGATGTTGAGGACCGAGAGGTCAAGGTAGACCTCAAGGGCAAGGTGAGGGCAAGGAGGGGAGCAGTGGAGCGAGGGGAAGAGGAGAAGGAGGAGGAGGAGGAGGAGGAAGGTGATCCGAAGAACGCAGGACGATCAAGGGATGGGACAAGCAAGAGTGTCGGTGCAGTGCCAGCGTGCGCTGAGGACAGTCGGGATGAGGAGCCAAGAGCGAAAGGTGGAGGCAGCAACCGAGGCTTCACAGTACGTCTCAGTGAGTCCACCTGACCGGGGGCGGGCGGGTCAGGAAGTAACTCGTTGCTGGCAGTGGACTAGGAAAGGTCTCCGTCACGTCCTGTCAGAAGGAGACAAGAGCTCGAACCTGGTCGTCACTGTTGACGTCAGACCTCTCCTCCTTCTCCTGCTATTCGTCCGAGTTGACAGTCTGGCAGTCCATGGCCTTCAAGGACGGCATGCTGTCCAACAAGTTCGCGAGCAACAAGGGCCCCGTCTTCCTGTCCGTCGACCTCTTCCAAGACGATCAGCTCTACAGCAAGGTGCTGATCAGACCGTGAAGTCGATCGCGAGCTGAAGTGTTGGTCGGAGAGGAGAGGAGAAAGGAGAGGAGAGGTTTCCCCATCTTCCCTTCTGATCGGTTCCCTATCGATGGTGGATTGCTGGTGATGGTGATGATGGATGGAATGTAGTGACAGCGATGACGATGACGATTGCGATGAAAACTTTGAATGTGATCAAGTGATTTTGCTAGGGGAACGACGAGCTCGCCATGCAGGGGACGGATGCTTACTTACTCCAGGTTTCGCAACCTCTCTTCTCCTGCTCCCCCACCCCACTCCCCTTCCAACTTCCTCCTTACTCTTGGCAGGATCGCATGACGTTCGGGGACAGCTTCCTCTTTCCCACGGGCGAGAAGTTCGTGAAGAACCGAGAGAGGATGTTGAAGAGGAAGGAGAGCGAGGAGGTGACGGGGGAGGGGGAGGGGGTTGAACGTGCTGACTGCTGGTTGCAGTTGTCAATTGAATGTCTAATGTATCAAGAACCCTGGAAGGCAGGAACGACGTGCTGTGCTCGAGGTTCAGTTACGCAGAAACGATGGAAGGAGAGCGAGGGAAAGAAGATTCAGGTTTGCTCAACAAGCTGCTGCTTCTGCTGCTGCTGCTGCGATCAAGGAATATTTATGATCATATTGGTTCACGATAGTCTGATGTGGAAGTTGTATTTGCCTTGCCCTTGGTCTCGTCCCCCCATCCCTTGTGTCTTGATGACGTTGTCTTACTGATTCTCGCTTGCCAGGTGGAGCTCATGGATGGGAACGAGGTGGTTGCTGTTGCGAGTGTGGAGGTTTATTACAAGACATGTAATCTTGTGTGATGTTGCAGAATATCAAGTAAATATCAATGACAAATTCTTCTAATTGGTCGTCTGACATGCGCACGAAGCAAGTCAGTTGCTACTCAAGCTTTCTCTTCCTTGAGTTGTCTCCTGCTGACATCTCATTCGATTCTCTTGACATTGTCCACACCTGAAGTCTTCGACTCCGCGTGCGAAATGTGAACTCCCTGCTTGCTGCCTAACAGGATCCCAAGAAAGTTACAATCATCATCATCATCATCATCATCAACAACAACAACATGTTATGTCATTTTACCTTGCAAGTGCGGCGCTCGCCTTTCTCTATCCACTTCCTCATACATCACCATGGCCCCGTTCGCCTCCTCCTCCCCCTTCCCCGTCGCCCTCCTCTGTGTCTCGCTCGAGGCCCCCAGGCGCACTAGTCGTGAGCAGAGGCTCGTGCGCATGGCGTCGGCGAGAGCCGAGCGGCAGACGAGCTGGGCGGAAGATGAGACAAGGGGAGGGAGGGGGAAGAGGATGGAGGGGAGGTGCTGACCTGCGAACAGATGGCATCCAACACTTGCTCGTTCCTCACGTGCCTGCTGTGTAGTGAACGAGGAGGAAGCAGAAGGGAGAAGCAGAAGCAGGAGCAGGAGCAGGTGAAGGATCAGGAGCATGAGCAGGAGCAGGTGAAGGAGCAGGAGCAGGAGCATGAGCAGGAGCAGGAGCAGGAGCAGGAGCAGGAGCAGGAGCAGGAGCAGCAGCAGGAGCAGGATGAGCAGGAGGAAGGAGGAGCACGAAGCGCAGCTCACGAAGCAAGTGGAGGAACGAAGCAGACAAGGTCTCGGGGGAAGTGACAGTGGTAGAGGAGGAGAGGCTCCTCAGAAGCAATGTTGTAGTGCGGCTTCTGCGGGCCTGGAGTTCTTGTCACCGATGAACATAAGCAAACAAGCTGACGAGAAGAAAGAGGAGGAGGAGAAGGCGGAGGAGAAGGCGGAAGAGGAAGAGAGGAGGACAGGGAGGGGAAGACAGGGAGATATGCAGGGCTAGAGGACATTCGAGGAGTGAAGGCAGGGAGGGGAAGGCATCACATCGTGAGATGTCCAGCATGTAGGATACGAAGTTCTCCTCAAGCTCTCCCCTCCCCACAGCAAACAGGATGGCAGCCATGGCTCGGACCTGTAGCAGGGAGGAGAGACGAAGAAGCGACGTCAAGATAAGGGAGGGCAGAGCCGGTGGAGGGAGCGAGCGAAGGTCGGAGGACGGAGAGCGGAGGAGAGGAGGAGAACCAAGCGAGGGGGAGGAGGAATGCGAAGGAGACTCTCTCCTCCTTGATAGACTAGGAGGGGCAGGAGGGGCAGGAGGAACCTGGTGCCAGAGGAAGGCAGTTGCTTTGATATCCATCGACCACACAGAGTACCTTGACTCCGTCTCTTGCTCCACCTTGACACGGGAATCAGAGCAGCAGCAGGAGCAGCAGCAGCAGCAGCAGCAGGAGCAGCAGCAGCAGCAGCAGCAGCAGCAGGAGCAGCAGCAGCAGCAGCAGCAGCAGCAGCAGCAGCAGCAGCAGCAGCAGCAGCAGCAGCAGCAGCAGCAGCAGCAGCAGCAGCAGCAGCAGCAGCAGCAGCAGCAGCAGCAGCAGCAGCAGCAGCAGCAGCAGCAGCAGCAGCAGCAGCAGCAGCAGCAGCAGCAGCAGCAGCAGCAGCAGCAGCAGCAGCAGCAGCAGCAGCAGCAGCAGCAGCAGCAGCAGCAGCAGCAGCAGCAGCAGCAGCAGCAGCAGCAGCAGCAGCAGCAGCAGCAGCAGCAGCAGCAGCAGGGTTGTAGCATACCACAGGGATGATGTCGAAGCTGATGATATGACGGGTGAAGGTCAAATTGGGTTTGGAGGAGTCAATCTGAACGAGAGGAGAAGGCAGGAGGCTCAGGTCAGGGACGAGTTGGCAGGGAGGGAGCAGGAGCAGGAGCAGGAGCAGGAGCAGGAGGAGCGGGTTAACCTTGCAGAAATTCCGGAAGTCATGGGAGCCCTCGAGGAGTTTGGCTGCTGCTCGCATCCCCTCGATGTTCATGTCCGCCCTCACGAAGAAGTACTTGTATGATCGCATGGAACAGGCGAACCTGCCAGAACATCAGCTGTAAGAGGAGGAAGCACTGTGCTCCTGCTCCTGCCCCTGCCCCTGCTCCCCTCCTGCCCCTGCAGCGCCACCTCCTTGTTCACTTTTTCCTCTCCTCTCCTCTCTCCCTCCGGGTTTCCTCAGGCGCGCCATGCTCGCCTTGCATTGAAATGAGGGACCACAGGACACCAGGCGATCGCTCGGATGGTGGGAGGAAGCAGCGCGTTGATCATCTGCAGGTAGGGAAGCTCCTGCTCCGCATCAGCTGGAGACAACCCTGTCAAACGTGTCAAAACGTCGCCAACACTATTGAGAGCTCTCCTGGATGCGGCTCTGCTTCTTCTCGCGCCAGCCAGTCCTCCTTACTCATACATGCACCCCTTGCTCCCGCCGCCTCCTCCTCCTCATCATCATCATCATCATCATCATCATCATTACTCTTCGTCTTGTTGCCCTTCCTCTCGTCCTCTGCTCCCCATGGGCTCGGAGCTATGATGCCATTGCCGGGATCGAGCTTGGATCTCACTCGCAAGGACACGACCTGCCCGAGGGCGCTGACCCCCTTGTCGGTGCGAGCACAGCGGGAGTAGGAGGAGGAGGCTCGGGAAGGGATGAGACAGGTCTTGCTGAGGGCGGCGAAGAGGTGCCCCTCGATGGTCTCGTTAGTGTCCTCCTGCGAGGCGAAGCCCTTGAAATCCCATCCGAGGTAGGAAAGCTCTATAGCGATGTGCCGTGATGCGTGCTTGCTGAAGTCAAACTTTCTCCCTTCTCGCTCCTTCTTCTTGCTCCCCTTGCCTGCTCCCTGCTCCGCCATCTCCTCGGGTTGCGCGAGGAACCTGCTGGTCGTGGAGGTCGAGGTCACTTGCCGTGCGAGGGCAACGAAACTGAGAGCGAAGAGGAGGAGGAAGAGGAAAGTCTGAAAGTTCACGCGAGGTGGGGAGAGGGATGTTTGACTTGCGAGCAGCATGGCAGGGGAGATGTAATCATCGCTGCTCTCCTTCCCTCCTTCCTGATGTAGATCAAATTAATCAACAAAAGTACAGGTTGCAACGCTTCTCCTCTATCCCACACGTCCTCCCCTCCTTTCCGTTGCCTTGCCTCCCTTCATCTCCTCCCCTCGCTCTCTCCCTCTCTCCCTCGCCCCCCTGTCCGCCCCCCCTCCCGGTCTGCCCTCCCTCCCCTCGATTTTGCTCGGCCCCCCTATTAACGTAAATCCGCCCACTCGTTTCCCTCCTGCAACCCTCCATGGCCGTACCCTCCCGCCCCCTCCTCCTCCTGGCGGCCCTCACGACGCTGCTCCTGTCTTTGTTCGACTGAAAGGCGGAGCGGAGGGTGGAAGGGAGAGCGAAGGGAGGAAGGGAGAGTGAAGAGGATAATGAAGGACTTGCACTAGAGCTCGGCATTCTTCCTTCGAGGCGCTGGAGGACCAAGGTCCAAGCACGTGGCTCAATGCTCAGCTTACAAACATCTCCGGCCTATAGTTGTTTCCGTTGAAGGGAAGCGATTCATACAGGAGCACTCTCTTCCTTACCTCGAACAAGCTCTCCCTTCCTCTCGGCCCACCCCATGACACACTCATCACAAAACTCCGTCCTCCTCAAACCTTTGCCCGCAGTCTCTTCGTCAAAGTGGCGATAGATGAATCACAGATGGATCACAGATGTAGACGCTGTGAAGCTGAACGGAAGAGATGTACAGAGCACAATCTAACAGCATTCAAATACCCACACCTCACACAGACAAGTATCAAACAAACAACTTCTACCTTCTTACCAGACAACAGCATTCTCGACTCATCATCTTCTCTTACATTTATTAACACGTTCGCCTCCCAATCTTATTCCCCCTCATCAACGAAGAGAGGTACTTCTCAATGCACCTGTCCCACTCCAGCAGCTTGCTGACCTATCTCCACATTCCCCAGTGAGGCCTCATCTGGTTGCACGATCTTCTCTTCCTCCCCTCCTCTTTCCACTGCAATCTCAACATTCTGGTTTCCTACAGGAGCATCGCTCGCCTCCTTGATGGTCTTGAGTTCAGGTTCCATCTTGACAGGTTCGATCCCTTCCAGGTATCGAGGAGAAACAGAACTCTCTACCCAGAACGTCTGCAGCGCCCACCAGTCAGCCTCCTCGAAACCTCCCGCACAACACGCCTCCTCACCTTCATCTCTCCCTTCCCTTTGATTTGGATCGTGCCGCGAGGGACCAGGTGAACTTCCGTCCCCTCTGCCTGTTTCTTGAGCACCTCGGCAGCTCGCTCGGAGCAGTGGATCTTGAGAGCCTCGGAGTTGGACTCCATGCGCGAAGCTGTGTTCACCGTGTCTCCGAAGAGACAGTATCGCAGGTTCCTCGTCCCCACCACGTTGGCCACCACTGGCCCGCAGTGGAAGCCGACTCGGATCTGCACGGTGCCCTTGGAAGGATCGTCAAGGTCGACGGGGGTCGACTGCGCAGCCTTGATGGCTCCGATGGCGAAGCGAGCGATCCTCAAGGCGTGGTCGAAGGGCTGGTCCTCCACCAGGTTGGTCACCGCCATGTACGCATCGCCGATGGTCTCGACCTGGAGGAGCGCAGCTCTTACTCTCCTCGCACGTGGTCAGGGCAGAGCACTCACCTTGAAGACGCCGTAGGTGCTGGACAAGCGGTCGAAGACCGAGTAGAGCCGGTCGAGCATGTTGGAGACCTTGACGGGGTCGAGGGTGCTGCTGATGGTTGTGAAGCCGACGATGTCGGAGAAGAAGATGGTGACCATGTCACGGCGCTCAGGCTCGACCTTGCGACCTTCGCGCAGAGCGTTTGCAACGTGACGCCTGCGAGCAAGGATTGTCATGGCATGAGGTGACAGGCAGCGGGCAGAAGGCAGCAGAAGAGGAGGAGAGAGCAAACAGGCGATGCTCACGGGAACACGTCGTATAGAAGCTCCTCGTGCGACTTTCCACTAGCATTTGACGGCCTGTGCGGTTGATATCCTGATATCAAGCTCGAAATTGGCCCGGCATGCTGAGCATCCAGAGCCTTCAGGCGGCGCTCGACCTCCTCGAAGGGAGGGCGGAAGACAGGGTTCTTGTGCCAGCAGTCCTTCATGATGCTCACCACGTCCGAGGGACACGCGGGAGGGATGGCAGGACGCTTGTCCACCGGCCGTTTGAGATCGGCCACCTCCTCCAGCACCGTCCTGGTATCCTCTCCCTCATACGGATCCCTGCGGCTGTACACCTCTGCGAGCACGATGCCGAAGGCATACACGTCGGTCTGCGGAGTGTTGGTCCCTCCGTTGAGCAGCTCGGGGGCCATCCACAAGGGAGTGCCGCAAGCTCCCAGCTGCTTCTTCTGGCTGAGACCGAAGTCAGCGACCTTGGCTCGGAACTTTGAGTCCACCAGGACGTTCTGTGCTTTGAGATCGCCATGGACGATGAGCGGGTCTGCTGCATGAAGGAAGCGCACGCCCTGAGCGATGTCGCGGAGGATGGGAAGGATTGTCTCCCCCTCGATCACCATGGTCTCGTTGTGGAGCAAGTCGTACAGAGACCCGTGATCCATGCACTCCATGATGAGCATGGGCTCCGTGTTCCTGTCTCCGATGATCGCGCCCATGACGGTGGTGATGCAGGGGTGGCGGAGCTTGGAGAGGATACGCATTTCTTGGACGAAGTTAGCCTTGAGCTCGGCGTGCTTGTCCTTCTTGAAGACGCAGAAAGACAGGAGGCCAGATTCCATGTCATCATCATCGTCAGAAGATTTGTTATGAGAACCCGAGCTCAGACCCATCACAGATCCTGTACCATTGGTAGAGAATCCTTTCAAAGATCCCCGAGTGAAGTGTTTTGACGATCCCGGTCCTGCAGCCATACTAGCATGTGCAGCGTTAGGAACAACCTGGTTTGTTGAGCTTTTCTTGCGGTCCTTGTTCTTCTTCGGGGGGATCACCCTCTTGACCGCTACTGTCGTTCCTCTGTACTCAGCTTGCACAACAAGTCCGAAGGTGCCACGTCCAAGGATCTCGACGGGGTTGTTGTACTGAAGCTCATCAGGCCTGACCAGCCACAGGGAGTCTTGTTTCCTGATCTGATGCTGCAGCCAGAGCCAGACCAAAACCATCAAAACCAAGACAACAGGAACGACGATGACAGGGATGAACCAGGCAAGGCTGAGACAATTAGACCCCGAACGAACTGAGTAACTGTCACAAACACATTCTCCTTGTGCTGTTGGAATATGATGAGTGCCGTACTCAGCCACGCAGTCACGACTTTTGACTTCAATGAAAAGCGGGGACTGTGATATCTGCACGCCGTCTGCGAAGATTTCCACCAGCCATTGACCCTTTTCCGCAATGTCCAGCGACAACCTGTACTGATAGCTGCCCAGCGCCTCTGCCGTGCCCTCCTGGATAGTCAAGGTGTGAAGCTTGAAGCTGACGTTCAGGTTAGCTCTCTGAAGGTTGTCCAGCACCCTGCAATCCTTCTCAGTGATGACTCATCTCTACTCTCCCTCTTTCTCATCGTATCTCTCCCTTCCCCCTCCCCTTCAATCCCCTCCCTCCTCCCACCCCTCCTCCCTGGCTGGGTCTTGCCATCACCTGAAGATAACCGAAGTCTTCTGCGACGTGATGCCGCACACTGACATCTTGGGACATCCTACCTTGTTCTTGACATATGCTGCAGCTTGAGTGCTGTTGATTTCCTGGAACACATCCACGTCGAAGGCCTGAGTGCAAGGCTTGCAGACACACTGTGACCCCGACGGACACGTTCGCCCCTGGCTTGAGCATCCGTCCGCTACATCCTGGGGGCTATTCTTGAAGTATCCTGGGGGACATACGATGGAGTCATAGATCGCTGTACCTCGGATACACTCCATCTGGCCCGTGACGGGGTTCTTGGCGATGAAGTCCAGCGACTCTTGCATGTTCCTTAGCTCCATGTACGACAGCGTCGGGATCCATCCCGCTGACCCACTGGCCTTAGCGGCAGGGTCCGTCGCCTTCATCTCCATCAAAGCTCGTTGCACCTCTCGCTGTAGACACACAATACTCATTAGCTCTCCTCCCCCCCCGACCCCCGCCCTCCTTTTACCTGCACTAGCCAGTTGACATGATCGAGCGCCGCCACGTTCCACTGGGGATACAAGACCGTCGAAGACTCGAAAGGGTACGGCTGGCCGTTCTCGTATACCTTGACTGGCGCCAGATACCGGAAATACGACTTCTTCGTCTTACCCTGCCGACACGTACAAGACGTCAGTCCCTTCCAAGGCACAGCTCAGCACTCGCCCACCTCGCTCTCCATCAGCTCGATCTGGTTGGTGCGTACGAAGCCGACGTCGACCTTCTTTTGGTACACCATGTTGACCACAGTACCTTGGTTGGACGTGAAGACCAGCTGGGCAGGGTCTTGGATGTAGTTCAGGCCGTTGTCGACCATGACGCGGAACTGCGCTTGCCCCGACCCCAGCCCGGATATCGAAGCCGCCGCAACTGCACAAAACAACAGTCTGTCAGCCCAGCATGTCACGTCGGCGATGCGTCAGGCGGCAGCCCTTACTTGACTTGTCCTTGAGGTCTGCGATGGTTTTGATGTCCGTCCTGTCGGCTCGGACGAAGATGACGCCTCCAAACAGGGTGAAGTCGTACGTCTTGTCGCCAAGCTTCTGCGCTCCTATCTGGCTTACCAAGGACGAGGCTCCGTACTGAGACTCGATGCAGGAGTAGGCAGACGGGTTGACGTAGATGAAGTCGACGAACTTGGTCTCTACCCACGTGTAGAGGGTGGTGAAGTTCAGAGGTACCATGGTGAAGCTGATCTTAGGATAGAAGACGTCTCCGAGCTTCCTGTTGAGGTACTCTCCGAAGGTGAGGTTGAACTGCTCGTAGGCAGCATCGACGCCTCGGATAGCGAGCACGCCTACTTTATAGGAGTACTGTGTGACTGTACTTGGGAGGGTGACGTTAGGAGCTGGGCAGGAGGAGGCGTCGACAGTAGTATAAGGAAAGAGAACGGTCAGGGCGAGAAGGAAGAGGGGAAGTAATCGAGGAGAAGGAAGAACCATTCTTGTCTTCGCGATGCACCCAGAAATTCAGGTATGACTCATCATGGCAAGGAATATTAAGGTGCGACGGGCAGAGGAGAACCTAAGAATCAATGTCAGGATTCATACCCGCAAATGGATTCTTCAACTGGCTCCTATTATAAACAACTTGGTTTTCACTGGCACTAATGCCAAAAATGCCCATACTGTGAGAGGGGGAACTCGAGATGGAAGGGTCATCGATTCCACGATCGAAAGGAATGGTATGTTTGAACGATGAGGAGGGGATAAAACTTGAGGACACAAGTAGACGGAGCAGGAGGCATTCAAAAGCTGTCTGCCTGCAGCAACTACATTGATCGCTACCACAGCCCTGTTGCTCGCATCAGCAGGGTGAAGGGGGTAAAGTTGGAAGGAGGGGGTAGTCCATTGAGGCGGTAGATTCCTAACTAGAGAGGACCGGGTCCAAGCTGTATGAAACAGGGGTGGTCCAGGCGAAGTAATAGATTTGGAGTAGGATATGGGTACAAGAGGTCTAATTAGAGAGGGGACGGGGTCAGTGGGGTAGGGCTACTTCCGAGGCTTCGTGCGTTAGTCAGTGACCAGGAGAGGCGGGGGATACTTGTTTCATTCGAGTGAATAAATTCTTCTCGCATATTTGAATAATTCAGCAGAATTTTCAATGGTTGCGTTTGTATATTCAAGTGTATCCACGGAAAGGCCTGAGATGAGGGTGGTCAGTAGGTCCGTCCTGCACCATGAACTACCACCCGGTGGGATATATGGGTTTGTCTGGCCATTAGTTGGGGTGGGTCCTGTCATCCGAGCCCGGCCCGCGTATAAGTGCATTGTAGCCCGGCCGGCACTGGCGGGGGAATCATCGGATCATTGGGAGGTAGACCCCCCTCCTACCACGTAACTTACTAGTAAGAATGGGGGTGCCTGGCAGCCTCTCTTTCGGAACTGAAATTGAGTAAAGAAACCAACTGAGGGGACTCGGAAGCGGCCGAACCCCCTGCCCGACCTATACTTCCATTATCAGTTTACCACTCCTCCTCCTCCTCCTCCTCCTCCCACCTCCCTCCTTCCTACCTGCCCCCGCCTCCTCCCTCCTCCCTCCTCCCTCCTCCCTCCTCCCTCCTCCCTCCTCCCTCCTCCTTCCTTCCTCCCTGCCCCAACATTCCACCTCCTCCCTCCTCCTCCCTCCCCATCTCCTCCACTCACCCAATACCCTTCCCCCCGTCCTCACCTCTCCCCTTCCTCCCTCACTCCCAACACCTCTTCTGCCCTCCTATCTCTCTCCATTATCCTTGCTTCCTGTCTCCCCGGCTCCTGCCCTCTTCTGTTCCAGGCTCTTGTCCTCAAGGCGTCGGCAGCAGCTGCTTTCCTATGTTTCCTCTCTCTCGTGTCCGATACCCTTCTGTGTTTTCGTCAGAGAAAGCAGCACGAAAACTATCCGCCTCCTCCTCAACGCTCGCCAGTAAATCTGCTGCTGCAACTTCGCACCCATCGAGCGTCAACTTTCGATGAGAGCCTTGGCGTTCAAGCACACGAACGGCAGGAGCATCGAATCCCTGGCGGAAGACAGCCACATCCACATAGCAGCGCTGAAACGACGTGGAGGCATGATTACACTCGCAACTCCTCCTCCTGACGCTTTCTTGCAGAAACTCTCGCACCTGATTTCTCAAGGATAGGACGTGAATGCCCGTATCCGCTCCACCGACACGCCGGTGCTGCTCGCTACCTCGCTGGAAAATGTTGCTTGCGGTTGATGCTATTGCTGCTTTGCCTGTTCACAGGATGATGATGATGATGATGATAAAGAACAATTTTGGTAATTCTCTACAGTGACTTTCTCATGTCCCTGTAGTCCGCCTTCATTTCTTGCCATCAGTGTTCAAGCTTCTCCATAACATTCCGTGCCTTGCAAAAGTTTTGCCGCATCCTTTTCTTGCGGATAAATTCCGGTTTCAACTTCTTCAAGGGGCATATCTTTCTTGCTATTCCATTCTCCTCAAATTGTTCCCCACAGTTCCAACTGGAACGGTAGGAGGGAGGAAGGGGAGGAGCCACAGGTTCTTACAATCAACCTTCTGCACGAAAGCGTAATTTTCAAGAACCGTACAGATCTCATCTGTGTCCCACTTAAACAAATCTCGTAAGTAGAACTGGTGCGTCCGTGCCGACACGTGACACCCAGGTCATGTCCGACATGCCCAGTGCCGACTCCAAGGTCCGACCGTCATGCCTCCGGGTCTATCACATCCACTTGTAACTTGTGTGCTTCTCCTGTGACATTTGTAAAAAACTGTCGTAACCATGACTGAATTTGTTTAAGCTCTCGATAATTTCATACCGTGGCATCATGGCAAAGCCGCGACTGCGGCAGTCAGTCACAAGTTCAAGTGACAGTAGTGCACCGTACTATCATGAGTCATTTGAGTCCGATCAGGACTCCGGGAGTCCCGGCCGGCCGGCCGCCGGCCCGGCGGCGGCGGGCCGCCAGCCGCCGAGTCTTTCGTTTGCCTCGTGCTAGGCCTTTCTAGGGCTCTCTCCTAGCACTTGGGGGGTAGGGGCAAAGGCTATGGTCCTAGAGTATGTATGCCGTAGCTCCCTAGCACTAGCTAGGCGCCTCCTGCATGTCGCTCGGTACCCGGTTGGGAGCGGGCGGAGAAATCAGACAGCAGAGCGAAGGAAAGGCCGGGATTCATCGGAAGAAGGATAGATCGTGAACGAGTGCGGGACGAAGCAAGAGCAGAGAGGAAATCAGTGGGCAAGAGGGCTGTCTCCTCAAACAGCGGCCATCAGTGAGGACCGGCGCGGTGCAGTTCTCCAGAGTAGGAGATGTATGAATCGACCACAACATCGATTCCAACCCGATTAAAGCAGCACAGTCTTGCTAACCACGGAATGCTTCCAGACAAAGACGATGTTCAAGAACTTGTGATTTATCTCACCCTGCTTTTCATTGTGCTCTCATGGATGCTTCGAGAGATACACATAGCCTTTTTCACGGAAGATTCTGAAACGCCATATAGACGAGACCCTCGGAGCGATGAAAACTCTGGAAACCCTCCATCAACTACAAACAGCGATTGTTAATGGGACGAACTAGAATGTTATTGAGAAGACCCTTGTTGAACTACTGACTCCACCGCCCCCCCCCCCCCCCCCCCCCCTCCGCAACCCTCGATGATTGGGATGATGACTGGGATATCAGCATTGACATCTTTTTCAATTCTTTGGATTTGGTTTCCATCAGAGAATCATGTTTATGAACGAGATTGGCTGAAAAAAAATCTTTCATCTAAACGGACTGATACCTTCAAGCAAATCGTGCTGCGGGAAAGCAGCTTGCTTCACTTTTTGATAGGTTACTTGTTTCCAATTTGGATTGCATCATTGAGTGAATTATTCTGCTCTTGTGACACCTAGCAGCCATGCCTATCCTCCTGGAGTAACTTGATTTACTTCAGACCGATTACTTGATCATGTGTTTTCACTCTCAAGGCAGGCGAACAGAGCAAACCTTGCTGTTCAGTTCCGCTGGCCATGGATGTTTCTAGATCGATCCCGCCACATATTTGCTTGCCTCATCTGAATTTCTCGTCTGATTCAGCTGCTTGGTGTCTGCTTTCATCTTCTGTCTACGATCGGCCTGTTCCTCTCCATATTTCGATTTCCTGTGCTGAATACCTCGACTCCCCCGACTCAAGATGATCGATCATCTTGCTAAGTTGCAAGTTCGCATGCTCATTCATAGTCACGTCCGCCTTCACGCAAGTGTAATTTAGAAATCAGTATGAGGACAATCAGGACTAGCACTGCGGCACTCAACATTTACTCAAAGTTAAGTTAAAAATCAGTACGAGGACAATCAAAAGTTCCGGCACACAGGGGGCTCAGGCTGCGTATGACGCATTATTATTACTTTACTTTGAGTAAAGAACTGAAGAATGATTATTATTATCTATTGTTCTTTTATGGTCTATTGAGCGCGTCGAGGTTCAAGACGGTACCACCGCAATACTCGAATTGTTCTGGTAGACCAGGCAGGGGGTCTTGCTATATGTCAATGAGGGGTGGTGGAGGATACCTCACCATATACTATAAATCTTTCAATAAATTTTATTGTCATCTTCGTCCCCACGATATCTTTCACCCTGTCAGCATCCGCCGCAACACCCTACCCCCTCCTATATCACGTGATACTAGAACCCTACCTCCTCCTTGCCTAGTATGGTACCCCACCCATTCTACTTCAGTGATATCCTGGCAATACCTCCACCCCACCCTTCCCTTGAACGGGCTCACGAAGAACCCCCTCTTTGGCCTACATTGTTCTGAAGAACCACCCCTACTTTGAGTGACCCCTTACCGCACCCCTCCTACCCCACCGAGTGTGCTATCCATTGTTGCTGGTCCCTCCATGGTCCCAGACGCCCCGCAGAAAGGCGGCCAAGGCGCGGAGTACGGATGTAGAGAAGGGAGCATGAGAGAAGGAATGGAGATGGAAAGACTCGCACAGGATAGTGCTGCAGTAGTAGACTCAGACGAGTTTTCAACAGCTAGCCTCCATGATTGAAACCAGAATGTGACTGGAGTTCGGGTTGTTACATTCGAGGAAATCTTGAGGCAGGCGGGGAGAAAAGACGTGATTGTTAGGCAGAGGGCATGAAAACGTGATGTAATAGAAATGCTGTGAATTCTCCTTATGAGTGATCGGCTAAGTCTCTCTGTAGATAACTCACGGGTTCTTGATTGTTTCCTTGGCAGGATAGGGACCACAGATTCAACTCCATCAAACATGCGTTGTGACGAATAAGAGACGATTCTCCGAGATTCAAGTGATCGTCAAGTGAAAGGATTCAGGGAAGGATGCTCTCTTCTTCTAGACACGTCCTGCTTTGTTTTCTCGCCCTTTTCGTCCTCGTTGCGGATGCTGCTGTGGACAACTCGTCCTGCCCAGCTCCTAACGTCACCCTCCCAAGTACAGTCACACAGTACTCCTACAAAGTAGGCGTGCTCGCCATCAACGGATTCGCAGACGCAAATGCGAAGTACAAACTCATGTTCGAAGAGTACCTCAACAGGAAGCTCCGAGACGTCTTCCACCCTAAGATCAACTTCACCATGGTACCTCTGGACTTCACCACCCTCTACACGTGGGTAGAGACCAAGATCGTCGACTTCATCTACGTCAACCCGTCTGCCTACTCCTGCATCGAGTCTCAGTACGGAGCCTCGTCCTTGGCCAGTCAACAAAGTATACAGAAGCTTGGCAACGACACTTACGACTTCGCCCTGTTTGGAGGCGTCATCTTCGTCCGAGCCGACAGGACGGACATCAAAACCATCGCAGACCTCAAGGACAAGTCAAGTAAGAGCTGCCGCCTGACGCATCGCCGACGTGACATGCTGGGCTGACAGACTGTTGTTTTGTGCAGTTGCGGCGGCTTCGATATCCGGGCTGGGGTCGGGGCAAGCGCAGTTCCGCGTCATGGTCGACAACGGCCTGAACTACATCCAAGACCCTGCCCAGCTGGTCTTCACGTCCAACCAAGGTACTGTGGTCAACATGGTGTACCAAAAGAAGGTCGACGTCGGCTTCGTACGCACCAACCAGATCGAGCAGATGGAGAGCAAGGTGGGCGAGTGCTGAGCTGTGCCTTGGAAGGGACTGACGTCTTGTACGTGTCGGCAGGGGAACACCAAGAAGTCGTATTTCCGGTATCTGGCGCCAGTCAAGGTATACGAGAACGGCCAGCCGTACCCTTTCGAGTCCTCGACGATCTTGTATCCGGAATGGAACGTGGCGGCACTTAGTCATGTGCATTGGCTGGTGCAGGTAAAAGGAGGGCGGGGGTCGGGGGGGGGGGGAGGAGAGCTAATGAGTATTGTGTGTCTACAGCGAGAGGTGCAACGAGCTTTGCTGGAGTTGGATCAGTCGGACCCTGCCGCCAAGGCAGCAACGGTCAAGGGATGGATCCCAACGCTGTCGTACATGGAGCTGAGGAACATGCAAGAGAAGCTAGACTTCATCTCTAAGAACCCCGCCACGGGCCAGATGGAGTGTATCCGAGGTACAGCGCTCTATGACTCCATCACTTGTCCCCCAGGATACTTCAAACAGACCCAAGCAGAAGTCGAAGCAGGGTGTGCCAAGTTAAAATTGACTTGTCCCGTTGGCTCATCGTGCACGTGCAAGCCGTGCACCAAGGCGTTTGACGTAGATGTCATTCAAGTGAATGACACGCTGACGGCAATCGCAAACAATGGTCAAACGTACCTTGGATGTGCGAAGATGACGACGTGTGCTCTAAGTCGACAGAAGTCGAAGTTCAAATTCAGGTCTTCTTATTTTTCGTTAGTCCATCGTCCGATTTCTGATCGACTCAAAACAGTGTGATTGACAACAAGAAGCGAGACAACATGGTGTTCACATACATCTTGCACTTGACAGACAGATTGGTGAAAGGGCAGGCAAATAAAACCACGACTCTTTACAGCTACGAGATTGTTGAAGAGATCGATTTCAAGGGTCAGTGGCTCATAGAAATCTTCGCAAACGGTGAACAAATCAATGAGTCCCCTCTTTTCATTCAAATCGCCAGTCGTGATTGCGCAGCCGAATATGGAGCAAACTCTCTGCGAGTAGCGACAGATGCAGGTGACTGTGTGTGCAACAGCCGATCATTCAAATCTGGAAGCAAGTGTGTCGACCTAGCCTGGTTCATCCCTGTCATCGTCGTGCCGATTCTGTTGCTCCTTGTGTTAGCAGTGATCATGTGGATGAGACATCAGATTAGGAAACAAGACTCCCTGTGGCTGGTCAAGCCTGATGAGCTTCAGTACAACAACCCCGTCGAGATCCTTGGACGTGGCACCTTCGGACTTGTTGTGCAAGCTGAGTACAGAGGAACGACAGTAGCGGTCAAGAGGGTGATTCCCCCGAAGAAGAACAAGGACCGCAAGAAGCGAATGAGCGCAGAGTCCATGGCTCACACAAGCATGTCAGGATCAGCAAGAAACATGTCAAGAGGGTCCGTGAAAGGATTCTCTACCAATGGTACAGGCTCCCTCATGGGATTCAATTCAGGCTCTCAGAATGGCTCCTCCTCCATGGACGAGGACGACATGGAATCTGGCCTCCTGTCCCTCTGCGTCTTCAAGAAGGACAAGCACGCCGAGCTCAAGGCTAACTTCGTCCAAGAAATGCGTATCCTCTCCAAGCTCCGCCACCCCTGCATCACCACCGTCATGGGCGCGATCATCGGAGACAGGAACACGGAGCCCATGCTCATCATGGAGTGCATGGATCACGGGTCTCTGTACGACTTGCTCCACAACGAGACCATGGTGATCGAGGGGGAGATGATCCTTCCCATCCTCCGCGACATCGCTCAAGGCGTGCGCTTCCTTCATGCAGCAGACCCGCTCATCGTCCATGGCGATCTCAAAGCACAGAACGTCCTGGTGGACTCAAAGTTCCGAGCCAAGGTCGCTGACTTCGGTCTCAGCCAGAAGAAGCAGCTGGGAGCTTGCGGCACTCCCTTGTGGATGGCCCCCGAGCTGCTCAACGGAGGGACCAACACTCCGCAGACCGACGTGTATGCCTTCGGCATCGTGCTCGCAGAGGTGTACAGCCGCAGGGATCCGTATGAGGGAGAGGATACCAGGACGGTGCTGGAGGAGGTGGCCGATCTCAAACGGCCGGTGGACAAGCGTCCTGCCATCCCTCCCGCGTGTCCCTCGGACGTGGTGAGCATCATGAAGGACTGCTGGCACAAGAACCCTGTCTTCCGCCCTCCGTTCGAGGAGGTCGAGCGCCGCCTGAAGGCTCTGGATGCTCAGCATGCCGGGCCCCTTAGCGTGTTTGCTGGATATCATCACAAGACTTTGGACAATGGAAAGTCGCACGAGGAGCTTCTATACGACGTGTTCCCGTGAGCATCGCCTGTTTGCTCTCTCCTCCTCTTCTGCTGCCTTCTGCCCGCTGCCTGTCACCTCATGCCATGACAATCCTTGCTCGCAGGCGTCACGTCGCCATCGCTCTGCGCGAAGGTCGCAAGGTCGAGCCTGAGCGCCGCGACATGGTCACCATCTTCTTCTCCGACATCGTCGGCTTCACAACCATCAGCAGCACCCTCGACCCCGTCAAGGTCTCCAACATGCTCGACCGGCTCTACTCGATCTTCGACCGCTTGTCCAGCACCTACGGCGTCTTCAAGGTAAGTGCTCTGCCCTGACCACGTGCGAGGAGAGTAAGAGCTGCGCTCCTCCAGGTCGAGACCATCGGCGATGCGTACATGGCGGTAACCAACCTGGTGGAGGACCAGCCCTTCGACCACGCCTTGAGGATCGCTCGCTTCGCCATCGGAGCCATCAAGGCTGCGCAGTCGACCCCCGTCGACCTTGACGATCCTTCCAAGGGCACCGTGCAGATCCGAGTCGGCTTCCACTGCGGGCCAGTGGTGGCCAACGTGGTGGGGACGAGGAACCTGCGATACTGTCTCTTCGGAGACACGGTGAACACAGCTTCGCGCATGGAGTCCAACTCCGAGGCTCTCAAGATCCACTGCTCCGAGCGAGCTGCCGAGGTGCTGAAGAAACAGGCAGTAGAGACGGAAGTTCACCTGGTCCCTCGCGGCACGATCCAAATCAAAGGGAAGGGAGAGATGAAGGTGAGGAGGCGTGTTGCAGTGCGGGAGGTTTCGAGGAGGCTGACTGGTGGGCGCTGCAGACGTTCTGGGTGGAAGAGCGGAAGATTTCGACCACCATAGTCGAGAGTGCCACGGAATTCGAAGAGTTTGAAGTCTCCGCAACTCCTGCCAGGATGTCAATTACTGTCACTGACAACATCACTATGGACGCAGACCTAGGGTTCAGTCACTCAGGTCGCCAACTAGCCTAGCCTACTTAATAGGCTAGTCATGCCAGGCCGCCCCGCACTCGCGGCAGAGCTTTCAAGTTTTAACGGCGTGATAGTACGGTGCTAGTACGAACCAGCCTAATACGTCAAGCCAAGCATTTAATACAAATCTTTGAATGGTCTGCCTAGACTCGTGACTAGTCACTATTGGGCCCGGCGCCGGTCATCCGGTCAGATGGCACGGTGCCGGTGCTGTGTGCCGGTCACCGTGGCACACGGTCACCGGGTGCTGCGGCCGATCGGACTCTGGTGCGGACTTGTTGGATTGTTTTGACTAAAACAACATCTGTTTTTTACGCCATCATGGCGGCGACGGGGAAGAAAGGGGAGCGGAGAAAAGAGGCGGGCAGGGAGGCAGGGAGGCAGGGAGGCAGGGAGGCAGGGAGGCAGGGAGGCAGGGAGGCAGGGAGGCAGGGAGGCAGGGAGGCAGGGAGGCAGGGAGGTAGGTAGGTGACCATGGAGGGAAACAGTGGAGATGGAGGAGAGGAAGAGCAAGAGTGACGAACAGGGAAACACAACGAGAACAAGTATTCCAAAATCATTGTTGTAACGATAGCTGAGGCTCACGAGTCATGTTGTAAACTTGTACAGTTTCTGACCTTCACCCTGCTCCAGGACGAAGCATGAACGCGCCCAAGATTGAAGAACGCTTCTTCCTCCTTCCTGACGAGGAGAGGTCATCCCAGTGTTCATTTCACCATCGCCCCTTCATGCACCTGCAGGTTGATAGCTGAAGATGACACCAAGATTGAAGGGGCGACGAACTTCACCATCACCAAGGAGGATCACACCATGTGAGTTTCCCTGCGCTTCAACGCGCATGTAACCTTTGCTCAGTGGCAATCCTCTCCGAGTACAACTACTGCGAGACCCCTCTGTCCTCTTTGCAGGGTGATCTCAAAATGGCCTATCCTCCCCTCTACCTCCCCCCCTCTCTTCACCCTCCTCCTTGTCCTCCTGGACCTCCTCCTCTGCGGCCTCTTCACCCTCTCTACAGGTATAGGCTTCCCCATCCTCTGGAGACCAAACTTCAGATCAAGATCCAGACCAAGAGCACGTCAAACCCTCAACTGGCGCTCACCGACGCCATCTCATCGCTCAAGAAGGTGCAAGAATAACCTTCCGTCCTGTCCGTATCAGCCCTTTCCCTTCCTCCTCTCCGTCAGTGATCGCCCCCCGCCTGTCATTTATCATCCTTGCTTCAGGAGTTCCAGCGGCTCGACAAGGCCCTCGAGGACGCCGTGAAGACTTACAAGGAGCAGGGCAACGCAGGGGCCATGGACTACTAGTGGAGAGGAAGGGGAGGAGCCGACGAAGGCGGGCGGATGCGATTATAAGGATGCGATCATGAAGAGATTGGGGAAGGAACGAGGAGGGCGGAAGGGGGGTGAAGGGAGAGAAGCAAGGTCTGCGAAAGCGAATCTCTCGGAATTTATTTATCAAAGTTACCAACGTGAACTGAGGCGGCAGGTTGAAATGCTTATCGTACACTCGGACACTCTCCTTCCTCATCTCCTCCTCGTTCTCTTCGCGTTCCCTCCGTTGGTCATCTCGTCCTCCGACGCTCTCTTGCGGCATTGCACAAATAGGTCGATGATCAGCTGCAACCCAGCAGGTCAGGCCGACGAGGCTGAGGTTGGCTCAGACTCACATCTCCGATGACCCGAGCAACTTCTTCCGCCTGCTGCAGGGAGCTCGCCGCAGTTACAGTGCACTTCCCTGCTCTTCTTGTCACGGAGTAGGGATTTGAGGAGGGGGAGAGGGAAGGTGCCTGTGGGGAAGATGTTGACAAACACATTGTTCGACGCGTCTGTCAGGCAGTCCTTGTTCACGTAGACGCCCAGCCCCTTACCCACAGTCAGCCTCCTCTCGCACACTCGACCTATCCTCACTGTCACACCTGAAAGCGGTTGACCTTCTGCTTGATGTCTGCCTTGGGTACGTGAACCTTGCACACGCGCGAGCTGTTGTCAGGATGGCTCAGCTGCAAGTCCAGGTCACTTAGCAATGGGAGGCCACACAACCGGCACCAGAAGCCGAAGCTCTTCCATATCCACCGTGAATCCTTTCTCGCGGAACCCAAGATCAAAAACTCCTACGAGGCTGGTTTAGAAGAGTGCAGACAAGGCTAGGGACTGGTTGCTACCGAGAATGGACTCTTTCTCAAGGCGAACCTGTTCATGCGTCAAGTACGATATCAACACACCTAACACGGAGATACATTGACCGGCGCATCGAGACACAACTTGTGGAGCCAGTTGGGGTTCCCCTCACCCTTTGCGAGACAAGAATCAGGAGGAAACGAGGCGCAGCTCCTCTTCAAGGAGAAATCAGAACCTGCAGGAGAGAAGCAGCTATCCCATCATTTACTGCAAACTCCAAGTCAGCTTCATCCAACGAACCTCTCACTTGATACCGATGCGGCTAACACAGTTTGCAACAACCTTGCAAGCAGTAAGTGACATCTCACCATCCCTGCGATCCCGAGTTATTCATCTCGTGCGCAAAATGGCACTTCCTCACCGGCAACCAGCAGTCTGGAGCCGCCCAGTCTTGAAGACTTTCACACTGACGTGATCAAACCCTCCAGGTAGCGACCTAGTTTGCGTAAGAATGAATGTTGCCGGTAGTAATAACCTTACATCGAAACGAAGCAGCAATGGTCAAACTTGTTTGCTGATCTTGCCTTGTTCTTTGATTCAGATTGACCTTTCTTTTTCCTTGGCTGTAAAGCAGTAGGTCAACGGATTCTTGTCGTATTCGTGCAGGTTTCATCCATTACCACTCCACGGGTATTGTCGCCCCAGCGAACACAAGTGACGTAGTTGTCGACAGGACAACGCAGGAAAAACTGCCAAGAACAATTATCGTTAAGAAGACTAGCACCTTGTCGGTCTGCAAATCAAGCACCTGCTCCAGATCTATCGTCACAGCGCCTTGCGGAAGGTCAGGTGGAAGAAGCATGCAGATTCCAACGTTGCTGTTCTCCTCGAAAGGGCTTTCAACGCATTCGTCACACTCCTTGGATTGACAAGAATGCACGGTCATCACCTTGGTGACGGGTAGACAGTTCCACTCATAGTGCGCCGGGTATGACCGTCCAGCTTCTTCACAGGCTGCATAAAGAAGCGGTCAAACCGATGGTTGACGCTTGTATCATTCACCTGCGGCTTGCGAATGGATGCAGCGTTTTCATGCATGTTGATATCAAGACTTGCCCTTCTGACCTGAGATTGAACATGAATCACGAGGAAGCCCTCGGAAAATCGATCAATTTTTGCTTACTTGATGCAAGAACGATGCAACTTCAATAACGTCCTACGGTCGAGTTCACATACAGGATCAAATTCCAGATTTAAGAGCCGGGGGAGTGGGAGGGAGGCTAGGGAGGAGAGGATGAGAGAACATTGCTATGAACCAAACCTGTTTCAACTGATCTCGCTTCTTCGATTCATCTTCCATTGCCTTGCGTTGCTGCAAAGCGTACCAAATCAGCAATTAACAATCATTTGGTATGAGATGTATAGCAAAAACCTGTTCGATTTCAATCAGCGTCGGTCGTCCTTCTGTAGCACCCCCGCCAAAATTGAACGAGCTCCCTCGAAATGTGAAGGATCCATTCGCCATATTGAAAGAGTTTCCTCGGCTCCGAGATTCAAACAATCCTAGGCTGCCAAACAGATCCCATGAAGACCGGCGCGATTGCTGTTGAGGTTGCTGAGATAGTGACTGCAACTGCTGCTGCTGCTGCTGCTGCTGCAGTTGGGGCTGCAGTTGCTGTTGCTGTTGTTGCTGCATGAAATCCAAGCCTTCCGTTGCAGACGCTCTCCTGTAGAATATCAAATTAATGCTTTGATGGCAAGAACTGAAAAACAGACCTGCTGCCCCCAAAAGGAAGGACCGACGATGCACGTCTAATCGCATCAAACATCAAATCATGGTTTGGTAAGCGAAGTTCACCTACCTCAGTAACGCTGAAGCAACATTGCTGGCATGAGCAAAGATTCCTTTTTGCTGCTGCTGCTGCTGCTGCTGCTGCTGCTGCAGGGAAGATGACTGTGCCTAAAGAGGTATTACTCCGCATGCCCCGAAGTCGTCAAACAACGCACTGTTTGAGACTGCAGGATCGATTTAATATCATTCGGATCAGAGCTCCCTGTAGTGAACATCGCACCGAAGTCCTGGAGAAACATTCCATTCAGATCAAGACATCGAGAGAGTGAAAAGCTCACTGGCTCAAAGTCAATTTCAGCTGACCCAAACATTTGCTGCATAGCAGGATCTGTGTGTGTGTTTCGAGCAGCATTTTTTCTCTTGGAGCCAACTTCACCACCAGATTGAATATTCCTGTTCTGAAAATTCTGCTGATATACATTTTGCTGGTTTACATTGTTTGTGCTATTCCATAAACCGTCTTGAGAGTTCATGGTTAGACCTGGATCTTCCACAACCTGGTCGGGTTCAACGAGAGGTAAGATCTCCGAAATTGAGAAGCTTCTTGTGCCATGAGGTGCCATATTGGTTGGACGTCTTGATACATCTTGATTCTGAAAACATTTGTTCAAAGATTGTGGAAAATTGCTTCAAAGATGAACCTGAATCGGAAGGTCCATTCTTGCATTCTGCATGGCATCTTGCCCCCAAAGTCCATCAAGCCAGTCTTCAATCGTTGATTCTCCCCGATTTCCGTTGGCATCGCTCAACCATCTTGAGGCAGAACTTCGACGCCTTAGACTCATTCCACCATTTTGGTTAAACGCATCAGAATTGTCCGTTCCCTCCATGGAAAATCGTCTTGAATTGTTGTACATGATGTGTCTACAAGACAAAGAAACGTCAATGCAACAAACGTTTTACACTAATATCCACCTTTAAACCTCACAGAGGTCGCCAGGAACTGCCCCCCTGAGTCGTTACAGTACCCTATTGAAACCCTCAACTGCAAATCATTGTTAGTGCCAGGTCAATTACGACATGTTCCAAATCTAGGATGCCTGTTGGCAAGCTACAAAACAACAGCGGCTGGTTCACTAGCATAACATGGATTTCTTGATAAGCTAAGAATCAATTCAAATGTCATGGTGGCTCTGCTCACAGACAGGGCATAAGTACACTTTTTTCTAGATCACATCTGAAGCAACCAGGTTGCATGTTGTTAGCTCATCCTAGCAACCCTTCCTGATGTTCGTGTTGATCGCACAAGAAGGTCCAATCCTCACATGTGGAACTCAAACAAGAATTCGCAATTTTTAAGTGATTTCGATGGAAATCCACGTCCCTGTTCCGATCTCCTAAACCCTCAGCATAGACTGCTCAAACATGACATCCACAAATATCCAACACTTTCATAACCATCTACTTCTTGGAGCTACATCTCCACCTCGTTTATCTGTCCTTGTGCTCAAAGCTCCGGATTCTAGATGCTTACTCTGTGCCTGCTACCAACCTACAATTCTGTGTCGAGTGCGAATAACATGAATCCGTCGCTGAATCTTCATCCGCAGGCCTAATATCTTCTTGTTTTTCTAACATATGCATATTCATAGGGTCTATGATACAAAAAAATATGTCTGTCCCAGCATATGTTCCCCCATCAACTAAATCATCAACTGTGACCACCGAATGACTCATCAACCCCGCATCCTTCCCACACCCTTATCTTCTCCTGCCTCGTTATAAAACCAGCTCATGCTCCTGATCGCGTCAAAATCCCTGATCCATGTATTGCCCCAGCATTAGTCCGCAGCCTCTCCCCTCCCTGCATTCCTTCGCATCTCTATCCCTATGCGCATTTTCGATCTGCGCCGCCTTGCTTCCCATTTCCCCCCGTTCCACCCCTCCCTTTTCACCCCACCCCCTATTTTTCCTTTCTTATCACCCCTTGTTTCCCAGACAGGACTACACCCATTGACTACCCTACCTACCTTAACCTCTTTCCGTCCTATCCGACCCCTGAGCCCCCACCCTCTCTGCCTACCCCTGGGCTATCAATCACACCCCACTCTTCCCAACAAGCCATGTTCTACCACCGGTGTCTTGACTATCCCTACCCCTACCTTTCAAGTCCCACTGGTGCTTTTCCTGCCAATGACCACCCGTAGATCCTAGACCATTGACTACCCTACCAATGGTCATTGTCCAAAATGCCTAGGAGGACCCGTGCATATCTCACCCCCATCCTAATAGACGCTCAGTACCTGAACAAGGTTCAGAATATCTGATGCACCCCCACCTCCTTCCTTAAGTACCCCCACCATCTTTATCTAATCACCCCACCCATTCTATAGAATTCATTAGAGCACCCACCCCTCACCATCAGCCGTTACACATATTCCGGCATACTACCAGGGTGGGAATCATTCGAACACCCACCACTCATAATTATTGACTAGTACCCTACCTCCACTCTCGTGGTACCCCCAGATGTAGTCTTCAATAACAAGGGGTAGTCCTTGTCATGTTCAGCCTCACCACCTTATCAATACAGACCACCCTACCCTATTTGTTTCCTCAAATGATGGTCATTGAACCCGGTGATGAAGGAACACCCCACCAAACACTACGGACTTTACTCCTGCAGGGCCTCCATACCTACCCCACCCCCAATGGTCCTTCCGACTCCCTAAAATGGTCGGTCTGTTTTATAACCCACCCCTATATATCTCCTTTGGCAGGGTTATGTGTCAGTTGGGGTACACCCACCCCCAATATGGGAAGTCTCTTCACCACCGGGTGTTTTTAGTGTCAAATAGGGGGACCTGACGAGATGGGGTCAACCAAAGAGAGCTCATAGCTGGTGGGTAGTTCATTGAGGCGAATGGAGGCTACCTAAGAGGGGGGGGGGTTTCCACAGAGGTCAACGAAGCAAGAGTTGGGGGGGTTGTGTAGATACCCGAGGCGTAGGTCGCCCCCACCCCCCACCCTTCAGTAGTGTGTCCCAGTACTCAAAGTTTTAGTCAGTTTCCGAACGGTTCGGCGGCCGCTCGGGGGCCGGGCCCGCCGGGCCCGTGGCGCACTGACTGCCAGACTGCCCGGCACTCTCAGCCGGAAGCCTGCCGGTATCATATCCGGCCAGCCCGGCGGTTTAAAAGCAGTTTGTGACTCCGACAGAACTCTTCAAGTCCGGGCCGCCGGTCGTACATCATCCGAAAGGCTTTAACATGCGACCGTCAGCCGGTACTACGGTAACTAACCGTGAACGGAGTTCAAGTGCTCAGAGTCCGAGTTCGACTCGGCCTCGGAGGGTCCGCGGCCAGGCTCCCGGTCGACGCCGGGCCCTGCCGTCACGGAAGTTGACGACTCGGACGGTCCGGCCCGGGAGCCTCACTGCCGCTGAGCGGCCGGCCCCGGTCTCAGGCCCCGGGCGGCCCTGCCGCGGCCGGGCCCGGCCTTTCCGAAGGTTGGACTGAGCGGGGATGTGGACAAGAATCGTGATATGCAAGAGGAGGTGGGGAAGGAGGAGGTTGACTTGTTGATCGCTGGGTCGCTTCCTCTAACGCTATCCGAGGCTAGCATCATCCCCTCCTCTGAGAGTCCTGTTTCTTGCTGCTCCTCCTGACTTCCTCTGCATGCTCCTCGTCCTTCTCTTGCCCTCGAACTGCTTCTCTCCCGACCTACACTTGTACTGATGGCGCTGATATTTACTTCATCTTCTCTTCTGAAAGTCTTGCATCGTTATTCTCATCATGTGGCATATCTATACAATCTTTGTTTCTCCTCTAAGGACCCCCCATTCAATGCATGCCCTATCCTCAATTCAATGATTGTGGACTCGCTATTCTTCATAGCAAACCCATCGGCTCCTCTTCACTGTCTACATATCTCTAGAGGATCGTTCAATCATTATATGCAGGGAACATCTGTCCTTGAACTCTCTGCTTTCACGTTCACTCTGAACCTTCTTCTCTGCCTTATTGCTGGTTCTCCATCGAATTTTGGTACCCCTTCGGAGGTCCTGAATTTTGTCCCTCCCCCCCGCCCTCGTCTGTGTTCACTTCCATGCTTCTTTGATACTTTCTTCCTCCTGCTGCTGCACCTCCTAGACTTTCATTGTTTTTTCATATTTATCGTCTGATCTCTGCTCCTTGCATTCTCGAACCTTGCCAACCAAAATGAGACACAAGTTCTCTGTGAATTCCACCTTTGGCTAATGGTTTGAATTTTGCATTACTGTTTCTGTCAGTATCCCCTCCCCTCCCCTCTGCATTTGCCCTATCTTGATCTTCATGCTCTCTTCTGATCATGGATGACAAAGTCAGCACTCAGTTTTGAAAGATGAAAAAGACCTCACGCAATGCCGTATGCAAAGGAAGATAGGCGATAGTGTCGAGAGTTGTTTGGTCACAAATTCAAGGAAGGAATCCTTTTTGATTCAAAGAAGTAAGCAGTTAATCTTAGCACGCATGACAGTTCTTTCGTTGTCTGTTTTGTTCCTTTATCTCCTCGTCCAAGGCCTAATTCAGATTTCAGATGTCAAAATCCAAAATCATCCACGTGCCGACTATCCTGTGACACTGAATACAAGATGGAGTGATCAAGGAGAGACTTTTTCCTCATCAGATGAACAACCACTCACTTCCTTGGAGAGACAACATGGCTGGGATTGCGTGGAGAATGGCTCGAGATCAGGTGATTGAGAGTACGCAGGACGACAGGGTATGATGATGGTGTGATTTATCAGTATGACAACAACCGTGATGACACACAAATGCGACCAGCCGGGCGAGCTCAAAGGGTGGAGTGAGTTTGCATCAACTTTGGTGATCGCATCTCCTCCAACTCATTGTCGTTGGTTCCAGTTGGAATACAAGGCAAAGGTCGGACCTGATGTTTCAGAACATGTCTGCGCGGGAGGCCTTGAGGTCCTGCCAGAGGTCCGATAGCTTCTTCGTTTTTCTCACGTGAATGTTCAGGTTGCAAAGGCAAGCGGCAAATGTTCGGGGGGTCTGGAGCGTGATGGTGACTTGCATTTCCATTCCTTTTCGTCCTTCGCAACCACCCACCCCCTCAACCCTTCCATCGCATCCTTGCCAAACCCCCACCCTTTTATCTTCCTGCCTCTTGCTGTCTTTCTCTCCAATCCTCCCTGTGATTTCCCTGTTAGATTGTCGTCATGGTCTGGATGGCGCTACTGCATCACACGTTTCGCTTCGCGACGGTCTCACTTCTTCGCTGCTTTGGCGAACTTGTAATCGATTTCAATCAGATCACCTTGCTGCACTCATACGCCACCATCCTTCCCATGGAGCTTCGATATCTTGACTGGGCTGCAAGGGGATACATGTGATTGACCTCTCTCTCTGCCGTTTCCCACTCGCTGCGGCTGTGACGTGGCCATACCAGGAGCCGCATCTTCATGATGAGGGATCTTGTTAACTTTCCTGACAACGAGCTGGGAAACGAAATTCAGTTTAGACACCAACATGACCCTGAGTGAGAACCCTTTGCGTTGGAGCTTCGGCCGGGTGGCCTGCTTGCCTAACGGGTGCTCCAGGTTCAGGAGCGGAAAGAAGACGCGATCTTTGCGGGTCTTCGATGTGCCTCTCTCGCGGTATGAGTGTCCTTCCCCTCCACCTTCACACCTGCTCCTGCAGTCCCACCTGTTTTAATCCTTTCCCTCTCGCCCTCCCTCATGCTGCCACTTGTTACTCATCTCCTCGCCCACCTCCTTTCCTGCCTCTTACCTCTGCCTCGTGGTTTCTCACTTGCTTCTGCAGCGGGATGAATGCTACCAGAGTCTTCGTCCCGTCCGGACACGCTGAGCCTGCGCACAAGCATCTTCCCTCCCTCCTCCTTCCAGTGCAGCTGCAGCACCTGAAGGCAGCTGCTCGCTCCTACCCAAAAACATCGCAGGCCACTGAAAAACCGAAGGAAATGAAGGATCAGGATCACTTGAAGAGGCAAGACGAAGGAGAGAGGAAGGAGCCGCCGCAGGAGGATGATCCCTCCGTTTGGCAAGAAGCTAGGGGCAGGTCATGGCAACACATCGCCAAGCATCAGGTACGTTCCATAGCGGGAGGAGCAGTACTCGTGCAGTCGATGATCCCTGATCATCCGTTGTCAGGCTGCGTTGAAGGAGCACATGAGGGACAACGCTCACGAGTACTCCCACCTCGTCCGTTCGCATGCTGCAGAGGGGCGAGGTTGAAGGACAAGGCAAACGGGCGAGGCTCCCCTTCTTATTCTTTCAGGTTTGAGCTTTTTAATCGAGCATTGCGGCTCACCCGGCGTGGCCCGTGGCGCGGCACTGCCGTTGGCACGCTTGCCACGGGTGACCGTCCCAAGCTGACGCTGCCGAAACTGCCACCGTGGCGGCCTGCCGGTGCTGGCCGGGCGGCCCGGCGTCCGTGACATTGGCCGGGCCGCCGGCCGCGCCGGGCCGGGGCGGCTTCCGGGCGTCCGACGGAGGGCCGGTCACCGGGTCGACCTGACGGATCGCATGCCAGCCGTGCCGCTGAGTCAGATCTGAGCGCCGAGTTAACAAAACTCTGCAATGTAGCCTACCGTGGTCAGTGTGACGAAGTGCAGGCCTTCCTAGCCGTCTTGCTAAGGTCCTCTCGTGTCTGGATGCTTGGCCAGTGGGTTTCACATCCTAGCATACAGTCTATCCCTCATGCAGTGCTCCTCATTGAATTCTGGTTTCCTGCATGGCCGCACTGAAGTAACTCGGGAGCAAACTTGAAACTGACGGTACCATCGGTCTTGTTGCAGCTAAGGTCGATATGATGTATGCATTACTTTGGCATAGTACTACAAACTGATTATGCTCCGTCACGACCCTTACTCAGCCTGGCAGGCTCCCGGAGTCCGATTCCCCGGGGCCCGGCGTAGCCTGACTGGCAGGCCGGGCCGTTGCGCCGGGCAGGCGGCCCCGATCTACTGAGGGCCCTACCCCGATCTCTACTGGTACCTACCCCTGTATTCCCTAGCTTCCAGTAAACTATTCGAACTCACACCTACCCACCCAAAGGAGGTCGTAAGGTCCTCATTTGATAGCCTAGGGTTACCACCCCACCCCAGAAACATGTATTCACACCCATTTCATGACCCACCCCTTTTTACTACCTACCTTTCAATTACCACCCACCCACCCCTAAACCACCTCCATGCCCTCTATCGACTTTTTTGTTCTCCTGACCACTCGTGTCGCTCCAAATCGAACAGGTAGGGGTCCATCCACCCCCTGCTTGAAGGGACTTCGTACCCCTGAGGGCCCATAAACTTTTTCAAAAAGTTTTGACAGATGAGGTACCGAGTACCCCACCCTATCATATCCCTCCCCACGTTCCTGGTACCCCACCTTAGCTTGTAGGGAACCATGGCCTCTGTTTCACCAATTTTCCCACCCCCACCCTCGTTCCAACCGACCAGCTCCTAATCTTGACCCCACCCTTGCTAAAGAATTCTTGAGTACCCTCCCCGTCCCAAGACATCACCCACCCACCCCATCAACAAATATGTACCCCACAGACCCAATTTCAGCCATGGAAGGCACTATCTCAGGACCCCTACTTATTTTCACTACCCCTTCTTTTGTGGGAGCCTTGAAGTAACACCCCTCCAAGCCCCTCATCCGATAACCCCTGTCGCCTAGTCATATCCACCATACCCTGTTTCTCACCCCCCCTTTTCCCAACCACCCCCCTGTGGGCACCTTAAGTACCCAGTGCCCTCTGTTCCTAGACCCTTTTCCTACTGTGCTAACCCCCTTCCTTACTACCAACTGCCTTACCACCTACCCCCTTTTACTAACTTTCACCACCCATAACGCACTGAATTGTTATCATACCCCTATTTTTGAAGCAAACGATATGGAAAAGTACCTGGTTCTGAATGACCCTACCCACTTCCACAATGACCCTACCCAGTCAGACACCACCCCACCCCGTAGCATGAGCGATTTGAGGAGCGCTAGTCGTCATGGCGCGCCCTTGCTCTGACTATAAGCATTACCCTCCCACTCATCCGTCTCATCCTCCTATCATGCGTCTACTTTTTGTCTTTGCGATCCTATATCTCACCAATACTTCAACATCTTTTATCCCTGCCATGCTTCTTCCACATCCTGGTAGCTTCGTCTTGGAAAACAGTTATACTTTGCAACCCGTAGCTGGTCCACATCTTTCACATCATTACTTCCTGTTATGTTTTACCGTCGTATGTCAACTCATTCATGTAAAGAAGTTGTGTCAAAGTTCCTCACTTCATTTTTCTTCTTCGAAATTCCACGGTTCACCCCAACCTCTCCAAATTCCTCAAACTATTCTTCGAATTTTCCTCTTTGTCGACAAAGTTTTGAGGGTAACGCTGATGTTGATCTCACTTGGTCCTTGACTTGCATCAATCATACGTGTACAATTTGAGGTTATCAGTACTCTCTGCTCCTCCTTTTGCCTCTCATGTGATGATTGGTCGTGATGCGTTCCCTGGCACGGTCATTATACTAAGATACGAGTCGGGCACGTTTGAAATCCAGTCTTGTGTACTCCTCGTAAATCTAAATCATGTCAAATGCGATTTCTGGTAATGCTGTGTGTTGCCCATGTGTGTCTATTCTAGAAACATGTACATGTGGACTTGGTACTTTATCCTTGTCTTGGCCGTTGAGTTTTTATCAGCATTTATACAAAGTCTATGATTCGGAAGATTTCTCTTTTTAAATCACTTCTTTTTGCCAGGCGGATTTTCCCGTTTGAATGATTGCCACTGGATTGGTTTTCATTCTGGTCTTCATACGGGACAATTGATTCAGCTCTGTAGGTGGAACGATGGAATGTGAGTGGTGATATTCGTGTGGGTGCAGATTTGAGGGCGGTGAGCATCCAAGGCTCATCAGATACCATCTGCTGAATTCTGTCTCAAAATCTGAGTTCGCATCATCTTCATTGTGTGATTGCAGAAATACCATATCGAGATGTCTGGAGGTGTGAATGGTTGGCTCAACGGGAGCATTGCAAGTCCAAGTGATTCCGAGGATGAGCAAGAACCAGCTGTACGCGGCAGCAAAGCAAAGTGGACAGCAGAAGAAGACAGCAGGCTTGCAGCACTCGTTGATCAATTTCACGCGAAGAATTGGAAAAAGATCGCTGAGAGAATGGAAGGAAGGACAGATGTTCAATGTCTGCATCGGTGGCAAAAAGTTCTGAACCCAGATTTAGTGAAAGGTCCATGGACGAAAGAAGAAGATAGGACAGTGATTGAATTGGTTAGTCAGCATGGCCCAAAGAAATGGTCTTTAATTGCCTCGCATCTACCTGGCAGAATTGGAAAGCAGTGCCGGGAAAGGTGGCATAATCATCTCAACCCAGATATCAAAAAGGAAGAGTGGACTCCTTTGGAGGATAGTATAATCATTCACGCTCACAGAGTATATGGAACAAAATGGGCAAAGATTGCAGCTTTGCTGCCGGGGCGTACAGACAACGCAATCAAGAATCACTGGAACTCCACGATGAAAAGAAGGTGAAATATGTCCTTCACTCGATATGCTTCCATGACTTTTTCCATTTCATAGATACTTCATGAAGACAACGGATACAGAAGGAGAGATTCCTGCTTTGGTAGCTGCAGCGATGTCAGGAAGCCATGAATACAGTGTTCAGCAGCTGAAACTCTTCACGGGAGTCGAGGGAAATGATCATCTAACGGAAACTCAGTCGAAAAATGGCAAAGTTACCAAAGATTCACAAATCGTTCCAGCAGCTGCGAATTCTTCTCAAAAATCTCTTATGGTTGAAGACAAGAGCCTTCTGCACTCGTCTGTGACGATGCGCAACGGTCTCCCACAGCAAGCGGCCATTGTCCCAAGAATTTCAAACCCCAAAACCCTACTGTACAGAGAAACGGCCACTTCACCCTTTCTAAAAGCCCAAGCAGCATATCAAGCGAAGGCACAATTGTTGCATGAAACTTCAGCAGACGGGCTAAAATCGCAAATCAAGAAGCAGCACCATCCGTCACAACAAATCAAGAACTTGCAACCAAGTTCACAAAGCCTGCTTTTGTCGTCAACTTTGCCTCAAGGCCAAGAGTCCAATCTGTACTCCAATTCTCCACTGCGGCTGAAACAACCGACAAAGAAGAGGCAAAAGCAGAAGGACACAAAGAGCACAATGCTCATGGGTGCAACTTTCAATTCGTTTGCTCACTCTAGTGGAGGAATGGTAAATATCAATTCGGTATCTGTTCACGGACATTATGCCTCTCCTTTGGATGCCACAAAGCGAACGGTGAGTTTTCCCCTTATGAGCTCAATTTGATCTTTCTGTGCCTCTTGGCTGTGTGATTTGGTCTCGCTGGTACTTACTAACTCTATTGCAGCAGGACCAGCTGGAAAGCTTGAAGATTCATCAGCCGCAGAAGAACAAGGGCGGAAGCCGCGGAAAAGATGCTAGTCCGCTTACAATGGACATCTATGCTGATGCCTTCAGAAAAGTAGGAAACGCTATGATACAGAGTCAGAGACTTCAGTCTTCAAGTCAAGGCAGCCAGGTTCAGGTGCAGGCCCCGAGGAAAAACTTGGGAGTAAGGCCTGATGTGAAGCCGTCAACGAGCAAGAGGGGGAGCAATCGAACGCCCAAGAAGCCTTCCTACTCAAGTGCTTATGAAGGGTCAAGGCAGAATGAGATTCCCCCTGTTACTTACCAGAACAATGGCCAGTTCAACCTGATTCAAGAGCTCGATGCTGGGAACTCAAGGGACATCTTCGAGTGCTTGCAAGGAAAGAGTCCTGATTTGCATCCTTCCACCTTGCTGGACTCTCCTCTTCTTTCCAGTGAATTGGCTCCCAACACTCCGCATGTCCTGGCTCCGCTCAGCGATAATCAGAAGTCTTCTCGGACCCCCGCCAGCACTTCAGTACAGCCTCTTGCGGGCGCGCAATGGTTCCTCTCTCCCCTCCTGGCTAGCAAGGATTCACCGGGCACGGGTTGGAACGGGACGCCCTTGCTGAACTCGAACAACTCGCCCACGGTCAGCCCCATGTTGAGCTCGTGCGATACAGTCGCTGGAGCTCAGAAGAGAAAGATATCGAGCCCCTTCCTCTCCTTCTCTCCCTCCTCTCAGCCGATGACGTCTCTCCCTGTAAATAATAAGCGGTTCGCTTCCTCCAAGAGCTCGGCGCCCTGCACGTCTTCGCTATGGCAGCCAACTGGAAGGCTGTCGGTGTTGAGCTCGGGCAATGAGAATATGGCAAAGAGCGGGGATAGGCAGCCCTCTTCGTTCAGCTTCCAAGACGGCATCAACTTCGGGCACAGCCATGACGGACACGATGGAGTGAACCCGGCCAGCCCTGCACTGTCAGCGCAGTCGTGCGGGAGCATGTCTTCCTACTCTCTGGGGCTGCAGTCTACCAGCCATGGGGCTAGAGAAGAGGCGCCGACTAGTGGACTGATCGACCAGACGGTGGCGGTGCTGAAAGAGTACCAGAACAGCCCTGAGATGCGAATGGCGGGGTCGAGTCAGATCCTTCCGCTGCCCAGCCCCCTCATCAGCCCGCTGATCGGGTGAGTTGCACTTGTCATGGCTGACGATGACCTGACGCACTCGTGGTGTTGTACAGGCCGATGATGGCGCCGAAGATGACAGAGGCATGAGAGGGAAGGAGCGTACCTCCTCTCCTCGATGCCCCCTTCCTACTTGTCAAACTATCTCCCTTTGTACAGAAACTCTTGCGACAGTAATGTTTTTCTCTTGCTACTTTTTTGAAGAATGCTTGTAATCAATGATGAAATTCAGTCTGAGTCTTCCTGGGTCTCCTGGCCCCACTCTGGACGATACTCCTCCTCGCCAGAGTACAGCTCTTCCTCCCTCACCTTCCTTCCCATCATGCGCTCCACCATCTCCTGCTCAGGTGTCATTTCAAGGGACGGGGAGGGAGGGGGAGGGGCACCCGGAACTCAGGATTCTGATCGAAACGATAGCCGAGCTTTGGCCATTGAGGATCTGCGAGGAGAGTGAGGAGGCCGTGATGGAGGGAAGCGAGGGTGTAGGAGGCGGGGAGAGGGGGACCGGGGAAGAGGAGGGGAGGAGAGAAGCAGGGGGAGAGAAGGCAGAGGAGGAACAAGGCGGCAGGTTGGGCAGGGAAGGGGACAAGGCATGTCAGCACCCAGCATGATGTCGTGGAATTCCTCGTAAACCTCAGGAGTGAGGAGGTACTCGGCAGCGTGAAACATCTATAGAGGAGCATCAGCCGCGGAGGTACAGGAAGGCGAGCAAGAGAAGGGGACCTTGGAGACAGTGTAAGGGTCGTTTGGATGAAGATCTGCCACCCTGCCGTACATGCCGTCAGGCTCGTCAGCATCCTATGGCCGGGGCAATCAGGGCACCAATCCTTCCAATCGATCGCCTTCAGGGTCTTTATCGCTGTCTCGTCGGGGACCACCTGCAGTGGCAGAGTGAGGAGCCGGAGCCGAAGAAATCGAGGGGGGAGGCGGGGTGGGGAGGGAGGGAGGGCAGGGCAGGGCAGGGGAGGAGGGAAGGCCTCACCTTCCAAGAAACCTGCGAGTCATGGCAGCCCACAAACATGCGCAAGTCGTGCTTCGGGAGGACTAGCAGACGGTCAGCTGGGGGGAATGCAGAGGAGGGAAGGGAGGGGCTTGTCATCACCATCTCTAAGGGACCGGGTGAGGTTCTGTACGAGCCGCCCGTTCCTTGTGAATCCGATCTGCTCCAAGGATACCTGCGTCACTCCGAGGAAGGGTAGGACGGTGAGAAGGGAGACGGAGGGGGCGGCTGGGGAGGAGGAGGAAGCGAGAATGAGTCCACCCCCTTACCTTCATCCTGTGCGTGTCGACCAAGAGCCCTACCCGATCACTGCAACCATGAAATATGCTCTATCAGAGGTGCGCAAACAGATGGCACGCTTGTCTCTTCTCCCCTCTTCCGTCCCTCCGATCTCTCCCATGGTTCTCTTCCCTTCCCTCCCCTCCTGCATCCTGCTACACATCCCTTGACCCCTGAGGCCTATTCCCTTTTCTCTCTGTTACCCGGAGTGAAACATGTATCCGTCTCTCCGCAGCGACCCGAACATCCCCTCGCACTTCTTCAGCTCCGTCTTGTGGGACAGCGGATTCATGGACAAGTAGCCGAACTGATGCCACGTGATGCTGGCAAAGCAAAGTTAGCATGACGTTGGGAGCAGGTCCACCAAGAGCGATAGCACGAGGAGGAGGAGAAAGATCTGGCACAAGCAGCAGACCTGTTGTTGGGGGACAAGCTGTGGCTCAAGAGATCGGAACTCTCCTCCAGAATCACTCCCAGCACACTGCCAGCATGGTCGTGGTCGTCCATCCTCTCCATGTTCATTCCGAACTTGTAAATGTCCTCCGACATGTTGGAGCTCAAAACTGCCAGCGGCTGCTCTGACTTGAACTCAGCCTCCAGGTAGTACAGGCTCTCATTCTTGACGGAGATCAGATGCGAGAGAGCGCAGCAGGATGGCCTGCCCTCACTACTTGTCAGCATCGTCCCCCCCTCCTCCAGCGTGACCCCCTCGTCGCAATGAGCTGCGTCGAAGAGCTTGCAGAGCATCACTCTGTCCTTCTTGTTGTAGTCCTGCTGCCAGATCTTCGAGGACTCCCTCCTCTCCTTCGCCCTCGACGGCCCTGAGTAGATCCTAAGCTTGGACGGGTTGTCCCGCTTCAGGAGGCCTCGAACGTTGGCCTCCTCGCTCACGGACTTGGAGCGTTCTTCAGGCTCTGTTGTGGCAAACATGCCCTCCTCAAACGATCCTGACAGCGACCCGCCGCGAAGCGCTCGGATGCATGGACCACGAGCCCCACAGCTCCGAAGCATCTCGTGCTGGACCAGGTCTTGGGCCGATGGGTGAACAACGCTCGAGGCTATGCGCCCCCCCTTGGGGAAGAAGGAGAGCAAGAAAGCTGTCTTGACCATCATCTCCAGCTGTACACGTGGGGACATGCCGGCGATGAACCTGCTGTGGGTGAGAGAATGAGGGTTATACGACAAACTTAAAGCACCACCAGGTCTGCTTCATGATTCGTTTCACAGTGAGTTTCCCGTTGAGAACCACAGCATCACAGCTGCCATCTCAGCTATCTCCCAGATGTATCTCTTCACTCTCTCCAGGACATCTCACAGCACTCAATTGTTAACACCTCCTTCAACATCCCTCGTCTATACCAGCAAGTCGCCTTTTCCTCTGATACACATGATGACAACTTTACCCTTCCTCTTCCCACCATCCTCTACTTTGCATCCCCTTTCTCTCTGCATTCTGCCCCCCCCCATGAGCCCTTCCCACATTCTCCCGTTACCCACCCCCACCGCCATCCCATCCTGATCCCTCCGGCCTTCCATGGCGATCCGCCCGATCAACTTTAACACGTTTTCGCTAAATTCACACACAATTTCCCTAAAAATAACTGAATTATACCAAATCTAAATAAAAAGTATCTAATTTAAAACAATATTACCTAAATTAACCAAATTTTCACTATATTACACACTCTCTACTTAATTCTGCAGAACTCTGTGCCTGTCAACAAACCACGTCCGCCTCAGCGTCTATTTCGGGTGCCTGCGGACGATGGCTCGGATGATGTATGTAGGAGGGAGCGAGCTGGGGCTGAGCGCGGAGAGCTTCCGTCAGGTGAGGACAGAAGACAGGAGGAGGGTTTCTGATTGAGCTTCCTCGATGGCTCCTCCTCCTCGTCTCTCCTTCTCTTCCCTCCTTCCTCCGCAAGTTTGTTCATTGTGAAACGGGTGACCCTTGCGACATGTTGGCTATCTTCTCTCGAGAAATCTGCTTGTTGGGTTGGATGGTTGTGTTTTGAACTTTTTGGGCTTCCATACACCCTTGTGTCATCCTGTCTCCTATATATGTTTGGATTGATTTCAGAGCACTGTACTGATCCTCTTCTGTCAGGCTTCGTCCTGCTCAAAACGCCGTCGAGTCCTGGCAGTAGCGGCAGTTTCTTTCTGCCTTGCCGTGATAGCAGCTGTAGCTCTTTCTGGAAGATTCCCATCGTCCACGGGGAGAACGGGAAGGATCACGATTGAGCTCACGGATAGAAATGAATTTGAGTCTGAGCCCGCATGGTGAGCCCTTGCTTTTGTTGCGGTATGGGGGTTTCGTTGATCGCGTGCGCACAGGGATGCAAATTGGAATTTGAAGGATATTCAGCACCATCTTGTCTTGACACAAAGGCAGCAGACGACTAGGAACAAGAACTTTGATGAACATGTAAAGCGCCTCGACCAGGACATCGAGGATTTGATGAGAATGGTGATGGCGGTCGTCGAAGGCGTGCATGACATTGACGTGCTTGCAGGCCAAGCAACCAGGTCCAGCAGGACCTCAGGGTCCAACTGGTCCAGATGGTCCCCCAGGTCCTCCAGGGAAGGACGGTCCTCAGGGTCCTCAGGGACCTCCGGGCAAGGACGGCCCCCCAGGCAAGGATGGACCTCCAGGAAAAGATGGCCAACCTGGGAAGCAGGTGATGGAGAGAGGAGAGGATCTCGAGGTAGCTCATGGGTGTACATGGCAGGGTGAACGAGGGCCTCCCGGCGAGAATGGAACTCCGGGCCCCAAGGGAGACCAGGGCCCTCCGGGAGCCCCCGGTCCAGCTGGACGCCAGGGCCCACCTGGTGCCACGGGCCCACCTGGAGAGATGGGACTTCCAGGCCCACCGGGTATGATGGGAGAGCCCGGACCTGTTGCTCACGTACATGTCATTCACCATAGGTAGGAGCAAGTGAGAGGTTTCTTGTTCCCCTGTGATTGTTGCCTTCAGATACATGAGCGGCGGAAACTCTGGGGAGGATTATTCTTATCAATCTAGCGGAGGGTATTACAATACCAGGGCACCTGAAGCCGATCCGAGGGCAGAGAAGTGGCAAGGCTGGGATCGCTCACCTCAGGTAGCCGAGATTGCCAGCCGGCCACTCGTCCCTCTAAGACTTTCGCTAGGCCCCTCAGGGTGGCAGCGACGACTATGTGAACTTCGGCAGGAACGTCGAGAACAACTATGAAACTGCTCCGACACATGCCGATGCGATCGTGGGTCCTGCGCCGAGTGGAGTAAGTCCCGACTGCTGCTGCAGATTTGCCTCAGTTGTAACACGGCATTCCCAACACAGAAGGCAGAAGACGGGTACAAGAAACGAGGCTCCATCGCTGTCTCGAAGGTGGCCAGACATGAATTCTCGTTAGATTGCCGCGTGACTGATAAGTGATGTAACCCAGGTGGACGCTAACGGATATTACTACCTCAACGTTGCCGGAGAGGTCGGGCATGAGATCCGCGCGGTGCTTCAAGGCGCCGACGGTTATCACCGACGATGGCAAGGATTCGGTCAAGTCTACACTGGCCCCATCAAGGCTGGGGGGTATGGCTCCAAGGATTATCTTCAGGTTAGTCGACTCGATCGCACCCGCTATCATGTTGCTGAGAACTCGGTCAGGTTCAGGATCTGACGACCGGAGAAACCGAATACTTTAGATTTCAATTTTTGTGAAGAGCTGACCTTGCTCTCGAGGTTCTGCCTTAGCAACAGATGGCAGCATGTGCAACTTTCCGTCTATATTAACTTATCATGAAACAGAGCAAAACCAAGACTGTATTCAACTCCCCTCTCGCGTTGGACCGTTCTCGAAAATGTATACCCAAGGTTGGAACGCCTGAAACAAAAACGGCCTGAAAGCGCAGTATATGTACATTCTGTGACCCAGCCTACTGTGAACACAGCAGCATGGAGCTCAAACAAAGCCTGGTGACTGGATCCCGTTGTCCATGCTGCTCTCAGGCTCCCGGGGCATACTGTGGAATATACCCTCGTCTCGCCGCTCGTCGCAAGGGATCGTTCCTTCCGCTGAAGACGAATCTTGCTCTAGGTGCGATGCGATAGCGAGCTACAGAGTTCTCCCCCCACTCCCCAGCTGCTCCCATGGGATAAGCCTCCGGCAAAACGGCTCCAGCCTTGCGCATGTAGCGGATCATGTTCTCTAACCGAAGAATTGAGTCCAACTTGCCGTGGTTGTTGAGCAGCTGAGCATCCAAATTTCTCTCTCGAGTCGAGATCACCATATCATGACACTTGGCGTGCAAGGCCTCTAGACGTGCAAGCGTGTAGAACACCACACTGCTGCCAAGCTTCTTCTCTATCATGCTGCGATCCTGCTCGCTCAGGGCATGTGTCATGTAGACAAGCTTGGGCAAAGCGTCCCACATGCCATTCTTAGAGTCTGCAAGGTTCTGCATACCATCACGTTGGTTTCGCATGCATGTCTGCAATAACTTCATAGCACGGTCAACATCTTGGCAGTTGTTGTCTTCCAGGTTGGGGTAAAGCATGTCCTCCTGACCAAAGGTGAGCATGGCAACATCAAGGCATCAGGTGATACTCACAGCATTCATGCAGGTCTCTGTCGATCGCTCGGCAATGTGCCACAATGTCAGCACTTGATACCTTGACGACTGCCACTCCTTTCTTCTGAGGGGACCAAACTTCGTGGGCTTGAATGCCCAAGGGTGTACCGAGGAGGAAGTGGCAGTGGAAGTGGAAGTGGAGGAGGAAGTGGAGGAGGAAGATGATAGCATCGTCTGCCCTCTATATGTACTGGAAACGAGCAGCAGCATCAGTATTGCCGCCCCTGCCCCTGCCGCTATCGCCACCCTCCTTACTCGCTGCATTGCGGCGCCTCTTCGTAGTATCAGCCCGAGCCCTCATCCCCCATCGTGCTGGTCCCTGAGCAGGCCGGGCAGAGGCCGGGCCAGAGGCCGGGCCCTGCAGGCAATCGGCCCGGCCCATCATCGGATCACTGACCCGGTCACGCGCGGCCCTGTCCCGGTCGGACCGTCCGACTCGGCGCTCGGACGGGCCGGGCACCGGGCACGCGGCCGGGCCCGCACTATCGGCCACTGAGTCCGGTCACGGGCTGCGGCCCGGCCGCGGGCGTCCGAGTCGGACCCCGGGGCCCGTCAGTCCGGTTGAGTAAACGATGTTGGTACTAGGGTACGGAGTTTGTCGTACCCGATATAGGACAAGACCAAGAGTGGACCGAACATTTTTAACTTTTTGTAATACGATTTGAAAATTAAAGGGATCTTTGTTTTACAGATTTGGTAAGGATGGAACCAGACGAAGCAATTATTAATATGAGCTGACAAGAGCCTTCTTGTACTGGTGCAGGAACCAAACTTGTGTGAGAGATAGAAGGAAAGAGGAGACACGTGGAGAAGAGAGAAGAAAAGGAAGAAGAGGAGAGAGTTAGAGGTGCACACAGGTGACGGGATGGGCACAAGTCAAGACAGAAAGAGAACTACACACGAGGAGAATTGTGGGCCGATGCAGGATGGGACGAAGAAATGACAGGGTCAACCATTCTGACCAGGGTGGTAGCGATTATACTCCTGAGGGTTTAGAGTGGAACAGGGAAGGAGAATAATGGTGCAAAAAGAGATGAAATGGAACACGTAGATGTTGCTTTGTATAATTCGTTCAGAAGGAAGGCAGATGTTGCGACACGGTCCTAACAATCACTGGGAGAGGATGTTGAAGGATGAAAGACCTTATTGAGGGTCATAGGGAATGTTTCTGAGTAGAGAGAGGTTCGCACAATGTTTGGTGTGAATTGTTTGTACTTGCCTGCATCTTTTCGGCAAGTCGTCGCACTGCAACTAGGAATTTCAGGATAACTTTTAAACGTGAGCAAGTTTGAGCGGAGCAAAGATGAATGTCTGTACTGGAGTACAGCACAGTGACTATGATCGTGTACAGCAATGTTCTCCCTCGTCCGCAACTTCACGTCTCTCAACAAGACCTTTTGCTCCCGTGTGGACGAAGTCAACTGCGTCAAGTCCGACACCACCATTCCCGGTGATTTTGTATGGTTGCTGCTCTCGGAAGCCGACTGACGTTTTTATGGTATGATCACAGAGGAGGGAGATTTCATTGCCCACCAGGATCCTTACATGGAGCATCTGTTCGACTCCAACAAGCCCTAAAAAGGTCTAGTGTGCGAAGGTTGTAATAAAAGAGCTTGCAGCTTGTTTAATGGCACTGCAACAATGTAGCCCGCGCGTGTACACACAGCCGAGCAGATGAACGTATCGATGAAGGAGGGCGAGGAGGTTGGTCGCCTCACATGTTGAACTCTTGGAAGAAGTCGTTGCCTGCAAGCACAAAGTCTCATCATAGTGCCATGAGCAAAGTAACTCCATGGTTCACCCTTGTCATCGCACACGATGAACGCAGGGAAGTCTTGGACCTGTGCGGCATCAGTCAGAGCGAAGCTTGAGACTTGGAGCAGTGAGACGACCTCGATCTTCCAGATTGCCTCCATGCCGAGCTCAGGGTACTCGAGAACTTCGACCTGCTTGCCGGTCAGTTGCTGATTGCAATTACATTCATTCGCGTCTATGATTCACACATGCACACATGCTGCACGCCAGAGCAACCCTCATGGTGAAGCTGCCCTTTGGCGCAAGAATCTAGGTTTACCTTCTTGATGCAGTTCTTGGCCAAGATTGCGGCAGGACCTCCGATCGAGCCTTCAAGCTAGTCATTCACCTCCTTCAAGTTCGCCTCCTTCACCAAGGTAGAATCCCCCGTTGTTCTTGCAGGCGGAGGTGACCTGCTTGCTTCGATTTCCTTTGGCCAGGGTGATGAGACTGAGACAGACGCACGTCAGACTCGTGCCCAGTGTTGTCGTCGAGACGATACCTTCCGCCGTTCTTCTGGAACAAATCCACGTATGGATCCATACGGCCTGGTAGCGCAGGTAAACACAGGAAACAGGCCGCAGGGGAGCTCAAAACCAGCTGTAGTTGGTCCAAAGGAACCAGAGGGCAGTCTGCGACGGTCGTCAGAGTCAGATAAGGTGACATACGAGGTATCACCCTTCAGGAGTCTTTGCAGGGCCCGCATAATAGATGGGGTGATTCTTCAAAGATTGTGAGGATATTCCACCACTATCGATCTGTGCACCTTCACGTAGTCCGGAAGTCCTTGCCCGCTGTCAAGTCGCTCCTTGAGCTGAGAAATAGAGACGAAGTCAAGACGTGGAAGGAAGCAAATGGCGGAGATTCAGATGTGAAAAGCAGGAGAAGCAACGTGACGAGGAGAAGGAGGAAGAGGAACGCGAGATTGGCGACAGCAAACCTTCGCATGAGCGATATCTCTTGCTACCACCAGAGTTCCTGTAAGCGAGAGCCTTGTCTTGATCGGATGTCTGGATGAATGTCAAGATATTGAACGAAAGAACGAGGATTCCTCCTCACTTTGTCAAAACATTGAGAATTTCTTTCATCGGCTTGTTCAGATCGAGCTTGACCACTAGAAGAGGATAAGTCGCATGAAAGAAACAGTTGCCAATTCAAACCGTTTTGAGACAGTTTATCTTCAGACACCTTGATTCTGGTCAGTCAACAACGAGATCTTGATTCTTCGAACCTCAGGAAGATACTTGGAAGGATCAGTTTCAAGCTTTTCGAGGAAGATTCCATCCCTGACATCAACGTCAACTACTGGCTCTCATGATCCTGACTACCATCAATGACTCACTTGGTTATCTTTGCCTTCGCTTGGCGATCAGCAGAGCACGAGACTCCCAATCCGACTGGGCAAGAAGCTCCGTGCCTGATAAGAGCAGACCGTTGATCCTCCACTCAAACGATTGCTCTCCATCGCACCTTGGAAGTCTGACCACTCTCACATCATGGCAGAAATATTTTCCACCAAACTGAGCTCCGATGCCCTAGGAGCAGGTTACACTCAAGCTTGCATCGAGAGGTTTTCCAACCATCTCTTGGCACATACGGAGAACTCTCTGCTCCCATTCGAGATCACGAAACGCTCTGCCCGACGCATTGCCTGCGACCCGGCAGGGAATCATACAATAAAAGACTGACTGAGGCGGGTCAACCTGAAGTGTGGAGATCGTCCAGGTATTTGGTGCTTGCAAGTTTGACAGTCTTGAGTGTCTGCTCAGCACTGGATGACACGACTTCTCGTCAGTACGACTGTCTCTTTCCTTCGACGGCTGCAAAACCTGAGCCCGCCAATCACAAGCGCGATGTGATACGGAGGACAAGCGGCTGTTCCAAGAGATTTGACCTGGAGGCAGTCACGTCGAAGGTCTTGAGCCAGCATTCTTACAAACCTTCTCTTCAATGAAGGCTTTCAAGGAATTCTCATTCAAAAGCGCCCTGAAAACAAAGAAATAGACGTCAATTGAGAAAACACACCAGTGGATTGATGATGCCCGATCCGAGAGAAAGGCGGAGACGATGATGAAGATGGTGACTCACTTGGTCTGCTGATAGAGGTACGTCTTGTTTGCTGAGCCTCCACCTTTTGCGAGGTAGAGAAACTAAATGGTTGTCGTCACGAAGAAGAGGGTTGCAATCAATGAATTGCCTTGTATTCCGATCCCTTTGTCGCATACAACTCAATCTGACTCGCAAGTCATCACGATCACCCACACATCATCTCTGAGTGCCCGACCTGCGCTGGGAGGTTGCATTTCGTGTTCGCTTCCGAGAACATGTCTTGGGGAGCGACCTTCAATCATGAGCGACCTCGCCACATCAGACAAGACGATACCTGAGAGTATCTCAGGTTGGTTCCTGTGTACGCATCGTATATCCCGTGGGAGAGATGCTCCTCGTCATCGCCGTCGGTCATCACCTTCAAGAGATTTTAAGCCCGATCGCGCTTTCACCCTCTTGGAGCGAAGTACCATTTGACCTCTCTTGCCGATGCAGATGCCCGTTCCTGTATCCTGGCAGGAGGGGAGGACCATTCCCGCCGCGACGTTGGCGTTTTTGAGCAGCTCGAGGGCCACGAACTGCAACATCACAACAATGGTCATCGCTCAACAACCTCGACGGGGCATGACGCACTCGATCGTTCTCTGACGCCTCGGGGTCCTTGAGGATTTTGCTCAACTGGAAGCACAAGTGAGGTCCTGGAGGGGCAGGGTGAACCCTATGTGACCTGCTGCAGGTGCGCAGGTCTCAGCAGATGAGAGATGTCGATCATGGCTTGTTTTGACAGAAGTCGCAGCCCCTCCGGTTCGACCTGACGGGCATTTTGAGCGATCGAGGCTGGGTTGGGCCGGAGCGCTAACCTTGAGGAAAGTTCGCCCATCGGGTCCGGGGAAAGTAGAGACATAGTCGCCCGTGAGCTTACGGTACCTGCAAGGATCGGGGCAGGTGAGAACAGGCGGGAATCTCCAGCGAAGATGCTGCGGGGTTACTCTGTTGAGTCGGGCTTTGAGTTTTCGAAGAGATCCTGATACTTGAAAGGAACCTTGACGGGGGTATCAGACTCATCAATATCAACATGAGAGGCTCACTGGTGACGAGAACCTCCTGACGAAGTTGGTGCGGTTGGCAACTGGAGCAGGAACAGTGAGGTATGCGGCGCCAAAACTTCGATGCGTTCGAAAGAAGATGGGAGGAGGTTCGTCCTCATAAATACATCATGTTGGACGCTTTATGGATCAAAAGGACAAGATTGCACATGCAAGGTACTGACTACATGCCACAGAGAACCGAGCTCAAGAATACACCGAGAGAAGCGAAGTGAAGAGAGCAGGATACAATAAGAAGAAGAGGGAGAGGCAGAGAGAGGAAGGCGGGTTGAGGATGGTGTCAGGAGAGGACTTGTGCATGCTCAGAAGCGGGTGGAGACGGAGGGGAGGGAGCGAGTCACCTCGGAAGAGCCGCATGGCTGATGCGCCTGTGCAAAGCTGGGGCGTAGGAAGGGATCAGGGTGGGTGGTACCCTAGCAAAGACTTGAGAAACAGGGGTAGTGTGTGGGGAAAGGAGGGGAAGGGGTGGGGTTACCTCTTAGTACCATTGGGTGGTCTAATGAACTTTTCAGAGGCCAAAGCACTGAATGTTCATACTTTGATTGGGTTCATGCTGAATTGACTAGCAGGAGAGGAGGAGGGGAGAGGAGGGGAGAGGAGGAGAGAGGAGGGGAGAGGAGGGGAGAGGAGGGGAGAGGAGGAGAGAGGAGAGGGGAGGGGAGAGGAGGAGAGAGGAGAGGAGAGGCGAGGCGAATGGCAGAGCAGATCAGGTAGAAACACCAGTTTTGTCAAAGACTGTCAGAACTTGCGAAAACACAAGCTTCTCTAACTCTCTTGTCAGGACGAGTGCGGCTGAGTTGCCATCATGCTAGGAAGGCGGGAGGACGGGCAAGTGAGAGCTCCATGTCGACATGTCGGTCCCGCCTGTTATGGGAGCAGGTGTGTCTTAGAACCGTCAGGAGCGCCTCGGTCCATGGCTCAACCGAGATCGCAAGTTGCATACAGTTACGTCAACGACCTCCGTCCCTTCACGCTCGTGCGACAGTCCTCGCCAGACGATCTCCTGCCGGTCCAGCTGAGCTGTGAGCTGAATCGTTGCTGTCATGAGACTCTGATGCTGGGCCAGTCAACCCTGTAAAGCTGACAAGGACGGCGATGGTCGATTCTGTGCAGGTTCAAGAGGATGGGCCGGAACAGGAGGGCGCAGTCGATGTGAAGGTCGTGAAGGAGACGCAAGCAGTGGCGCCGGAATATGTCGGGTGAGTGAAGGAGCAAGACGCATGTCCAGAGCGTGAAAGTTGGTGATTGCTCGTCAAGGTATCACGGGGAATGGAAGCACGGGAAGAAACATGGGAGAGGTACTGAGGTGTTCGAGAACGGCAGCAGGTGGCCACTGTTGCTCGCTGCGACTATCGGCAACTCTGACAGCGGGAGGGGGTCAGGTACGATGGTGAATGGAAGTACGACTTCTTCGATGGGGTCGGCAAGTACAAGTTCGTCACGGGAGACACGTGAAGCTCGTTGCGTGCTGCTGCTATAAGCCCCGTGACAGCTGCTTGCAGCTATGAGGGAGAGTGGGACCGGAACAGGAGGGAGGGGCACGGGACGATGCGCTGGAGGAGCGGAGAGCGGGAGGGAGACTGGTGAGCCGGAATAGGGTTGGCAGTCGGCAGCTGACGGATGTCCCTGGCAGCTACGTGGGAGAGTGGAAGGGAGATCAAATGCACGGCAAGGGAGAGTACTTCAAGCGTACCGGGGAGCGGTGAGGTCAGTGTTGTATGGCTGCCTTCCTCAGACCTTTCGTGTGGCAGGTACATGGGCAGGTGGAGCCAGTCGTACTATCAGGGGAACATCAGAAGCTTGCTGCTTCCTTTTTGATGAAATTACTGTCGTCTGCCCCTGCTGCTCGTTGTTCCTCTTTCTGTCCCCCTCGCTTCTGCCCCTGCCCCTGCCCCTGCCCCTGCCCCTGCTCCTGCCCCTGCTCCTGCTCTTGCTCCTGCTTCTCCCTTCTGCTTTCCCTTGTCCCTTGTCTTGTCCTCTCTTCCCTTCGTCCCCGCCCTCATTCCGTTGAGCCATCACTCGTCGTCTTCCGGAGGAGGAGGGCGAAGAGCGAAAGTGATCCTCGTCTGGTCGTGCGACACCCAAACTGGGAAGAAGAGGAGTGAAGAGCAGGGAGAAGCAGGAGGCAACGTACCCGGCAGAGCTCTGCCCTCCGAGACTTCCACCTCCTCCTCGAAGAACTGCACGGCCTGAGCGGATCCGATCGTCAGACAAGAGCCAGCAGGAGGGGAGGAGGAAGGGGCAGAGGAAAGACATGCGAGGATGCGGGGGGGTCTGAAGGAGGGAACAGGGGAAAGGGGGGAAGTGAGAGGCGCGAGGAGGAGAGGAGAGAGGGCAGCGAGG